ACTACATTGAAGTTTTGAGTTGATCGAAATCCTTTTTTTTTTTTCAAATCATCGCAAACCAAAAATGTCATTAAAAGTATCAATTTAACTAGCTTAGGTTAAAAATATCAATTTGAATTTCGTTTTTTAAAATATTTAAGAAATGTAGCAAAAGATGTATTCTATCTGGTCTATATATATGCATAATATTTAAAATGCTGACTTTTCTAAAGATTTTTGATTCAGGAATAAAAGCATCCACCCTTTAAAAAAAAGTTCATTTATAGAAGGGATGTAAATTTCCCTCTGCAAATAAAGAGGAAAATCTTGTTAAAATGTTGTAGCTGTATGCTTAATATTTTATATTTTCCACAAGTGGCAGTTGTTTTTATCACAATAGAATATTGATTTTGCATTTAAAATGATCAATCTGTAAATGTAATAGCACTAAATTAAGTGCTTAAAATGTTTGTCTAGTATTTAATGCAAGGATGCTCTAGCTGCATGTTGTCCTCTGTCTTCAAAAGTTAAAGATTTTTTGTTATTCCTAACAACAATAAACACATTGCTGTTATAGAAAACTTCATGCCTGCATAATCATTGATGACAATGATGTCTAATTTTCAGAAATTATTGAAGTCAATAGTCTATTCATTTCAAAGCTTTCCTGCAGCACGATATATAAAGCCAAGAGAGTGTGTATATACACTGGCTGTATAGCTGCTATATGTTCTCAGGTGGAAAAAATAACAACAGAAAGCTATATAACATAGATCTCCTAGGATGTCTCTTCACTGCATTGACAGCTGCTTGTGACTTCGTCAATATCAGATTGATTATAAGAGGCCATTTTGCACGATATAGGACAATTTAAAATTCCTGCGCTTTTGACAGCAGTTAATGGGATGCTAGAGAAGTGAAAGCTTCACTTTCGTGGATAGAAAAAAATGTGAAAAATGAAGTGGTACCACAATAATTTAATGTCTTTGCCAGAAGGTACCCATAGTCAGGAATACAGTTTGTTGTTGCAGTGGGGGATTTAAAGGCTTTCCTGGCAATTAGTTTGTAAATGAGTCTTTGATTTTTAGTTGTCAATGCAAAGAATTACTTTTATTTGATGGGGAAATCAAACTTGAGTGAAAGCACGGCTGCTGTCATGTTCTATCACAAAGTGTGATTTCCTGAGAAATCTTAGTTGTGAAAGAGGAAATATTTCTGGTGTGATCATGTCCAATGTGTGGTTTTATCATCGGAGTGGATTAAACTCAAGGCCAAACAGCCCTCACCTTAATTCAGGGGTAAGGAGGGGGAGGTACCAGAGGAACCAGGGGCATAGGAGTAGCGGGGTGGAGCGCCTGTCCATTAACTCTGACAACATACCCCCACCACCAAAGTAAGTCTGGCTATGTGAGCAACTTAAATGAGGATCAGCTGATAGTTTATCTTCATATAGCCAGGGATATCTCAGCAGTGTTTAGTGATATTTATATTATAAAGGGGTATATATTAATTTCAATGTAGATATAATTTATTATTTATTTTCTCTTGTATTTTTTGATATTTTTATTAAAGTGTAGTGAGAGGATACATGTGCTTAAAAGCATAAAGTCATTCCATGTTCACTTACATGTAACTTTTAGGCCATCAAAAAATATTTAATGAACTCCAACCAACATTTTTCAAGGAAAGTAGGTACTTTAGCAGGTTTCTTTAAATTATAAAACACATTAGATAAATATTGCACAAATCTACACAGAAAAAAGTACTGTATGTGTACATGAATTGGCATATTCAAAATTTAGCACAATCAGTGGTTATTAATTGAGTTATAAGTGTATTGAATTCATGAATGAGCTCTACACACAACACAACATGTATTTGTAAATGATTTTTTTGTGGTTTATACCAATATTCATGAATATGCACATTGTTGTCCATTCCATTAAGATAAGTCCGTAAAATTTGAAACCCATGTTTTTTTCACTATACATACACATATGTTGTAAGTTTATTGTTTCATTTACTATATTAAAGCTTGAAAAACTTTTCACCTAAATTAGTGTCTTTAAAAAATTTAATAAATATCTTACTGCATGAGATCTGTATTTTCCTAGAAACAAACACAAAATAAGATGAATTTTAATTACTGATTCTGAAAAAAATATGTGTAGGGTCAATGGTTTTGATGAGTCAGTCAGATGACATGAAACAAATTTATTTTTATTGTTGGCCTTAAGGCCAATTTATAGAACCATAATGATACTCATGTATCTCACAATATGCAGTTTATAGGGTGACAGACTGACAGAATGAGAAAATTGTATTAATATTTTCTAGCTGTCAGATGAAAATTATAAGCAATATACTTCCAGGCTTATTAATTGGCTTTTAGAATATCTGGTTACAAAGGGATTTTTCTCTGTTTGTCTCAGGTGTACAACATTGAATAGGCCTTCTCATTATGACAGAGTCATAGTGATATGCTTCATATATGATTTTTAGATACCCTTTTATTCTATAGGATAAACCATCGCAGATCACCAATTTTTGTGACACTCTATTTTGACCCGATATAATTACATGTAATTGGTTTTCCAAAATGTCTGGAGCTGCAATTGATAGAATTGGTTGTCCTGGAACATGTGGAATGTCTGCTTGATCAGAAAAACATCACAAATTATTACTAATTGCATATTTGAGTGTGCTTCTGTCATGAGTCTGTTTTGAATACATTTCAAAATGTTGCTGTAAAAAAGTAAAACTTGAAAGAAAAAGCAGACAATAATTATGCTGTCAAATATCATCAACATCTTATGCATTTCATCAACATTTTACACATACAGGTATTTCTTAAACACAACAGAAACATATTAGTAAGTCGATTGTGATTTCACAATGCTGCTGCATGCGCACTGACCCTCTGGTGAATATGGCTTCAAGTCCGGTGAATATGAAGTGCTATGAACTGTTTGTATTTGTTCGGATTATGTAGGGACCATTTATAGACTACATTATAATTTGATTTATAAACAAAACTCATTATATGCAATAAGATCTTAATAATGTTTGAGAAAATAACGGGGAATGAAAATCACTTTTAATGTGTGAATTCACTATATGCGTGTTTGATTTAACCAAGTTTTACTGTATTTACAAAGTAATTACATGTGTAGCATTATAGCACAAGGATAATAACCTTTTAGTGGGAATGGAAGCTTTAATAGAACATAATTGTATTAAGATCCATAATTGTTCATATGCTTGCATGACTATATAGCATTCATTGACCATAATTAAAGTGTATTAACATCACTGAGGTTGAGTGATACAAGGATTTATCAACTCCAGCACGCTGCATTTTTGACAGGACTGATATATTATTTTATCATTTTCTTTTTCTTTATTCAGAGTGAGAGTCGAGTTTTTCACAAATGAAAAATCCCTGAAAGAGCGGCTGCAGCTTTACTTCATCAAAAACCAACGATCAAGTAGGTCATGTCGTATAGATCTGTCTGGTATCATTTGATCATGTTGTATATGTCTCATTTATATTTGATCATGTGCTATGGCTGTGTCATATTAATATTTTATCATATGATTATTCGATCATTTTATTTGATCATAAGAAGGAGGGCATAATATTGCTTTGCTGCTGTCTGTCGGTCTGTCTGTTGGTCCACCATCAGTTTCCATTCATTTTCTTCGCAGAGGTTGCACATATTTAAATGAAATTTGGTACAAATATATCATAAGAATATCTAGATGAAGTTATGTTTTGGTTATGATCTGGCCATTTTAGACAGAATTATGTCCCTTGGACTTAGAAAAATTCCAATTATTTGGAGGAGGGGGGCATATGTGTTTTAACATTCCAGATATTTGGAGGAGGGGGTGTAAGTGTTTTACAACATCTCTTGTTTGATCATGTTGTATGTCGATCTGTTTCATTCACTTGATCATATGGTATGTCTGTTTCATTCATTATATCAAGTGGTATGTCTGTCTCTTTCATTTATCCAGCTTTCTGTGGTTTCATACTCTGTTTACAGGAATTTATAATTTTTTATGCATTTTGCAACTGTTATTTTTCCACTGGCAAAAATGAAAGCATTTTATTGATTTTTTTAAATTTTAAATGTAATGATCATATATTTATATTTGCAAATATGTTCATGCATCGTAGTGAAATGTCCAGTCCGTTGTATTTAAGGAACTTTTTTCACTCAATTATTAAAATTAAACAAAATTAAGAAATTATAGGTATAAAAATGTAACAAAATTTGATATAACTGATTTTTTAACCAATTTTGCAATTGATAGGTAGGTTGACGTCATTGCAGTGTATTTTTGACGTTATAATAATCTGTACCTCTTAAAGAAAGGGGTTATAAAAATATTATTTAAGAAAAAGTAATAAACATACGCTACTTGAAATTTAAATTAGAAATTTGAGAAATTAATTATTTTCATTATGTTTTCATGTGAATCCATCATCATATTTTGTAGTAAATAAAATAGTGAAATTTGCTAATTTTTTTATTTTGAGATGCCCCCTTTGGTAACAAGGCTCAATTGAGTTTCTTACATATAATTATAGTATTACTCATCAAATATTATAGTTTGAACAAAATGTCTATTGTAGTATTTGTATAATTTGCTTTAAAGTGCTAATTTTCGACTTCTCCTATATAATCCTATAGTAAATTTAACCAAACTTGGCACAAAGTATCCTTAGATAAAGGGAATTCAAGTTTGTTGAAATGAAGGGTCACACCCTTTATTAAGGGGAGATAATTGAGAAATGGTGAAAATTTTATGGTATGTTTTAAAAATCTTCTCAAGAACCACTGTGCCAGGAAAGATGAAATATTTTATAATTATGCTTAAAATGTTAGATCAATTTTGAATATGTCCAATCCGGGGGTAGGGCAGGGCCACATTGTGTGTTATCACAAATTTTTACATTTTGAAATATATAGGAAAATTCTTTAAAAATCTTTGCCATCAAGAATAGCAAAGGCATGAATGATATTTTTATGGAAGCTGTGCCATCAGAATGGTAGTGGACATTCAATTTTCACAACTCATACCATACTGTAGATTCCTAAGGGTAGGGAAACAATGGCAGATCAAAGTTTTACATAAAAACGTAGAAAAAATCTTTAAAAATCTTCTTTTTAAGAATAGCAAAGCCATGATTAGTCCTATTCATATGGAAGCATCCTCAGGTAGTGGACATTCAATTTTAACCAAACTTGGCATGAGTATCCTAAGGGTAGGGCAAGGGCCACAATGGCCACAAGTTTTACATAGAAATATATAGTGAAAAATATCTTTAAAATCTTCTCAAGAATAGCAAAGGCATGAATGATCATATTTTTTATGGAAGCATCCTCAGGTAGTGGAGATTCAATTTTGTTCAAATCATGACCCCTAAGGGTAGGGCAGGGCCACAATGGCAGATCAAAGTTTTACATAGAAATATATAGGGAAATTCTTTAAAAATCTTCTCAAGAATAGCAAAGGCATGAATGATCATATTTTTTATGGAAGCATCCTCAGGTAGTGGACATTCATTTTTGTTCAAATCATGACCCCTGAGGGTAGGGCAGGGCCACAATGGCCGATCAAAGTTTTACATAGAAATATATAGGAAAATTCTTTAAAAATCTTCTTCTCAAGAATAGCAAAGGCATGAATGATCATATTTTTATGGAAGCATCCTCAGGTAGTGGACATTCAATTTTGTTCAAATCGTGACCCCTGGGGGTAGGACGGGGCCACAACATGGAATCCAAGTTTTACATAAAAACATGTAGGAAAAGTCTTTAAAAATCTTCTTTTCAAGAATAGCAAAGCCATGATTAGTCTTATTCATATGGAAGCATTCTCAGGTAGTGTAGATTCAATTTTGTTCAAATCATGACCCCTAGGGGTAGGGTGGGGCCACAGTGTAAGTTCAAATGTAAAGGGCAATAAAGCCACTGGTAGTCAAAGAAATATGCAAGCATCCTTAGTTAGTGTAGATTCAAGTTTGTTCAAATCATACCCTCTCAGTTTTAAGGATTGGTTTGGACCACTATTGGGTTTAAACTTTTCAATAATAAACTGATTTCTGCTTTTTTCCTAGCCACATTGCTCAGGTGAGAGATGTGGCCCATGGGCCTCTTGTTAATATGATTATCATGATTTGACTTTGAAGAGCTATTTTGTGATAAGTACTGGCTAAAAATAAGGAATATACTATAGTGTACATGTATAGTTACTATAGCATAATTATTATATAGAAATCTGCTGTTATTGGGATAATTGATGTGGGCTAAAAAAAATGTTAATATTAAATTTCATTAAATTAATAAATTTAATTAATATTAAATTGGAATTTACATTTACCAAGTATCATAAAGCAGATATTAATACCTCGCAGCTCAGCTGAGCTCCCATCTAATATTTGTGTTTACTTAGTTGACACCACTTACAGTAAAAGTAAATAATAAAATATCACTGTGTGGCAGATATAAAAATCTTCAACCTACTACCTTGTATATACATTGTACCTAATTTCATCAAGCAAAATAGTGTGGTTTTCAAAAAGTACCTAAAAGCTTGATTTTGCTTTTGCCTCAGGACTTAACATACATGTATATGTGATTGACAAGGATACAATAGTACTGCTAGTCACTATCTGAGCCTATGAAATTATTACTCTAAAGGATTTGTTATGTAATATTTCCCTGATATCCAGCAATCATACAAAATGATTTTATTGAATTTGGAAAGCTACCATTCCATGCATTTTGTAAATTGAAATATAAATACAGTAAAACCATGTTAACTTTAACTCCAAGGAATCGAAAAAAATTGAAATTCTCAAAGGTTTTAGAAATTTGGAATTAAAGATAAAAGGGATTGACATTTCCAAATTAAGGACTTTGAAATATCGAGGGTATTCAAGATATTGATGTTAGAAATACCGAAGTTCAACTGTATATGGTTTAAATTAAATTTCTTGCCAGCTCAAAAGTACAGATAGAACTGATAGTTACGTAACCTTTGTCTTCTATAAATTTCTGAAATGAAGCATACATACAATACTGTAGTACATAAATTCATGGGGGCTAATTTTCTTGGATTGTTTATATTTTAAAGTTTTTTTGGGGTACATGTCGTAATTTTATGTTTTTTTCTGATACCTAAAATATTTGTAAATCTAATTTTTATCTTATTCATTAATTCAATGAGTTTGAATTTTTTTTATTTAAAAAGACTTAAAAATGGGAAAAATATATTCCACCTGTCTGTCTGTCTGTCTGTCTGTCCAGCTGTCTCTGCAATCGTTTCCATATCTTTTTACGGAGGGACATTGAATCTACTACTCCACACAAAGATTGCCCATGACCTAAGGGTGTGTCATTATTGACCCAAGGTCATTTCCTTCAAGGTCATGAAAAAATTTTAATTCATGTCTGGTCCATATCTTTCTTATTTATAATTTTTGCTAGTGTTCTCATTTCACACAAAGATTGCCCATGACCCAAGGGTGTGTCATGACCTTACCCAAGGTCATTTGAGTTCAAGGTCACTGGAAGAAAAAATTCATAATTGGTGTTTGGTGTCCATATTTTTTATAAATAAACTTGGTAGGTTCTCATTTCACACAAAGATTGCCCATGACCCAAGGGTGTGTCATGGCCTTGAACCAAGGTCATTAGGGGAAGTTCAAGGTCACTGGAAGAAAAATGTCATAATTTGTGTCCGGTCCATATCTTTCTTATGGGTAAACTTGGTAGGTTCTCATTTCACACAAAGATTGCCATGACCCAAGGGTGTGTCATGACCTTGACCCAAGGTCATTTGGGGAAAAAGGTCACTGGAAGAAAAATCTTAATTCATTTGATACATATCTTTTTATGGAAAAAACTTATATATGAAAAACCTAGCTATTATAATTGATTTTGTCCTGTTTGGACAGTTCTAGTTTTATTTAAAGCTATCGTGCAAAGTCATAAACCTATTATACGCAAGGAGCAAAGCGGTGTCCGCCATATTTCTCTACTCTGCGATTTTCTAATTGCCAAATATATTGATCAATCGCGGTCATGGGCTATTGCACACGCTTCCAGAAGGCCTAGTGTGTACACTAAACCCCCGAAAATATAAGTCAAGCTTGTAATGTCTTCCGCTAAGTTTCAGAAACTAATACAATACAATTTTTTTGAATGCTTTAAAAATAATTGTAAAAACTAAAATAACTTCATAAAAAAATAAATGTTACAATTTTACAAGCAAGTGAATTTTTTGCTTATGAAAAATACATTTATAAACATCGTATTACAATGCTTACCAGACGCCAGACAGTACAAGCTTGATCATGGATCATACGATAAGTAAAAACAAGATTTATAAAAAGAAGAAGTATGCGAATTCTTTCCAAATTTTTCTTTCAGCGCCTACATCAACACATTCCGTATACGCCCTGCGACATGAAAAAGGTTATTGTATACCTTTACAGTTTTCTAAAAATAGTAACGAGTTTATATCTCAGGGATTTGGGGAGCAGTTATTATCTAGGAAAATATTATTTTTTAGAAGAAAATAATTATCAACAGAAACTCTGAATATATTGAATGTAAAATTTTGAATTATATATTCTTTAGAAAATTTCATATATTTTGAGGATATATTGAATGTAACATTTAAAATTATATATTCTTTAAAAATGTTAACATACCGGTATTTTGTAACCAAATCTCTCTCTCTATCTCTCTCTCTTAATTGTACACAATGTTCATGCATGAAAACAAACACAGGCGTCCCAAACAAATTGAAATAGGGGGGGGGGCTAAACAAACAGAAAAAGGTAAACCCACAATTTTCAAGGCCTATATTATATTTGTATTTGCAAAAAATTGGAGGGGGGCTTTACCCCCACCCCCCACCCCATCCCAACGCATATGCAGGGATGGATTAAACTTTTCCTTGAAAGAAAAGTGAATACAACAATAAAACATCGGATATGGAAATCAGAAATATAAACGAAATTTTAACTTTTGGCAATGATGCAGAATTACATTTTTTTGGATAACGTAGAATTCAAAAATAATATTGCCCAAGTTTTCTGCAGTTGTATTATTCCTCGCCAATTTAATTTTCCTGAAAAAGGGGAAAACAATTTTATATGCTAATATAAAGAACAATACAATTTTCAGTAAAAGTTTGAACCTATTTGAACACATATGTCATTTTCGCTACGAAGATGACATATGTGTAATAAATATGACATATGTATAAAATAAATACGATTTAAAATGTCTTGAATTCGTAATATAACCCCCTTCCCCGCAAACGCAAACGCATATACAATTTCCTATTTCTAACGCAAAATCACGCATATACCGTTTCCCCGCAATCACGCATTCTCACGCACTGAAAAAAGTTCACTTAATCTTAAATTTAATGCCAATTTTCTTCTATTTTATGCTTGCAATATTCTCATAAAATAAGAAAAGTTATATTTGTATTGAAATATTACGTCATGATATTATTTACGCTAAACTTTAGAGAAACCAGTACCACCATGCGGAGAAATGGTAAATTTCTATTTGTATGACGTGAACATTAAGTGTATGTTGCATAACAGTTCAGTAAGTTGTAAAGAGGCTACTTTTTTTCCCAAATACATACATAGTATAGACATTGAAACGACTTTCCCCCCCCTTCTACAAAAACATCGCAGTGTAATTAAAAAAAATGGTTAAATGATTTTTTTTTGCTTGTTAGGTTTTATTGAAGGTATAATTTTTTTTTTTAGCCCCCCCCCCCCCCCCCCCCCCCCCGCTTTCAATTTGCTTCTGACGCCAATGTCAAATGTACATGTTGAAGAATTTTAATTAAAAATGAGATTTTTTTCATATCTTAAATAAGGTTTTTCTGCCCGTAGCAACTCAGGCTAATTTGTTACATAGTAAAGAAAAGTACTAGTAAATGATTTTTATTGTCCATGCACATTTCTAATGCATAAAGTGCATCAATATCCAAAGCGGTTGATAGATGGTGCATCAAACATATAATAAGTCATCAATTTAGGAAAAAATGTAACATAAAATAAAAGTATTACATGTGTATGTAATTCTGAACCCAGGAAAATGGAATTTTTATAATATTAAAAGAAATGAGAATTAATGAAGTGATCCACATTGAAACTTGCCGGTCAGAAGTATTCAGATTTCCTAAAGTTTATTTAAGAAAAAATAGGTGTAAAATTTAGAATTAAATTATAATTGTCATTGTGTACATTTTCACAGAAACTTTTGAATTCATTGTTTGCCCCCCCCCCCCCCCCGGTACATAAAAACGTTTAATTACCTTGCGAGATTTATGCATGTACAATGTATTAAGAAGAACTGAACTTTGCTATTTACCGCAAATGGTTCTCTTGCACATGTAAATAACTTGTCCGAACAACTTTTTCATAATGAACATAATTTGTGCCTTTTTTCTTGACGACAATTGCAATAATCTTTCTAGCTTTCAAGTTGCCTGTCTCTTTGCTTTATCCGATTAATAACGCATATGTAAACAAACATTTTATAATATATTAGCTACAGATCTGTACAGTAGCTTGCTGGAATGCAGCTGGAAAAAATAGAGATGTCTGTCCAGGGAGCTTATTGTGCATAAAACACCGCGCTTTTTCCATTTCTTTCTCCGTTATATAAATTATGCTACCACCTAAAAAATTTACTAACCGTGTTCTCCTAGCACATTTACTACTCCCACAACAAAAAATTCCCCAAACTTTGGTTTATAGCCCCTCTGGGCCTGATATATCGAGTCCATCGAAAATTGGTAAAATATACTGTCATACTAGGTTGCAAAATAATTCAGTCCATTGCGCTTCGTGCATGACGTACACATGCAGTTCTATTGTGAATGAAGTAAAATTTAGAATATATAAGAAACTCAAGTTGAAATATATGGTGAAAAAAAAAACCCCACTTTTTGTGCGCAATAAATAAACACTTTTTTTCAATGTTTAGCACTGTAGCTCTTTGGCCTGGTTGTCCATCCTATAATTGTTTTAGACCAGCGAGCTACAGATCTGCAGCTTATAAATAGGGTTGAAACTGAGAAGAGAGAGAGAGAGAGAGAGAGAGAGAGATTTCTCTTAAAATTTTGGTATTTGTTTTATTTATTAATGCAATAATTGAAAAATAAACAATGCATTTTTTTCTTTTTAGTGATGTAGGTCTTAAAATGTTATCTCCCGTACTGATGTATTCGCAGGAAAAAATATAATTACAGAAATAAATCAGTGATAGTATAATTTATATATCCAAATATTTCTTTATATACATGTAAATGGGTTTCTTCAGTAAATCCCCACCTCCTCTTCCTGATAAAGAATTTGATTTTCTTTACAAGCAGTGTAGGCAAATAATTGATTTGCTGTTCTAAATAATAGAATAAACAGAAAATTTCATAAGCAGATTCAATTTTTCCTTGAGCATTTGGCGTAACTATGCATTTTTTTAATTTGTACTTTATAAATTAAAAAAAAACAACAACAATTTGTTACCCTAATTTGTATTTGCGTCTAAAGTGTGTACAATTATTTGGGTTATGTCGAAAACGACCACCAGTTTCCAATGATTTTTTGTAGATTGTATAACACTCACATACATGTACTAGATAAAATAATAACAGGCCCCTAGAAAACACCGAAGTGTGAGTAGATCCTATTTATAGAAAATTGTGAATTTTGCCCCCAGATCAGTTTTGTTTACCGAGAAAGGGTGTGTGTACTAATGGAGTATGCAAAAAGGCAAATCTTTGGATAAATATTGCTAAACTTTTATAAATTTTGTTTTACATATTGTATGTTCCATTCAACTTGATCAAGCTTGTACTGTCGGCATCTGGTAAGCAATGTAAAAAGCTTTTGCATAGGTTTTAGCAGAAATCTATTACTTTCATATAATTTTAGTAATATTTTACTTTTTTCTAATTTATTTACGTACTTATTTTGTGAAAAATATTTTTTTTTCATTATATTTTTGCATCAATAATTTATTTTCTAAAATTTAGCGGAAGACAGTACAAGTTTGACTTATATTTTCGGGGGTTTAGTGTACACACTAGGCCTTCTGGAAGCGTGTGCAATAGCCCGTGAGCGCGATTGATCACATATAAACATTGTAACTTTATTAAAAAATACACCGCTTTGCTCCTTGCGTATAATAGGTTTATGACTTTGCACGATAGCTTTAAAGATAATTACTGTAAAAATGGAAAAAAAAATATATTCCACCTTCTACTCCTTCTACTAAAGAAATCTCTAGATTCTTTTTATTTTTCAATGAAAGAATAACTTTCGGCTGTTTTATTGTAACTTATCCATATGAAATTTTCATCTTATGTATTTTTGTTAGTTTATAATTTTTGCTGTGTATGCTTATAAAGCAATGAATAAATGATGCTTATATCATGATTCACTGCAGACATGGTGTTTGGTGTTTTCCACTTTATAAATTATGTAGCGTACATACTTGGCTACCAATAGTGTAACCTGAGATATTGTATGGCCAGAGAAATATTTACCAAATTACCAGGCGCTTCTTCTCAGTTATGCCATTTGACTGTTTTAAACTTGTGCAAGAAAAAAAGCATAAAATTAATTTATACTGATTTAATAAGAATTATATATGCAGCTATTATAATTGATGACCATATAGTGCAGGGTGGCCCTATGAGAATTCCATCCCCATCCAAGTCAAGTTTTCTAAGTTGCCTTGCTGGTCTGAAGCTGTCTAGCACACTGTTCCTACACTGCTAAAAGACAGTTTCTGCAGGTCCCAAGTACAACCTAGAATCCCATATTACCATTTATAGCAATATTTTTTTAAAACTTGCCTTTAGTTGGTGGAACAATCTAACACACTGTTCCTGCTCTGCTAAAAGACACAGGTCAAAAGCTCTATCCTGGGTTTTGGCAGTGAGGGGTATAATTCCTTCTAATTTGATTCTGTACTGATAAGGTTGTATACATTTACATCTGGAAACAGATAAAGCAATTTAGTGCAGGGATTTGAGGGAGATTTTGAGGTCTTATAGGTAAAGGTCAAGGTTAGAATTATTCATGTTATTTTTTATTGTGTTATTATGTAAGCTGCACAAACCCTTGTGTATATTTTGATTTACATATTCATTATACACAAGTAGAAACACAGATAGATTTTGCATTGATCTTGACTTTGACATTTGGGCAAGTTAACTTGCCAAAATGCTGTGTATATTTTAAAATATATACTAAATTTCAGCCGGTGAAAATTTGACTTAAAAAGAACTTTTTGAAGTTTAATTTGCTTACTGATATGAATTTTTATCTTTTTTAGTTCACAGCTCCAGATTCAAGCTCAAAACACATCATCATGTCATGTGACACTTGACCCAGATGATTTCAAAGAAAACAAGGTTATTCGTTGGTAAGTCATTTGCAACTTATACATGTATATTCCAATACTGAATACTTTGATTCTATGAACATATGACAGAACTGATTAATTTAAATCAATTGATCCACATACACAGTACAATAAAACTTTATGCTTCCAATCAGTATATCTGATATACATTAATTGTACTATTTGAACAATATTTTATTTTATCACATAAAGACACTGTGTAGTGATCTTCAAGTAAATACTTCATTTTTCATGAATTCAATATAAAGTGAAACTTAATTGTCATATCTGGATCTTGTGTATCCCGAAATATTGCCCAATACAGTGTTAACTGAAGTCCCTATTATAGTAAATTTAATGGTTTAAAATTAAATGTTGTCTAATCTGGCTAATTTCTATGGAACCAGTTGTGTATGGATTCAACTAGTTTTTTTTTTAATGTACATAATTTCATTTGTTCACATGGTTTCAAAATTGATCTATTATTGCTTTGCAAACTTTCGAACTTTGAATTATTGTTCCTTGGAAACGAAAAACGACTTTTATTAAAAAATAAAAAACAATTGAAAAAAAATTTAAATGGTATCAATGTACTAGTGGTATTTTAATTAACATTTTGCAGATTTTATTTCACTGTCTGTATGTGGCATGTAATAGCCAAATTAAGTTATCCACAGACAGTGTCAGTCATGGTATTGTAATATTGTGTGGCAAATCCTGCCCAGAATAAGTCATTTTCTAGAGGCTAGTCATTAATGCTACATTCTGTCCCCCATAGTAATTACGGGGCTTGTCAGAGACATGGCCTTGATGTACAATACATTCCCTAACCACCAATGTTAACCTCCCATCAACCATTTATCTTTCTGCTGCTACTGATAACAAATCTCTTTCAATGTGTATTCCTCTATTGGAATTCAATACAAAAGCAGCTGTTTTCATCCAATAGATGAATAACCCCAAAATTGGATTCTTTGTGAATCTTTCCTACTACCAAACTATGACCAATGACTTTTTACATTTACTTCAAGTAAACTCCGAAATTGGATTTCTGTAGATATTTCTAAGATCAATGATTTAATTGTTGCAAATTTATTTCAATTATATTTCCACTTCACTTTTTTTTTGGATAATTTTTTTTCTTTTTCCAGAAATTTTTGAGAATTTACACATAGTCATATTGTTGCCTATTAGCAGATAAATAAGAAATATGGTGCATAATTTGGAATATATTCCTAATTCTTCCCTTTAGGAATCACAAATAACATTCCAGAATATGTATTCTTTAGGTATACACTGTATTAGAATGTTAGGTATAGAAATTATGTGTCAATTTTTTATCATTGAAACAATTTATTTCATGATACAGATAGTGCCCCAGGGATAGAAGATTATTGACTTAACTAGAAATCATATTACACATTGACTCATATTTCAATTTGATTTTTGCGGTTACTCTGGTTAGTGTTATTTATTATTGATCAATTAATCTATATATTTAGAATCTATAAATTTAATACTCTGTATAAAAATGAAACCTTTTCTCAAATGAATTATTCACTTTTGCTTTTTTTGCAAGTCATCCTTCGAAAGAATTTGTACAGGTTGTGTTATATATATATATATATATATCTGATTAAATCTAGTAAATCACATTTTATTGATAAAGACTTTGTAAGTTAATTATTTTACAAAATATTTCAATGCAGAAATAAAATCTCATGAGTGGTAAAAGGAATAAAATGTAAAGATAATAAACAGTGATCATGCTGATGGATCCATTTGAACATAAGATAGAATTATTTAGGAGTAGAGCAAACACAGCCCTCTAGAACATCAGAGGTAGGATCAGGTGACATGGGTGATGAAACATCCCCATCATACACTAAATGCTCCTAATCCTGATGGGGTAAATGAAAAAAAAAAATTATCGAGAATTCAATTTGAGAATAATATCCAAGCCACATTCCAAGGCGAAATAATCAAGAAAATGCAAAAAATATAGCAGGGTCATTAAATATATATATATATATGTTTATATACTGGGCCAGAAAAGATAAAACTTCTGTGGAAGCTCCCTGGTTAGTGGAATAGTACAAAAATCATTCAAAATTCTTTTTCTATACAAATACACACAGGCAGTACTACAGAAGTCATTCTAGTAAATCCAATTTTTTTGGTCTATTATCCCCTCACAATGGAGTAGAAGGGGATATAGTAACACAGTAGTGTGTGTTATTGTTTATGAGTTATGTCCTGTGCAAAACGGAAGTGATATTAGTTATCCAGGTTCAATCAAGGGTGTATGGAATTTACCCCGGGTTTTATTCCATACACCCTGAGGCTGATTAAACCTGGATAACGAATTTATTTCCTATGTACCAATACAAATTCTTTGTATACATCAGAGTCTAATCAACTGTGTCTCAACCTGTCAATAAGATTTACTACGTACTACTGTATAATGCATTGTGACGTCATGTCATTGCTTTTTATCATAGCGAAACTGTGCATTGTGACGTCGCGTTTTATTTACCCCCGGCTCAAGTCGGGTGCACGGAAATTTACACCCGACTTTGTAACCAATCAAAGCTCGTGTTACAAGCTACATAGGAAATAATGTAATTTGCATCAGGATCAAATTGTTGAACGTTGTCTTGGTTTACAGATAGCTCTTTGCATAGAAGATGTTATTAGAAGATCATGGAACTTTCCATTAATCATTTAGGTCATGACTAGTCAATGCTCAAGTACTAGATGAGATAATTTTCCCTTGGAGGAACTCTCCTGGTACAATCAACACAGTTAAGCATTGTAGGGTTTATGGGTACTAATGCATATTTTAAAAAAAATGACTGCATTTTATTGGACTGCAGGAATAACAGGGAAACAGAACATGGAGAGCATTAAATTTTTAATGTGACAGACATGCAAACAAATTGCAAATCCACAGACTGAGATGTTAGATGCAACTGCCTACAGAATGTCAATCCCAAAGAGACAAATGAACAATAGGGATGGCATATACTGCTCATTATATTTATAAACTTTTTTTTCTAATTGATAGAAATGTATCTCTTTGTTATCTATTAGGTAATTCAGTAAATGACCTTTTATCAAATTTGTTACAAAAAGAGGGGTAACTGACAGAGACTCCAGGAGAAGTTCTTGATAGCGTGTGACAATTGGCAGTGTTCTGCCACAAGTCTCAGGTGAATTGGTTTTGTAATATCAAAACTGATACCTTCAGTAGTGAAAAAAAATCATTTTTGTCATTTATTTCCAAGTGGATTGGATTCAAGATTATACTGCATTTGATCCATTTGAAAAAAGAACTTTTTTGCTTTGTAATTCTACTTTCAACTACAGTCAGATGTCAATATCTGGAACTCAGTTTACACAAAAATTAAGATATCTCAGAATTTGATCAGGAAGTTTCAAGTTAAGCTTTGACTTTAGAACACAGGTCATAGATTTACATGTATATGAAAATTTGGAAGAAGTTTACACAATGAAAATGAAGTACATACTCACCATGACAAAGTCTTGATTTTATAAATGTCTGTTTATTTCAATATTTGTGATATAATATCCTTTGTAGGGAGAACATAATATGGGTGAACCGGCCATTCGCCCTTTGGATTGCTCAAGTCACAGTTGCCATTATCAGTCTTATGGAAACTATCCTTATACAGTATCTCAGTTACAAGGTAAAGATTTGATTTGATCCCTATCAAATATACAGCACAAGATATATTCTTGTCGTTTTTAGAAGCTTGAACTTACAGACACTCAAAACTATGGAATAAAGTGTGTACCTTTATTCTTGAATGTGAGCAGAAAAATTATTATCACAAAATTATCATGAGAAACACCAATTATGAAATAAAAATATTTTTTTATTGCTTTTGAGTACATTTAAAATGTCCTTTTTAAATGATTTCTACTAGTCATTTGTTCAGTATTAAGTACTGTTGTAAAATAAGAAACCTACAATATTTTCTTTGCTGTAGCCAGAAATCTAACTCTAGTAGGGTTAAACACATAAAAAATAATATGACGCAAACTAAAAAAATAAGTATTAAACAAGTTTTTCAAGTATATTTTTTGTTTACAGGGAAACATATTACAACAGATTCTGTCTGTAGAGTTTTTATTGGAACTTGTTAATACAGTTCCCTTTGTTGTAACAGTAAGTATTGTTTTTCCTGTTTTGAAATTTGAAGTTTCACAAAAGATAGATATAAGAATTCATTGACAAGCATTAAATGAAGTTTGCAGTAACAATGTCTTCATTTTTTTTCCACTGTCTTTCTTATTGGTTACAGATATTTTGGCCTCCTCTGAGACAACTTTTCATTCCTGTATTTTTTAACATCTGGTTAGCTAAGCAGGCTTTAGAAGATATGTTTGTAAGTACATGTAGAATAATATAAATGACTATTGATTATTTATTTTTGGTCTTAAATAAGCTGGGTTTGCCCAAAGCATATAAGTTCTCAGTTTTCAAGATCATGCATATTAAATTATTTTGCTTAAGAAGCATTTATTTGGTCTTATTTTTCAGAATTTAGCTTTTACTGATAGTAGTTTAAAAAAAAGAATCATGGATGACAGAGCAGTTATCTTAGTATGTCTGAATTATGTTTCAAAGTAGAAAATGAGAAATGAACACAAGTCAAAAAAAATTTAGATGCAAAAAGGTGACCTGGTTGTTGATGAAATAAATTTTCAGTTAGGATAAAAGTGACTTGATACATGATATATTCTGTTAATGAGCTTTAAACTTGATCTTGATCATTGTACAATGTATATCTATATCTCCGAGGGTATGAAAAGTATATGGTTTCGCAATCATTGAGAATTTTATGCAATTTTTTTTTTGTTGGGAGGGGGAGGAGGCAGAGAAAGGAAAAATTGAATTATCATGGAAAAATCTTATGTATCTTATGAAAGACACACATCATAACCTTTGTAATGTACATATAGGATAAATCTATTAGTAAGGATCAAAGAGATCACTTTCCTTGGTGAAATAAAGAAGATTAATATATAATATTCTTCATTTGCTAGATTGAAAACTATATACATGTATTGGTTTGTGAAGGTTATTGTATTATTATTTAATGTACATTGTTTTTTATTGAACAGAATGATTTGCACTGATTAATGATGAAGTTTGAAGGCTATTGTATTACTATGTACCCTATTACAAGTAATGATGTGTTTTTATTAAACAGAATGATTTATGCCTAGTGATGATGAAGTTTGAAGGATATTGTACTATTATATCAACTTTATTGCTTTTATTGAACAGAATGATTTACACACCGAGTGATGATGAAGTTTGAAGGTTATTGTATTACATGTAGATAATGCTGATTGTTTTTATTGAACAGAATGATTTACACCGAGTGATGATGAAGTCTCAGTCAGCCTTATCTCAACAAATTATGATCCTCATAGCTACCATTGTATGCCTTGTCATAACCAGGTAAGATAACTAACCATCACTAATAACTAATAAGCCATAACTATAAAAACTTATTAACCACCTCTTCTGAATACAATTTTTGGCATTATCAGGTAAGATAACTAATAAATCATCACTAGTCTAATAACTAATTTACCATGACTAATTACAAAATAACCATCTCTTATGACTATGAAGTCTTGCTATAACCATGTAAGACTACCTTTACTATAACTACCATGGTAATAACTAGACAGCCACCACTTATCCTAAATGACTATATACCTCTTAGTTATTATACTGTACGTATTTATAATATATTGTTTTCATTCACAGTACGTGTGGTGTGCAGCATCTCCAGCGCGGTGGAAACCGACAGTTTGATCTGTTTGAGTCGCTGTGGTTCTCTATGGTGACGTTCTCCACGGTTGGATACGGTGACATATACCCTGATATCTGGATCAGCCAGCTCTATATGTTGACTATGATCTTTGCAGCCCTCATTGTTTTCCCCAGACAAGTAAGTACAGCCAAACACAAAAATCTATACTTGTATAGCCTGGAAATCCTAATTGGTTTCTTTGTTGTGGTCACTTTGATAAGTCAGCAGACAGTGATTGTAGTTTCTGTTGTTTTTGTGTCATAGAATTAGATGGGTAATTATATATCATTACTGTTTCAAAGTAGTAAATAATTTTTAGCTCACCTGAGCCGAAGGCTCAAGTGAGCTTTTCTGATTACATTTTGTCCGGCGTCCGTCTGTTCGTCTAGCTGTCTAACTGTCTGTCCGTCTGTCTGTATGTCCGTAAACTTTTCACATTTTCGACTTCTTCTCAAGAACCGCTGGGCCAATTTCAACCAAACTTGCCACAAAGCATTCTTGGGTGAAGGGGATTCAAGTTTGTTCAAATAAAGGGGCACGCCCTCATTTAAGGGGAGATAATTGAGAATTAGTGAAAATTTGGTGGTATGTTTTAAAAATCTTCTTCTCAAGAACCAATGTGCCAGGAAAGATGAAACTCATGGGGAAACATCTTCAGGTAGTGTAGATTCAAATTTATTCAAATCATGTCCCCCGGGGGTAGGGCGGGGCCACAATGGCCGACCAAAGTTTTACATAGAAATATATAGGAAAATTCTTTAAAAATCTTCTTCTCAAGAATGACAAAGCCATAATTTATCAAATTTATATGGAAGCATGCTCAGGTAGTGTAGATTCAAATTTGTTCAAATCATGACCCCCGGGGGTAGGCCGGGGCCAAAATGGCCGACCAAAGTTTTACATAGAAATGTATAGGAAAATTCTTTTAAAATCTTCTTCTCAAGAATGACAAAGCCATAATTCATCATATTTATATGGAAGCATGCTCAAGTAGTGTAGATTCAAGTTTGTTCAAATCCTGAACCCCCCGGGGTAGGGCGGGGCCAAAATGGCTGACCAAAGTTTTACATAGAAATGTATAGGAAAATTCTAAAAAAATCTTCTTCTCAAGAATGACAAAGCCATAATTCATCATATTTATATGGAAGCATGCTCAGGTAGTGTAGATTCAAGTTTGTTCAAATCATGACCCCCGGGGGTAGGCCGGGGCCAAAATGGCCGCAGTTTTACATAGAAATATATAGGAAAATTCTTTAAACATCTTCTTCTCAAGAATGACAAAGCCATAATTCATCATATTTATATGGAAGCATGCTCAAGTAGTGTAGATTCAAATTTGTTCAAATAAGACCCCCAGGGGTAGGGCAGGTCCAAAATGGCCGACCAAAGTTTTTAAAAATATATATAGGAAAATTCTTTAAAAATCATTTTCTAAAAAATAGCAAATCCATGATTGGTCATGGAACTACTTTTGGATTTAAACTTTACAATAAAAAGCCATTTTCTACTTTTTCCTACCCTTAGTGCTCAGGTGAGCGATGTGGCCCATGGGCCTCTTGTTATGAAATTTTAGAATGAAACTTTCAGCTCAGAATCATCAGAAACTTAATAGAAGGATGTGGTAGATAAATCTATGAATATGAAATTTATACCACACACTATATTAATTTTATCTACATGTATTATGAGATAATGATGTTACCAGGTACATGTACTGTGATAGGCTTGATGCGTATTGCTTTAATACTGATGCAGAATTTGATAAATGTAAGCATTAAAAATTGTATAGAAGCCATTCATGTATCAAAATTGTACAATTCATAAATGAAAAGAGTTTTATATGAAATCTATACATGTATGCAATCTTCAATGCACATGGCCTTCAACTTTGTATCTAGAGGATATACAATGTATGATGGTAGCATTGCATATTTCATTTGGTAGAGCACAAGTGAGCACTATGGCCCATTTGGCACACATTTTTTTAAAAAGTGCATTGCATTTCATTGGCTTAAGAGTAGGGCTGGGTATTAGCCAGAGATTTTGTATTGTGATATAATGCTATATTTTAAACTGTATTGCAATATGTTTTGCAATATTTTCAATGAAAATAAAAAGGCATTTTCCTATCATATTAACTTTAATTCACATGCAGAATGTACATAACTATGATAAGTAACCAAAAGAAAAAAGATCTTGTTGATATTTTTTAAAGTTTTGCTTTGAAATACATCCATAAAACAGTTTCTGTTGTGATGTTTGGCTTTAAAACAAACCATTCTTACATTTATTTTTATATTTAATGACAAAATTCCTTAGTCTAAGCATTTGATATTACAAAAACATATTGCAATATGATATTTTTTGTCAATGTATTGCAATATACCGAAATATAGATATTTTTGCCCAGTCCTACTCAAGAGGTTCACATGAATATAAAAATTTTTACGTATTTACTTAAAGTCAGACGTTCGTCAAATATATGTTCTGTATCTCTTCGTATCTCTTCGTATTATATAAAAAATATTCATATATGTCATTCTTTTCTGATTTCTACATTGTTTTCAAAATGTTTTTAAGTATAAGTACACCAAAAATGGTGATAAAGGCCATTCAGAAGATTACCCATATTAAGGGTTATATAAGAAATATGACCTTGTGGTATCTTGTCCAGATGCCTGGTAAGGTACCCTTATTTTTTGTGAGGAATCTTATTCAAGTACCTATTCTTCAATGACAAATTCTTAGGAAAAATTATATATTTTTGAGGAATGTGTCATCTGACCTTAAGGTAGGATTCTTCTCTGGTTTCTGACTAGATGAAACATTCAAAGCATATTTGCTTATATGTCTTACATATTGAGGTGTAAGGAATTTAAAAGACTATATTTTTCTTTCCTCATCACAATTGTACAACTTTAAATAGAAATGGTAAACTGTGTTTGAAAACTAGCAGGGACTGTATTTTTGGCGGAATGGTGGCGTATGAAAATATCTTCTTTTCTGCCTCTCAAAATTATAATAGAACAATAAATTTAGTTATAATTTTTACACAGTCGAAGACTTGGAGAAATTTTCAAATGTAAGTTAGATTAATAATGAGGGACTAAACTTTCAAAATATATTAAATAAATATGATTTTTCAAATAAACTAGAACTTTATTAGCTTTTAAACGCTTCCTATCAAAGTGCAGATCTGAGCCAAAAATCCATAAAAAGTATTTTTTCTCATTTAGTAAACGATCAAAACTTTTTGTTTTTGTATCATTTTGTACATTTATAAGACTACTTTATTATATGTGAAAATAAGAAAAAGTTAAATATAGGAAGCATATGAAAATAACTAATATATCCTAAAAAATTAAGAAAAACAGAGAAAATTCGGATTAGCCAATATCCAGTTAAGTTAAATTATTTATGTAAATTTGGTAATATCATGCTATAGACCCGATATAGCAATATGTTTTTATGCAAAAAGAACAATCATTAAACTTTTGAAATAGAAGTAGGTATCACATGATTGGCAACAGTTATTTTTTATTCTTAATGTCAAGGAGAAAGATATTGACCTTGACCTGACCTTGCCTCTAATATAAAACGGTCAAAATTAATTTCACTGATACTATCACTTACTGATATTGTCTTCTTGATTCTGTGAAAATTTCATTAATTCTTAAATATTAGAAAAATGAGAAGAATCCTACCTTAATAAATTTTATAATTGCTGACTAATAAATGCTTTGGAAGATACTAAGAAAGACTCCATTTTTTAGTTGGAGCACCTGGGTTATACATGGCTGGAGAGACAGAGACAGGGTGGTGCCTACAGTAACCACCGAGCTCAGACAGAACGCCATGTGGTGGTGTGCACTACCACTCTACAGTCAGACACCGTGCTGGATTTCCTGAATGAATTTTATGCTCATGCCATTTTGCAGGTAAGATTTGGTAATTTTCTTTTTAAATTGTTGATCAGTCCAGCATATGCTAGATTCGAATTCCTTTACTTTTCTTAATGACAAATTGTACATAGAAACAGTTTTGACTTGGACATCTATAAGAGATGACTATATTCACAATGAACATTATGATGTAACTATTTTATTATCAATTGGTGTACAAACATGGGCATTGGCTCTAACTTTAATCTAACACTTAATTAGAAAGTTAGGTTATGGGAATTAAGATACAAAATACCCAATCTATATATATATTTTTATTTATGAAGAACAGCACTAAACCACCTTTTGCTTAATTGGTTAAGATTTTGGTGTGTATTAAAAGTAATTTTTCTGAAACTAGCACCTGACAATATTTTTTCCCAGGTAGTTCATGTTTATTTCTGTTACATTGTACCTAAGAAGTTAAAGAGACAGAGCTATTTTAAGCATACAACTCAATGAACAAACTCTGTATAGATCTTATGTGAACTTTTCTAGATTTAATAAAAAGTTTGAAGTGATGCCTATTTTTAGCATCACCAGCATATGGATGTGAATATTTTTACATCAAGTGAATGCTGCTCAATCAGTTCACATGATTTAGAATGATTTCAAACAAATAGGAAACCTTACAACCCTCTTTTCTGCAGCCATTTAAAGACCTTCCAACAAGTGTTCGCTGTGCATTTAAGTGGAATCTTGTTCTTTTTTATTGCCTTTTCACACCATAAACAAGATGAGCAACTGACAAGCAATTGAACTACAAGTCACTTTAGCTGTTTAGATGGTTTTTGTGAGCAATTGAACTATATATCACTTCAGCTGTTTAGATGTTTTTATAACCTCTTTTTATGTCACCCCCTTCAGTAAATTCAGTATTTTATTACCGTTTAACTAGTGCATCATTTTAGCATGAAGAGAAGATTGAAACAACAGTTACTTTAAGATTAATAGTTAGCAATTACAGCAGAAGAAAATTAGAGTCTGCTGCCACTTTATTTAGCTCCAATAAAATATCTGACTTAAATTTAGGTCAGTTTTTGTTATTCTCTTTTAAGCTCACCTGAGCTGAAGGCTCAAGTGAGATTTCTGATCAAAATTTATCCATTGTCTGTCGTCGTCGTTGTCTGTTGTCATGATCTCCATCGTTGTCGTAAACTTTTCACATTTTCATTTTCTTTTCAAGAACCACTGGACCAATTTCAACCTAACTTGCCACAATGTATCCCTGGGTAAAGGGGATTCAAATTTGTTCAAATGAAGGGCCACACCTTCTTTCAAGGGGAGATAATTTTATATTACTCAAAAAATTAAAACAATGGACGATCAAAGTTTTACATAGGAATATATAGGAAAAATCCTTAAAAATCTTATTCTCAAGAACCACTAGGCCAGGAAAGGTGAATCTCGTGTGGAAGCATCCAAAGGTAGTGTAGATTCGAGTTAATTCAAAGCATGACCCCCAGGGGTAGGGTGGGGCCGCAATTGGTGTTCAAAGTTTTACATAAAAATAAATAGGAAAAATCTTAAAAATCTTCTCAAGAACAGCAAAGCTGCTATTGTTCATTGAAGCAATGAATTATTGTTTATTGAAAGATATAGTTTCATTACTGCAACGGTGTGTGCAAACAAATTGAATAACGTGTGTTATGAATAAAGTTAAAAGTTTTATGTATGAAAACTTAGGGAAAACCATTAAAAATCTTGCCCTCAAGAACAGCAAAGCTGTGATTGGTCATATTTATACTTTTCAATACTAAAATGCTCAATTTTCTGCTTTCTCCAAGCCGATGTGCTCAGGTGAGCAGTGTGGCCCCTGGGCCTCTTGTTTTACTTCAGATTGCTTCATGGTTCATAAAGCATAAACTGACTCAGCTCAGGTTATATGTTCAGTATAAATTGGGTTGCTGTTTAATTCATTCCTTAAATGATTTACATTTGAATTCTATTACATAACTATATAATTAAGCTATTTCTATGTTTCAGGATTACTATGTTGTTCTACTTTCTCCATGTGACCTTGACCCCACAATGAAGGTCCTCCTGCAGGTTCCTATATGGGCTCAGAGGGTCATTTACATCAGGGGGTCAGCTCTCAAGGACTCTGACCTCACCAGGGCAAGGTTAGTGTCCTATTATTGATTTCATTACTTCAGTAAATTGACGTAAAAATTGTCTGCCTTTTTCAGCTGGAGGACACAGCAATCATAATGATAATTTTTTCTATCTTTCAAAATGTTGGATTGAAGGAATTAATAAATCCAGATTTATTCTACTGAGAGGAGTTTTTATCTTCTAAAATGGCCAGTTCCAATCCAATGTTCCTATAAGGTCATAAATAATCTGAGTAAGGCCTGCAAGCTGTGTCTGAAAAAGACTTGATTTATAGTAGTTGTGGCTATATTAGTTGGGATCAGAGAAAAGCTCAGTTTTCAAAAATAAGCAAGTTGTCTTTGATGTAATTTTTTTTTAACAGTGAAAGATCTTTAAGTGTTATTTAGATATCCCTCTAAGAACATGTTTGCTTTAAGAACAAACAATAAACTCAAGACTACCAATTAAGAACTTTGTCATGACAAAAACTTGATGGTAAATAGAATCACATTGCATTACATTTTTAATTAATAAATAGAGAGCTTAATCTACTGGTTCTGTTGACAGGGTACAGGATGCTGAGGCCTGTTTTATTCTGGCAGCTAGAAATTATGTTGACAGAGGTGCTTCTGTAAGTAGAGTGTCTGATGAAATAACCATGCATTTTTCTAATACAATCTACCTGAAATATTTTTATGAATGCACAATATAACTAAAAGTAGACATAAAATAATTCCCATATTTTGTGATACAATGTAGCATTTCAGTTAGGTTCAGAATTACAAAATCCAATTTAATGTTCCCTTTGAAAAAAATGAATATTGGTTTGCACCTTTTATTCTGTGAGTTTCAAGTGTCAATGATTTGCTCAAAGTCTGACATCTTTGCTTTGAAGACATAATTGATCTGAAATGTACTGGTAGATTTTATGTGAAGAATTAAAGATACACTGTATATATTTAATTCCCTCGAAATATGATTTTCGGTTTAAGGGCACCAGTTTTTAACTGTGATAAGACAACTGTATTCTGTTTGCTGGTACTTTTTATTCTTCCCATTTATTAAATTTATATGACTTGTCTACCGGTATTTCATCCTGGTCTTCCTATATGTATGATTGTCTATTCCCTCTGTTTTAGGATCAGCACACTATTCTGAGATCCTGGGCCATCAAAGACTTTGCCCCTCACTGTCCTCAGTATGTGCAGATATTCAGACCAGAGAATAAATTCCATGTCAAGTTTGCAGGTTTGAGAAATTTCTTTTTTGTTATTACAGTGAAACTTGTCCAATCTGAATGTTGTATACTCCAAAGTCCTGTCTTATTTGATGGGAAGCTTATGTCCCTTTCAGTAAAGTTTATAATGTTACCTCATCCGGCCAATTTGTATGGAATCACTGGTGTCCCGGTTAGACAAGTTTTACTGTGTTTTTATTTTCCAATGACTTGGTCACTATTATTATACATGGTAAGAATTTCACACAAATTACATGCACATTATAATATTGATGCTTATAATTACATGTAGAATTAGAGTAAGCTCCTTTCTTGTATATTGTCTAGTGAATTTAGAATACATGTACATAGATATATGAACAATTCATATTCTTTCCTCTGGTGTATTTTTATTACTGTCCCTGCAGTAGGGATAATAGAAGACATCAATATTTAAAACTTCACCTGAAATTCAAGTAGAATGAATTTTGAGAAGGGCATTTTTGACTATTGATTTTTTTAAGGGTGGAAGCTCTATGATGTTTGCAAAACAGTCATTGATTTTAATTATCAGTTGAGCGGAACATTGATTATTTCCTCCTTTGTCAGTTTCACTGCTTATTGTGTAAATAACTTCTGGAAATAAGACATTTTTCTTAATGCTCTTGATACTGACCGAAAAGATGTGAAATTGATTCTGACTTCTGCCAGAAGTTTGTGTATTACTTTGTCTGCAACAGTGATTTTATTTTCTGCTAATGAGGTTATTTTATTTTTGGTTATTTCTTGTCTCAAAGCATAAAGTCTTTGAGGTTTATTTGTAATTTTTTTGTGAATCTTATAATTAAACTCAGGAAGATTACAAATAATGTTACATATTTGATATTTTTTTTATCCTTATGAAAAGTGTGCATTAATAGACAGAAATATTGGAAAACACTAACTATAAGGTCATGTTTAAAATCATAGGTGCATTAGAATTAATACATAAGGGATTTCTTCTGGTTCTCCCGAGTATGGATTTCAGGTTCTTACACTTCAGTTTTTTCAGTTCATTGAGAGGTGACCCATACTGATAACAGAAACGTAGAGATTTTATCAGCTCAGAAATAATTAGCTTCCTGGTACATTCTTTTATGGAGAGAAATGGTATCCTAAAAAGTTGATTAAAATTACAATTATCTTATGGTATATCTGTATTGACTTCTTTATTTGACAGAGCATGTGGTTTGTGAGGATGAATTTAAGTATGCTTTACTTGCCAACAACTGTCTGTGTCCAGCTACCTCAACATTGGTTACTCTGCTGCTCCACACCTCCAGGGGACAGTAAGTCTGATTGGTTAAAAAAGCAAATATATGTATGTTCATTGGTAAAAAATTATACTCAGCTGCTGCACACCTCTAGGGTACAGTAAGTCTGATTGGATAAAATCATGTACTGTAAATAAAATGTATACCGGTATTCATTGGTTAAAAACAAGAGGTAGTGAATTAAAAATCTGATTAGTTGAAATGACTGCAAAAAAGATCTTTTGTACTATTTATCACTTTAAAATGAGCACATATGAAAGGAAACTATGAATTGGTACAAGTATTGAACCATCTAGATACAAAGGAGAAAGACTGTCACAAACCTTTCTGACAAATAAAATAACTCAACTTTTAGAATGGAGACCTGTGTCTAATTTTTCAGTGTTATCTTAAAGCAAACTAGCACAAAATGCTATATTTTGCAGTTAGGTGTCTGTTTTATTGAAATTAATGCCATGTTCTGTCACACAACAGAGCATTATAATCCTTGGTTTTGATATTGATTTAGTAATCAATGATTTCTGTTGACAGAGAAGGACAGCAGTCTTCTGAGGAATGGCAGAAATTATACGGGAAATGTTCAGGAAATGAAATCTACCACATCAAACTAGGCGAAAGCAAGTTCTTCAAGGAATATGAAGGGAAAAGCTTTACATATGCCTCATTTCATGCTCACAGAAGGTGAATGCTTTGCCTTGTTGATTACTTTGAATTAGTATTTACATTTAAAAGTACATTGATAATTATACAGACTTAAAATTATTGCGAACATATAATTACATAATTAACATTGATAATTATACAGACTTAAAAATTATTGCGAACATATAATTACATACTTAACAATTATTGCAACCATAACGAGTTTTGCTGTATTCTGTACTGAAAATACATGTATTTCCCCTTAATACCAACATGTAATGGGTCTTAATCCATTTGCTGGCCTTGCCTGACACTATAAAAAATCAGTAATCTTAGTGAGGCAGAAGCATGGTTGGAGGTTCAAATCCTGTCTAGCTGCTGTGATGTAGATGTACGCTTGACACTATTCATTGTGTTTCTTGAATATCAGCTGTCAACATTTTACAAATCTACAAACCTTCAAGATGATAGTTGATTTGTCTAGTACATAGTTATTAAACCGGACTTCTTTATTATTTAACTAAAAAATAAATTTTGTTTGGCTATGTTTGCATAACTCACCCCTTTACTATTTTTCACAGATTTGGGGTCAGTTTAGTTGGAGTTGACCAGAACATCCAAGACTCCACCATCCAGTTGAACCCTGGTCCTCGACACATCATGAAGTCCACAGACATCTGTTTCTACATGAACATCACCAAGGAGGAGAATACACGGACCTTTAACCTGGCCCATCCCCAGGAGGGGGGACAGAAGCTGGACCAGCAGAACCTCCCCACGGGGACTCAGCAGGCCTCAAGGGTGGCTAGCATGATAGCCAGTGTGGGTAGGTGTTTAGTACAGATACTTTGTAGTAGACAGTAGAGATTTCATTGTTAGTAGTAAAAGTACCTGTTAGAAATAAGTCGGCCTCCAGGGTGGCAAGCATGTTTGCTTGTGGGGGTAGGCGTAATGATACACTTAACTTGTGGTAGACTGTAGAGATTTAATTGTAGTTATGAAACTGTTAGATTTTTAAGACTAACATGAATGAAATATTAGTATAATATATATTGTGTAGAATGGAATGATCATTGTTGTATATATCGTGACACAATCACAGCAAAGTCTGTTAACTTGGTCTGCTTCTTCATTCTGAGATATTTATCATAGCATTAACTTTATGAATAATTTAATTCTTAAAATATAATCACAAAAAAATATTTCCCTTCTTGTTTGATCTAAGGTGAAAGTTTTGATGATGATTTTCAGCCAGGTTTGTATTTCTATCAGATTTTGAAAGTTGTTTTCTCACCGTTTTTCTCCTTTTACTTCTCTTATCATGTGAAATCCTTCATAAAGTTAAATTAAAATAAAATATAGGGGGAAAAATTCTTAAAATTTGATGCAAGGTTCTAGCATGAAAAGTCACTTTATATAAATTTCATTTATGACTATCAGTGAAGCTGGAGTGTCATTCATTTGTGACACCAAAAAATATCATTGCTTTAAAGGATTTCTTGTGATATTTCACCTGTGTGTGTTGAATTTATTGTTTGAAGATTTTCCTTACTTTGAATCTTACTGGATATACATTCCACAGTTCACTGGAAGAAAAATACTCTGGGATTAATTATTTCACCATAAAATTATGTTTCCTTAAATATTGACAGATTAGGGAGTAAATTGTCTTTGTACAATTTCTTGAGTCAGCTATACTTTCAAAGTACAGATTGTTATGGTGTTTTTTTTAAGTCACCAATACACTACTAGATACTATCTTTTTTTCAAATATACCGTATATTGTACTATTTTACACATATATGATATTAATTTGTAAGTATGGAAGGCACATTTACAGCTGTATATATACACTGTACTCACATATATCAGGTGATTTGCACAACTGTACTTGTATTTAAATAATTATGTAAATTGGTAGTACATTTTATTGTATTTTTTTTAAAAGATAGACGTGGAATATTTTAGATTTCGTATGCACTTTAAGTCTTTTTTTATGGATGTTTCTGTATGATTTCTAGAAAAAAAATCATTCAATACACCTTATTAAATTTTTTTAAATTTTCTTTTCATCTGTTTCTAATTTCAATACTCCATTTTCAAAAGTTCTTTTCACCATTTCTACTACATGAAATATCTCTATGTAAAGTTTTACTTAAAAATATTAATTTGCTGTGCATTGTGTTTTAATTAAAAGCATGCTTAATATTAATAGTTTACAAAATCTAGGGTTAATCCCTGCAGGCAATGAATCTTTTTCAATGTGACGTACATAATGAAAAATGGAATGAATATCTGTGAGAATTTTAGTACACCTCCATACACAGATAATAAGCTTTCAAAATGATGTTTTAATTGAGTTTATTGGGAACTTTTATTATGTTGCCCTCTGTATTACGATGTTTTACCGTTACAAAATGAATATCGTAATAACGGGATTCCACTGTATTATTTTTTATTTCATTACCTCTTTTAATAACAAGGTAACTTCTTTTTTAAAGGAACTGTAGCCCTAGAGTTACAACACACGAGAGTAGCTAACTCAGACTCCAACAAGTCACTGAATTCTCCGTCAGGCGTAAAACGTCCCTCCCACCTAGAACTTCCGAAAGGCTTGAACATCCAGAGTCTGCAGAAACGGCCCAGCATTGCTCCTGTCCCAGCATTCCTAGAGGCTAACGATATCCGTATTCAACTGAACTCGGATATAGAGTCGGATGAGGAGGAGGAAATTCCATCCATGGATTCAGATGATACTGGATATGAGTAAGTTATCCATCATATTTACTTGTAGAAATCTATCTAAACCATTTTAGGGAATGTACAATTATTTTTGAGTTGGATAAAAGAAAATTTTTTAGTTTTAAACTAAGTATATTTATCGATACAATATCTTCCTATGTATTGATTATTGAGCCTTAGCTGGAAGTTTTATGAATCAGTGTTGTGATTCCTAATATATTATGGAATTATTTGCATAAAATTTTATTTTTGTATGATATTAAATTAGAATTTTTTAAAAATATATATATTAACAATGACTTTCAGGTATGTTCGAGGATTTCCACCTGTTACTCCTTACATAGGTACCTCTCCAACTCTCTGTCACCTCATGAAGGAAAAGAGGCCCCAGTGTTGTCTTAAACTTGCCACAGTAAGAAATGTTTAAAGTATTGTCATACTTATATACAATCAATGATAAATAAAAAAGATTTTGGTAACTTTCTTCTTTTTATTCAGGAATGTGAACATTGCTTCCATAAGAACGCTAAGGAATACCAGTTTCCAAACCGAGCCATTATTGTGTGTGCTGACTATGCCAGCAGTGGACTGTATAACTTTATTGTGCCGCTCCGATCTCACGCCCGCCCCAGAGCTTCACTCAATCCCATTGTCCTACTGTTAGAGAGAGAGTAAGTGTTAATGGTACAACAGCTCTTATAGAAAGATTAATTTATTACTTTATTTAAAAAAAACATGCTATTACATAATAGTAAGCAGAGAATTTCTTCTTTGCAAAACATGTTAGATTGACTCAACTATACTTAATTCGATAGCATCCCTTGTGTAATTAAGAAAATTTAATAATCCAAGTGTAAAATTTCTCTGTCTCCTGAGTTTGTTAAGTATAAATCATGATTTTAATATTAGTGACATATTTTTGTCTTGCAGACCTGATTCCACTTTTTTAGAGACAATCTGTCATTTTCCTATGGTTTATTGGATGATTGGATCCATAGAATGGTAATTTAATTTTAACACTACGCTGACTTCAAATTTATTAGTTTATCATAGCTAAAGGCTCAAATAAAGTTTTCTGACAGAAATTAACTTATTTTCTGTCATCTGCATTATCACTTGTCAATGCATGTTTAACATTTCTTAATTTCATCTTTTACTCCAAAACTGAGCCAATTTCAACCAAACTTGGCATTGTATCAATGAATTAAAGAGGCCCAGGCCCCAAGGTCATAAAACTTAGATGAGCTCACTCTTGATCTCTGTCTAACTTTTCCACTAAAAATTCCTTAGGGAAAAAAGTGAGATTAGGATCAAAAGTGAATTAATTCTAGTTTTATGGCCCCAAAGCCTAGTTTGTTCATGACCGTTAACAGGCCTTAGCAGGGCAAAGGTGACTCAGGTGAGCATTGTGGCCCATTGACCTTGTAGCAGTGCCAAGATAGATAACTCCTTTTTGTCATCCAGTTGCATGCAAATTGGTTTAATCATACATATTTCATGTGACATGTAAACTGAACATTGAACGACCTGAACCTATAACAATTGCTGTTAAGAACATTTCATGATTTCTCATTACATATATGTTGTATTTGAATAGTGAAGGAAGTCAGATTAAAAGGTGCCGTATTATATTTCATGTGTTTCCAGAACATGTACAAACATCACAATTCTAAAACACCATTGCTCATTTAATCATTTATTGCATTTTGCACCATCATATGTTTTTTTTTCTTTTTAAATATAATTAATATATGTATAGTCCTTATAAAGTAAAACTGAAGGTATACAGAATTCTTTGATATTGCATATCCCATGCTTTGTTTTGTTTGGAAATGGTTTATAAATTTAGCACAACACAACAAGTTTAAAATCACACAGCACCATTACACATAACAATATAAGATGCAGAAAAAATACAAAACTTTTTTAAGGTTATTTAAGTCTTGATCATTTCATGAATGGGTTACATCAGGTTATTCCTTGCCTTTTTCCACAAACTTGAACGTAACCCTCAGCAGATTTTTAAGAAAGTGCAATAAATAGCTGTAAGGATTGACAAGTATACAATTACACTGTACTCGTATTCATTTTCAACTTTGTTATTGGGATTAACAGAAATCAATTCTATTTTTTTCCACAGTATTGATGATTTACTGCGAGCTGGAATTAATCTGGTAGATAATATTGTGATTGTCAACAAAGAGTCCTCTAATTCTGCCGAGGAGGAAACGCTAGCTGACTGTAACACTATTGTAGCTGTCCAAACTATATTTAGGTAAGATAACTTTCTTTGGTTATGCTATTTTTAGCAACTTAATGAGCAAAATTAATAAGAAATTGCCAATGTAAAAATAACTTAGCACATTCTTTTCAAAAAGTTTAAAGGATATAATGTTAATTAAAAAGTTATATGAATAATTAAAAATGCAACGGGCCCCTGCTAGAAACAATTATAGACTCTGCATAGCATATTTATAAAGGAATAATAGAAATTTAACAATTTCTTAATCCAAGAGTGTTTATAATCTTCATGTGCTTTTTATGTCCAATACAACATATACTGGTATGTAAATTTATACTTAATTTTAAATGCTTTGCTTTGTCCAGACTGTTTCCCAGTGCTAACATAATCACAGAGCTCTCTCAGACTTCCAACATGCGCTTCATGCAGTTCAGGGCCAACGACTCTTATGCTTACTCGCTTGCCAAACTGGAAAAGGTATTACAAACAGTTAACTTCATGTGTAGTGTATAAGTTCTAGTTTTCTTTATTAAATCTTCCTCATGAAAAATGCATTAAAATTATTGATTTTGAGCTGGATTTCTTTTTTTTTTTTAAAGTAAAATGAAAAGACTGTCGTTTATAAAGACATACTCATTGGAAAGTCCATTTTTGACACAAAATCTTTAGTTGATGTTTTTAAGTTATTTATAGTTTTTATGTTGAGTATCAATTAATATTTGAATTAAGGTATGTACATTAATCTCTATTTAACATTACAGAAAGAGAGAACAAGGGGTTCCCATATAAGCTATATGTTTAGGCTGCCTTTTGCTGCTGGTAATGTGTTTAGTGCCAGCATGCTGGATACTTTATTGTATCAGGTAAAATGTCATGTTATGCATTATACAAAGGGCTCTAAATGTTGTCACATAAGGTTATTCTAAATTTTGAAAATGTAAAAGGCATATATGTAAGATATATCAGCATTCTGTTAATATTTAGTTAATTTAGAGAATATAAATGACATCAGAGAAAATGTTAAATTTGTCATAGCTCTAATAATTTTTTTTCTTTCTATTTTCAGGCTTACCTGAAGCCATACTTGATCACATTTGTTCGACTTTTACTGGGCATAGATCAAGCAGTTGGTTCAGGACATTTATCTTGTGTGAGTTTCATGGTTACAGATATATGACAATTTTCACCTTGTATCAGAAAATGCATTTTTTATCAAAGCAATGTGCCTCTCAGACTCACAGTGGAAATAAAGGAAAGTGATATTTTTTGCTCATGCTGCCATAAAGAATAATGTATGGGTGTATCAAAAATAATGTAAACATATATATAAAAGACAATAGTGAACGATTATATTAATAAGTACCATATGTAGAATTTTTAGCAAGGATTTAATTTTCAAAAGAAAATTTAATATCGCTAAAAATAAATTTCATTTGTAATAGCTTCTTTAGGTGCATTTAAAAATCACTAATAAAACAGCTAAAAATAAATTACCTTGTTATTTGCGTCTCGCTAAAATTTCCACTTATATATTGTTTTAATTTTGCAGATGAAAATAAAAAAAGAGGACCTTTGGATTCGCACATATGGCCGTCTCTATCAGAAACTTTGCTCAACGACGTGTGAGATTCCTATTGGTATTTATAGAACCACTATACAGCCCCGCAGTGCTCCGGTGACCGTAGAGTCACATGGCCCCGGCAGTAACGTACGTATCACTAGAGTGGTGTCCCTTAGATCAGTGTTCTGTCAATAGAAGACTGAGTTTGAATAGCATGTGTCTATATAAGTTTGCATGAAGTTTTTTCATGATTTCAAATTTATGTGATTAGTATCTATGTTTATAAGTTTAATTAAGTGTACAAGGTTTTCTATCAAAAATAAGATGTGAAAAAAAATGATTAAGATCTCTGAGAATTACGTAGTAAAATTCTTTTGTAGACATCTTTCAGATTATATCATGATAATAGCTTCACTTTTTTTTTTCTCCATTTCATATTTTATCTCATAAATAAGCTAAGCAGAGATTTATTCTCAAAAGAATAGAAAACACAGTAGCTGTGTGTGGTTTTTATAGAATCTGACTTGTTAATGACTTACTTAAAGAGTGATTTTTAGCAATGTCTAAAATTGTTTAACTTTAGGGATGAATTATTTTTTGCTTCCTATAGGCGCCACGAGATCAGTCCGCTCTGAACCTTGCCTTTAGAAATTCTGTTGTAAGTAACTTAGAGCATTTTACTTGCAGAAGTCTCTACTAATTCATGGTGTGTATGTGTGTGTGAGTTTTTCTGTTGTTTATATTGTTTATCCCTGTCTTTCCTGTCAGTAGAATCTCCCCTTCCCATTATAAATATTTCCATGTAGAGCTTTACCTTTTGTTTGTGTCAATCTGTAAGGTTCCTGTTTATTTCTTTGAGATTAGGAAGGTAGGGTGTACCTATATCTACTTGTATTTCATAACATAAAATGTCAGGTGCTGGAAGTGTTCATAGATAAAATTAAGCATTGTGAACAAGCCCGATTTTAAAGTATGTTTCTTTTGTGATTAAATATAGCTTACTTGATTAGGGTCCAACACGAATTTGCATCTGCCCTACATTATTTTCTTAAACTTTGTTGTTTGGTTCTTTAGAGAAATATATATATAAAGATATAAATATAATTATAAAAAATCACACTCTACTCTTTCCTTAAAGTATAATATACCAGTGCCAAATTTCCTTGTGTAATATCAAATCACAATGTCAAAGCTGTCCCATGTCCTTGACCCAAGGTCATTCTATCATGTCCAAGGTTACTGACAAAAAAGTATAATATCAAAAAAGTTTTGTTTGCAGATGAATCATGAAACAAAGATTATTTATGCTTAAATTATTTCCTTCCCTTGCCCAAGGTCATTGTGGCAAGGTCAAGGTCCTGATAAGGAAAATTGGGTGTCCATTTTCCACTAAACATTTTTTAAAATCAGAGTAGGAATTGTTGTTTTATTGGGGTTTTTTTTAATCAAGGTCATTTGATAAAGATCAAATTTATAAATTAACTTCATTTGAATGGGCATTTTTTTAAAAAAATGTTATTAATGCTTGCTCACAGTACCTCTAGCTTAATGTTGAGAATATACCTTTGTAAACAGAATAATGTGATGTATATGTTTATCATAAATGTCCAGAATATTGTTGTAAACAAAACCATATCTATATATGTGTTTCTATACTTTTTCCTTGCTGTTGCTTTTGACAGATCAGAAGAAAGCCGAACCCTTCCCAAGACAAGAATGAAAAAGATGTACGCAATGTTTATTCTCTCTCTAAATGTACTTTCAATACTTAGTGTATTACCTATAAAAGTTCAAAAATACTCTTCATGCATGTAATGCCTTAAAACATTGTAAAAATATGTTGTGCTTCCAACTTACATTTTAAGCAAGATGACTCGTAGGATAGAACTTTATATAAGAGGTGGAGGTAATAAAATTCATCAACCATTAATGTTTAAAAGACCACAGTTTTAGGCCTGTTTTCTGGTTATTAGGTGAACCTGAGTGTGATGGGGATAGAGGTGGACAATAATAACCAGATGACCCCGGAGAGGCATGAGATCAGTCAGATGGTCAAATGTCGCATGCACAGCCTCGGTCAACCAACCAAAGATTATGGTCAGTCTGTAAACCTTTTTTACTATTCTCAGTTCACTCCTTATGTACAATTTGCGTGAAAGTGATGACATGAATGATAAGATGTCTCTGACAAATTTTATTTTGTAAAACAGTGTAAAATATGAATTTCAAAGTCTTGTAAAATTAATGCAACAGATATGGATGGAACGACATTGAATTTTAGTCAACCAACTTTTATTCGTGAAGACTTTATTTCGCGATTTACCAAGGATAAACTAGTTCGCGACGATTAATTTTCGCAACCAAGCATTTTTGCATCTGTTTTAATAAACAAATACACTATAAGGACCAGTTCTCGGCGAGAAATATTTGCGATGACGAGGCTCTCGCCAATTTCGCAAAATTTCTCGCTCACGAATAAAAGTTGCTTTACAGTAATTTTTATGCACATGTAAAGCAGAAGTAATACATTTACCTTTAATCTCAAACCCATATATTATGGTTGATCCTAAAGCTGAAATATTCTTTCTTCAACAATTTTAAAATAAATCTATCATTTGAGCTCCAGAATGCTTACTTGATGAAGGGAAAAGCTAAAAAAAGAAATGTAATACGCTCTGTGACTTGTCTGAATTATTTCTGTTTATGGTATGATTCCATGTAAAAACCATTTGTTGCAGATGAAGTGAATGACAAGAGGAATACGATCTCCTACGTGATTATCAACCCTAGTTACGACCAGAAACTACAGCTTGATGATGTCATGTAAGTCAAGGAATTAACTGATTATTTTGCAATTCCTGGTGTATTTCATATATAATATATTTAAGGAAATTTAATGCTCATAAATTGGTTCTTCATTTTTAATGAAATGAATACATGAAATTGTTTTAAAAGTATTGAATAATCATGTGTTTGCAATCTTTATACTTCATACTTTTTATAGTAAGAAATTAAGTAATAATTTTTTTTTTTTAATTCTAAACAGATACTTGATGAGGCCAAGCTCATTATCCCCACAACCTTCACCCCTGATTGACGAGAGAAAATCCCCCCACGTCAAGAAAACCATGAAGAAACGGGAAGAACCTACAGGGGCAGATAACCCTGACAATGAATCCAAGTGTCAAAGAGACTGTTCAACCCTGCCCCACGAAGGGAGGTTTGGAAAAGCTAAGAGCTTATCAACACTGGAACAAAAAGCAAATGTGTCTTGTGATATGAGGAAAAGCAAAACATTTTCACCAGATGAATTGAGGGTGGGTTTTCAAAATATCATTATTTATTTTCAAAAGTTTGATGTAGTGTTCTATTATTTACTTGGAATTATTTTAAACCTATTAATTCAGGTATTGTTAAAGGACAAACTTAAACCTTTGCCAAGAAAGTGTCAAGTATATGGCTCAAAATTTGATGTTTAATCCTTCAAATATTAAAATAACTTGTCACTTGTGATATAAGACTGTAAGAAATGTTGCATAACTATTGACTGAAAGGGAATTTTTCGTCAAAAAAATGATAATGCTGAATTTTAATAAAGTTAAAAATATATGTATTATTCCAGATTCCTGACAAGTTGGGATACAGCAGTGAAAATGAATGGGAGTCGGACTGTTGTCATTCCCTGGAGGACTGTGAAGAGCAGCCCAGATTTAGCCTTGACAACAGATCAACAGGGGACAATCCAGCCAATGAGGGGACAGGATTAAGTGGAACTGTTGTTTGATTGGTTAATGTAATAACCAGACAACACATCTTTTACAAGAGATCAGTGGACAATCCAGCCAGTGAGGAAACGGGATCAAGTTGTATTGTTATTTCTTGGTTAAGTCAAGGCATCTGATTGGTGCTAAATGATTGATAGTAAGAAGGGAAGATTTTGTTGCTGTGATGTGGGGTTGCAGTGAAATCTGATAAATATTGTTCATATTAATTGTACATCTGTTTGTTTATCGCAGGCATATGCTGTGTACATATACATGTGATAAGTTTTTATATTCATACACAATCGAATGTAAAATATTTTGCAAATATAAGAAAGTTTTAAACCTTTTTATTGAACCTGCAGCAAGGCAATTACTGAAGATTTGTACATTATGAATGTATGAATATGTAGGAATGTGCACAATATATTATCAGATTTGATCAGCTACGGGTTTGTACAATATTGTCCAAGATGAAGTGGCCTGTTGCGCAGATGACATAATCAAAATCGTGTGTTATTGAGTATATGTGTGAGTTTCAGTGTCAGATGTTTTATCTGTACAGGGAAATACATGTGTAAATGTTTCCATTATAGTTGTTTGTTATTTTACTTGAAAATGAGAATTTATACACCTTTATATCAAGACAAAGAGACCTCCTTGGCTATTTATATTTTTCTTCTTGATATTTACTTAATATATAGTTCAGTAGGAAAATTATTTGTTAATTTGAATTTACATTGGGTTTTTATTTTAACATGTATAAATTTATGTAAACTTGTAAAGTACATACTGTACATTATCTGACAAAAACCAATTTTTTTAGAATTTTTTTTCTGTTGATTTATTTTTCCTTCAATTTAGGTGAAATAAAAGACTTACCATTTGAATTCCAGTTACAGTATATCAACATTCACTCTTGATTAATGATCAAAAACAGTTTCCTAGTCCCTTTGTTGTAATTATTGTTATTTATTCTTAATCAGCTATGAATTCCTATCCTTTTTTTGTTTTGTTTTTTATTATATTTTATATCCTTCAGTTTATAAGTTTGGTCTTTTTATTCCAAGCTTGCAACATTTTATTGCACTGTGATTTAAATAATACGAAGAATTATTTTTATTTTGTTTTTAAAGTGTATTATTACTGAAATAAAATCATACATTATACATTTTATGTATACATGTGTACTGTGAAATGTTTTTTTTGTATGCATTTTGTATGTGAATTCTAGTCATTAATTCTTTATAGTTTATACATGGTCAGTTTTAATGCTATAGATGTTTAATGTTTACATGTATCTGTCAGACACAGTCACAGTGAAATGCCTTGGTCTTTTTGATTTATTGTCCTGGAATCCTTCTGTTTAAAAAAAAAAAGACTGAAATTTCTTGGGGGGGGGGGGTATATGTTGTAGTTTTTGTGGCAGAGACTTGGCAAAATAATTCATTTAACATTTCAAATGCTTAGCAATTGAACACCTGAATCTTGAAATAAAGTCACCATGAATCGAGAATTTCTTCCGCAAACTTCAAAATTTTGACAACACAAAAATGTGTGATTTATTACATCTTTGTAATTAATTTTTATGAAGGTCTGTTTGTAGATCTTTATGCCACATATAGTGTTCATTTATTGTTTAAACTATCAAACAGTCGATTGAATCTGACATGCATTTAAAACAAGATTCATGTTTATCAAGATTTATGTGTGAAGTACAAATGATTACTGACATTACATAATCATCGGTTTATAAGTAACTCGTCACTACATACATTTGTATATACATTTTTTTATTGTGATTTTTGGAATGTTTGGCATTTTGATTTTGTTCATGTAGAAATCTTTTCTTGCATTTATATACACTTTTATAAATCATTTTGTGTGATTTTCTGAGCGTTTTTACACCCTTTATTCAACTGAAATCAGCTAGTACACCTATCTTTCAACCTGTTTTGCTCTTCTCTTAAATTTTTTAAAAGTTATTATTTGTTGATATTATTGAATATATCAAGATCAGTTATTATGATATATATGGCTATCTGTTTTCGTCCATTACACATTGTCCATTATGCATCATACATGTAATTCATCAGAATTCTGATTTTTGCAGAACCACTTGACCAGTCAGGGCTCCAAATTGTTAAAAATTATTTGCAAAGATGACCTGGCTAATTCAATACCCTCTCCACAACAGATTATGAAATGTTAAATTATTGCAAAAATGATCCCAGAGTGGTGTAGATTTCAACTGATCTGTATAATTGTTCTTTTGACCAAGTTGAGATATAGTATATAAAAATGTTTGTAAATATTGCCATGTGATACTCAGATGACTGTTAATGCCCATGAACTTCTCGTTTTCAAGAGGTATACAGATATTTTTACTTCATATTTGTGTGGACTTGCACACCTTTTTTGAGAAAGATGAAATGAAATAAAGTAAATACAATGTAAAACACTTGTTACTGAGTTTTGAACATACATCAGATTCTTCATCGTTTCACAAAAATTGTGAGGTCAGCACAGCTATGATAATTGATAACATCAAAGATTGCAAGCTATCAATTTTGATGCAGATATTGCTTGTGACACTGGTTATAGACAGAATGTTTTGGAGAAAATCAAATGTAAGCCTCATTTGAATGATGGATGTATCCAGAGATATCAATTTCCTTGTTGTGTGTGACCTTCCACAGAGACAATTCTACCAAATTAAAACAAAAACTCAACCAGAAACATTTTTATTTAAGAATGAAAACATGGATACTGTCACCCTTATTGGGAGATTTTTCAGGGTCTGCCACATCCCTAAATTGGTTGAGGTGCTGCTTTAGTAGTACATGTATTGATGTATAATCTAAACAAGATGTGTTTGTGAAACACTAATGCCCCCGTATGGCAACATAGCAAAGGTTTAATTTTCACAAATGCAAATTAAACATGTCGATACCAAAGTAAAGCCTTCTCACAAGAAATACAAAAGTGAAATATGAAACCCTAACACCACCTGTTCAAAAGTTATTGTCAAGGTTAATTTTTTTTAAAGGTAGGTCAAACTCCGGGGTAAAGGTCAAAGGGTCAAGATTGTTGGTTTCTAAAGAAAGGTCTTTCCAAAGATTACATATGGGAAGTATGATAGCCCTAGCCATAACTGTTCAAAAGTTCTTGCAAAGGTTAAAGTTTTTAAAAAGTTGGTCAAGCTCCAGGGTCAAAGGGTCAAAGTTGGTATTCAATGAAAGTTCTTGACACAAGGGTTACATATATGCAGTATTCTGCACCCTCTCGTGGCTTCCATAGGCGTTGGAACCGGGGGTGGGGGGTGGGCTTATCCCCCCTTTTTTCCAAAGGTAGACTTGGTATAGGCATCGAACATTGCTGCATGGGTTTAGCCCCCCACTTTCCACGACACGTTGCAGTATAGGTTTAAGATGGGGAAAGTGGTGGTGTTTGGAAAAAAAATTGTTACTGAAAGAAGTTCAACTCCCCCCCGAAACAGGATTCTTGTATTTGGACAAGATATATTATCATTTTTTTAACCGTTCAAAAGTTATTGCCAAGGGTGAATGTTTTTTAGAAATAGGTCAAGTTGTAAGGTCAAAGGGTCAAAGTTGTTAGTATCCAATAAAAGGTCTTTTCACAAGGACTACATATCTGAAGTATGAAATAGCCCTTGCCGTTCAAAAGTTATGGCCAAGGTTAAAGTCTTTTTAAAAGTAGGTCAAAATCCAAGGTCAAAGTCAAAAGTTCAAAGTTATTGGTATCCAATTAAAAGTCTTGTCAAAAATAATATACACATGTATATGTGAAGTATGAAAGTCTTAGCACCAACCGTTCAAAAGTTAAGGCCAAGGTTAAAGTTTTTAAAGTAGGTCAAACTCTAAGGTCAAAGTTGTTGGTATGCAATGAAATGTCTTGTCACAAGAATTACATTTGTGAAGTATGAAAGCCTGAGTCCTTACCGTTCAGAAGTTATGGGCAAAAGTAGGTCAATCTCAAAGGTCTAAGTCAAAAGGTCAAGGTTGTTGGTATCCAATGAAAGGTCTTGTCACAAGTAATACATATTTGAAGTATGAAAGTCCAAGCACCAACCGTTCAAAAGTTAGGGCCAAAGTAAAAGTTATGAATATTGGTGTAAAAGTGTGTGAAACACCAAGGTCAAGGTTAAAAGTTCAAATTGGTGGTACCCAAAGAAAAGTCATGTCACAAGGAATACACCTGTGAAATATCAAAGCCACAGTCCCACCCAATCAAAAGTTATGGACAATGTTAAAGTTTTTGCGGACAAACAGACAGACAGACGGACGGACTGGGCAAAAACTATATACCACCGGAACCTGGTTTACGGGGGCATAAAAAGTCAAGAAATTGATATTCTTAAAGTATAAAAAACAAGATGTGTTTGTGAAACACTGATGGCCCCATATGGCAACATAGCGAAGATTAAACTTTTCTTAAATGCAAATCAAGTATCTTGGTACCCAAAGTAGTGTCTTCTCATAACAAATACAATTATTAAAAAATATGAAAGCCCTAGCACTCTCTGTTCAAATGTTATAACCAAGGATAAGTTTATGAAAGGTAGGTCAAATTCTAAGGTCCAATGGTCCAAAGTTGTTGGTTTCTTAAGAAAGGTCTTGTCAAAAGGATTACATATGTGAAGTATGAAAGCCCTAGACATACCCATTCAAAAGTTATGGCCAAGGTTTAAGTTTTTTAAAAGAAGGTCAAACTCCAAGGTCAAGGTCTAAGGTTCAAAGTTCTTGATATCAAACGAAAGGTCTTTCACAAGGATTAGGGAGAGGGCGAAATAAGTTTTGAGAACTTGTGCCCAATCCCATTGTATATGTATATTACAATAAAATATGTACAATTCAAAAAGGATTAAATATGTAAAGTATGAAAGCCCTAGCCCTAACCCTTCAAAAGTTATGATCATGGTTTGTTTTTATAAAGTAGGTCAAATCTAAAGTCAAGGTCAAAGGGTCAAAGTTCTTGGTATTTAATGAAAGATTTTTCCACAAGGATTACATATGTGAAGTATAAAAGCCCTAGTCCTTTCCGTTCAAAAGTCATGGCCAAGGTCAAAGTTTTTTTCATTTGTACAGAAATCTCCAAGGTCAAAGTCAAAAGATCAAAGTTGTTGGTTTCCAATGAAAGATCTTGCCACAAAAAATACATATGTGAAGTATGAAAGTTTTAGTATCTACGATTCAAAAGTGATGTCCAAAGTAAAAGTTGTGAATTTTTGTGTTAAAGTGGTTCAAACTCCAAGGTCAAGGTCAAAAGGTCAAATTTGGTGGTTCACAAAGAAAGGTCTTGTCACAAAAAATACACATGTGAAATATGAAAGTCATAGCTCCACTAAATCAAAGGTTATGGGCATGGTTAAAGTTTTTGCGGACGAACAGAGACAGACAGAAAGACAGCTAGACGAACGGACAAAAACTATATACCCTAGAATCTTCGATTACGGGGGCATAAAAAAACGTTCCAAATAAGAAGTATTGTTATGCCCTAAACGAAGTTTCGAAGGTATATAGTTTTTGTCGTGTTCGCCCATTCTGTCTGTCTGTCTAGCTGTCTGTCTCTGCCTGTCTCTCTCTGTCTGTCTGTTTGTCCGCAAAAACTTTAAACTTGCCCATAACTTTTGATTTAGTGGAGCTATGACTTTCATATTTCACATGTGTATTCCTTTTGACAATACCTTTCGTTGGGTACCACCAAATTTGACCTTTTGACCTTGACCTTGGACTTTGACCAACTTTTACACAAAAATTCCAAACTTTTACTTTGGCCATATCTTTTGAACAGTAGATTCCAGGACATTTATACTTCACATATGTATTCTTTGTTTTAAGACCTTTCATTGGATCCTAACAACCTTGACCTTTTAACCTTGACCTTAGAGATCTCCGTACTTGTGAAGAAACTTTGACCTTGGTCATAACTTTTAAAGGGTTAGGGCTAGTGCTTTCATACTTTATATATTTAATCATTGGGGGAAGACCTTTCATTTGATAGCAAGGCTTTGACCCTTTGATCTTGACCTTGGAGTTTGACCTGCTTTTTAAAACAAAATAACCTTGGCCATAACTTCTGAACGTTTAAGGCTAGGGCTTCCATACTTTACATATGTATTTTTCAGTGTTTCACAAACACACCTTTTTAAAAATATAAAACAAGATATGTTTGTGAAACACTGATGCCCCCGCAAGGCAACATAGCAAAGATTAAATTTTTCTTAAATGCAAATTTAATATATTGATACCCAAAGTAGGGTCTTCTCACTGGAAATACAATTGTGAAATATGAAAGCCCTAGCACCACCTGTTCAAAAGTTATGGCCATGATAAGATTTTGAAAGGTAGGTCAAACTCCAAGGTCCAACGGTCAAAGTTATTGGTTTCTTAAGAAAGGTCTATTGTCACAAGGATTACGTGTGTGAATTATGGAAGCCCTAGCCCTACCCGATCAAAAGTTATGGCCAAGGTTAATTTTTTTAAAGTAGGTCAAACTCCAAGGTCAAGGTCAGAGGGTCAAAGTTCTTGATACCAAATGAAAGCTCTTGTCACAATGTAAAGTATGAAAGAACTAGCCCTAACCCTTAAAAGTTTTGGTCAAGGCTTGTCTTTAAAAGTCCAAAGTCAAGGTCAAAGGGTCAAAGTTCTTGATATCCATGGAAGGGTCTTCTCACAAGGATTACATATGTGAAGTATGAAAGCCCTAGCCATTACAGTTCAAATGTTATGGCCATTGTTAAAGTTTTTCATAAGTACGGAAATCTCCCAGGTCAAGGTCAAGGTTATTGGTATCCAATGAAAGGTCTTGCCACAAAGAATACATATGTGAAGTATGGGAGCCCTAGCCCTAACCCTTCAAAATTTTGAAAAGAAGGTCAAACTCCAAGGTCAAGGTCAAAGTTCTTGATATCAAATGAAATGTTTTGTCACGAGGATTAAAGATGTAAAGAATGAAAGCACTTGCCCTAACCCTTTAAAAGTTATGGTCGAGGTTCGTTTTTTTAAAGTAGGTCAAACTCAAAGGTCAAAGTCGAAGGGCCAAAGTTCTTGTCATCCATTGAAGGGTCTTCTCACAAAGCCATAGCTTGTACCGTTCAAAAGTTATGGCCAAGGTTAAAGTTTCTTCATAAGTACGGAAATCTCTAAAGTCAAGGTCAAAAGGTCAAATTTGGTGGTGCCCAAAGAAAGGTCTTGTCACAAGGAATACACATGTGAAATATGAAAGTCATAGCTCCACTAAATAAAAAGTTATGCGCATGGTTAAAGTTTTGCGGACAAACAGACAAACAGCTACACAGACAGCTTTACAAACAGACGGACGGACACAACAGAAACTATATACCCCCGAAGCTTAATTTTCAGTGTCAAAAAATCATTTTCTATTGTCAGGAAATACATTTTCGTCTTCCACTTTCACAAAAGCAAGGAGGCGTTAAATCTCATTCGTCTGTCTATCTGGCACAAAAACTTTAACCTTGGCCATAACTTTTGAATGAGAAGAGATAGAGCTTTCATATGTACATGTGCTTTACTGTAACAAGATTTTCCAAATATACTATGAATTTTTACCTCTTGACCTTGAACTTTGACCGACTTTACAAAAAATGTAGCATTTCTTTAAATTGTTCATAATTTCTTAAAGAAAAAAGATAGGGCTTTCATATTACACATATGTATAACCTGTGACAAGGCCTTTTTAAATACACTATGATTTTGTTTTACCCTGTGACCTTGACCCTGAAGTTTGACCTACTTTTTAAAAATGTTACTTCCATTATAACTTTTCATTGAGAAGAGACAAGGTTTCATATTTGACATGTGTATTACCTGTAACAAGACGTTTCCAAGCTTGCTATGCTATTGACCCCTTGACCTTGACCATCATGTTTGACTTTATTTTTTTTTTTATTTTAACTTGGTGATTACTTTTGAATGATTTTGATAAGCGTTCATTTTTGACACAATGTGCCATAAATAATGGCATCCCATCCACTAAGACACTGAAAGCGGATGACTTTTCTTTGAATTTGCTTGTTTAAATATCAAGAAATCAAATTATGACATAAGATAGTACGAAAGCTACGAAAGCGTATTAATACTTTGTTATAACAAATTAATACTTTGTTATAAAAATTAGTCATTTGTTATAACTGTAAATTAGTGATTTGTTAAAAGAAATAATTTGTTATAACAAATTAATTAAATTGTATTAACAAATTATTAATTTGTATTAACAAATTATTAATTTGTTAAAACAAATTACTAATTTGTTAAAAAAAAATAATAAAAGATACTGGTGCGGCCCTAGTACGCTTCCGTAGAAACCCCATTGAGCTGATTTTTGTTAACTTTTTTCGCGTTGTATCCATAGGCACCTATTATTATGTCGCGAATAAACTCGAAACTTTCGCGAAAATTACGCGTTTCGTTCGCGTTACAACGCGTTGCTTTCACGAATGCTTTCAAAAGGTTGTATCTTTACACCAATCAGAAACTTCTCTCTACTGTACTGATAAAAAAAAAATCACTGCATTAATTAGGGGTGAGGGGGTAATTAAGCTGTGAAATCGATGCACAAAGGCGAAAATGAAAATAAAATAAAACCTATTTAAAGCATGAAAACCATGATAGCAACTACTGTATGGAAGTCGAAACCCAAATGATGTATGCCTTTATTGCGCTATTTATTGTCCCCCGCTTTCGCGAAAGCGAGGGGACATTAAATCTCATTCGTCTGTCTAGCTGTCCGTCTGTCCGTCAGTCTGTCAGTCTGTCCGTCACAAAAAAATTTAACCTTGCCCATAACTTTTGATTAAGTAGAGCTATGACTATTATATTTCACATGTGTATTCCTTGTGATAAGACCTTTCTTTGGGTACCACCAAATTTGACCTTTTGACCTTGACCTTGGAGTTTGACCCACTTTTACACAAAAAATTCCATACTTTTACTTTGGTCATTACTTTTAAATGGTAGACACTAGGACTTTCATATTTCACATATAGATTCTTTGTGACAAGACCTTTCACTGGATACCAACAACTTTGACCTTTTGACCTTGACCTTGGAGATTATTTATGAAAAAACTTTAACCTTGACCATAACTTTTGAACGGTAAGGGCTAGGGTTTTCATACTTCATATATGTAATCCTTGTGAAAAGGCCTTTCATTGGCTACCAAGAACTTTCACCCTTTGATCTTGACCTTGGAGTTTGACCTACTTTTCAAAAACGTTGACTTTTGCCACAACTTTGAACAATAGAAACTAGGACTTTCATATATTTTACATATGTATTCTTTGTGGCAAGACCTTTTATTGGATACCAATAGCCTTGACCTTTTGTCCTTGACCTTGGAGATTTTTTGTATATATGAAAAAACTTTAACCTTGACCATAACTTTTGAATGGTAAGGGCTAGGGCTTTCATACTTCACATATGTAATCCTTGTGAGAAGACTTTTCATCGGATACCAAAAACTTTAACCCTTTGACCTTGACCTTGGAGTTCAGTGATGATTATTTTATGACATACATGTATGATAGGGTGTTCATATAACACAAAATATTTCATAAAAAATGACATCTCACCCACAAAGACACCGAAAGCGGGGGACCACAATTCCTTGAATGTGCTTGTTTATATTTTAGTTACTTTGTAGATATACAGTTGTACGTGTATGTTGTTTATTAAACCTTCGAACTGACATATGCGTAGAAGTTATCATATGCAGTGTTTAATTATTAATGAAGGTTCAAATTTCAACAAGGGACTAAACTGATACATCCGATTACATATTACGTGATATCAAAATGATATTCTGTTCAGCTCAATAGCGAAAAAAAATATCTTCTGCACGAAAGGAAATGGAGCGAACAAGGTTCAGGCATCTGTGTGCAGGTATATATTTTACTTTCGTTAAATGTGCTTTAAGTAGGGTTTTTATAAAGATACCATTCACTTTAAAAATAAACTGATGTCCAGTACGTAAAGTCTCTGTATTACTGAAAACGTACATGCCAACCAAAATCTATGCGTGCTTTATTCGAACTTGTGTGCAGATAAAGAAGGGGGGTCTATCTACTCCAACATGCCAGAGGTTCACGGTGAGATACTTTTGACTTGTTTCCGAGGTATATAAGGAGCGTAGGGACTCTTACTTGTAGGAGTAGGGTCGGCCCAGACCCCTTCCTCCGCAGTTTTGAGCTTTAAAAAATTGTGTAAACAAATTACTTTTGACCCCCCCCCCGAAAAAAATGTGACGCATGATTCCACCTACTTTTTTTTATTAGTTCGAGAATTCGACAGTCACGCGCTAAAAGTATATTAGTGGTGTGGTGTCCTTAATTGCCTCTAGGGGGAACTATACATGTTTACAAGTGATGTTGCAAAAGCAACAACGTGAGGGGCAGCTGGAAGGAAACAATATCAGTCTGGACCTTAACAAAAAACCACACGGGTCCTGAAATGCGAGAACTCATTATGTAAAAACCGGGGATGGGGATGGATTTTAAGTTAGGATGAATGGGGATATAAATTTTCATAAAATGTATAAAATGACAACAGGAACTCGAAATATTTGTAATAGGGTATGTTTTACAAGACCGTCTTTAATAGAAAAAGTCCGGCAAAAATGTACCTATTTTCCTCAGCTCTCCTTTTCCACAGGACTTAAAAAATATATGGGATTGGGGAGTAATGTGCGCCCCTCTCTTTAAACTTCTTTCTAATTGAAGCCGGATTTCAACTTTGGAAATCTCGTTCAAATACAGATCTCTATAAATAGCACTTTTGTAGAAATATGTCTTTAAATCAGATCGCAACTTTGATGGTTCAATTCTTAATTTTTTACAGTATGATAATGAAGATTGGGGGGGGGGGGGGGGGGGGGGGGGGGCAAGGCGGGCAGAATGCCTATATTCAGAAATCATATTTAGTATGTGAATAGAGTATTTAAATTAAATTCTCATTATTGAAATTTATTAAATTATGAGAGAAAAACTTTTTGTAAGGGAAAAAAAAATCTCGTTAAATTTTTTTCTTTTATAAAGTTATTAGATGGTATTCGTGGGATTCGAACTTTAGCAATAAGAATCCGAAGTATCATTCTACTTTGAAACTAACGCGCTAACCACAATGCTACATGGTTCATGGTGATTCTGGGCATTTAAATAATATTTTTTGATATGACCCTTGACTTAATGGACTTGAAGATGCGAATGTTTTGCCATAAAAGTGTACTTTTAAGGTGTAGTGGCATTCTCTATCCAGAGCTGTCTTCCGCTACGCTCACAACAGTGTATGTGGGAGCGGAAGCGGGAACGACAACTCTGGACAGAGAATGCCAAAAAACGTATATTTTATTGCAAACTTTTAGGATTATCTTTCAGAAAAATGGAGCGAAGACCCACTCATATTAAAAAAAATTGTTAAAGTATTCTTTTTAGTCTGTGTATATGCTTTTTCATTGGCAAATAATTTCAATCTTTGTGAGATTTTTTGTAAATTGTAGAGACTTTAAATAGGTATATTTTAATATTAGATGAAATATCAAATAAAATTTGGATATATTAATTGAAATTTAATTTTTCACTTCTTATTTGTCGCACTATAGGCACTTCGTCCGCCTTATCCCCCCCCCCCCTCTTCTTACATTCAAGTAATTGAGATATATCAAAGTATTTTTGAAAATGCGAGCATCAAATAAATCATTGCTCTCATAAAGTCATGTATCAATTTATTTGACTGTGCACTCCATATTCAATTGTTGAGCTTAAGAATGTGGTGGAATGTTGCTCTAAATGATTTGTTGATCATACATCAAATATCTTCAATTGTTTTCCAAGTGTTCTTTGATGGATATATGAAATTCATTTCTGTTGAAATTCATTAGGGCTGTATTCACTTTACAGATTTGGCAGATTTTAGACTTGAGGCGCATCCTTCATATAAAAAACAACACAGAAAACGAAAACAACCGCTTCGACCAAGAGTAACAATAAAATTCTGTCTGTCTGCCTGTCTGTCTCTCTCTCTCTCTTTCTCACTCGCTGTAATTTAAAAACCGGTATTATTACTTTTTAGAGTGAAAGTTTGAAAATGGGTGAACAAGCTCAAAGGGCGAGCAAAATGCCTATTGTGCTAAATTAGACGGTGAAATATAGATCTAAATTTATATTGAAGAAATTAACATTGAGGTACATTGTATTCTTCATGTGAAATTTCAATGTTGCAACAATCTCACAAAAGTTTCAAATATTTTTTTCTGTGAAATATCATATGCACGCACTCTAAAAAGGGGGGAATTTATCCTTTTTAGCTCACCTGAGCGGAAAGCCATTTTTTCATATCGAGTTGACTTCGGATTACTCCAATTACTGGATCGTGAAAAGAGCACGCGGACAGAGTATGCTTACTTCCCCAAGGCATCTGGTCCTACTAGTAATGTTTAAAAAAAATTTATAAAACGGCGTTTGTTTGTTTAATATTCTTCCTCTTCACACTTGGTGGAAAGGTGGAAATGATCTGGTTTATCAAACAGTGTAAATGTAAGGCGATTTTATCGTTTATGGACAGTAAAGCATCCAATATGAAACGGACGTGGCAGACTCTGTGGTTACTAAATTTTTTGATTGATAAAAAGTCGTCGATATACAATTTGTATCTAAATGTGGAATTAAAGGCAACAGAAAAAATACTCTTGTTCTCGTGTACAATGTTTTGAATAAGTTCTGCTTCATTATGAATATAATAAAGGGGTTGCCAATAAAGAAAACAATTAGCTATAGTAAATCTGTATAGGCATTTTGCATGCCTTTCTCGCCCTAAATCTCCTTGAAAATTGATACCATTTTTGTTTTAGGTAAGCGCAGAACTTACAGGTATAGGTATACTCAGGTTTTGCGTTATTGAGAAACCTGATATAAGACACGAAACAAAAACAAATTCCAATTTCGGCATGACCACAGCTTTGACTGCTCAAGACGATGTCTGCAGCGTGTGGATTGCTGAAAATCACCTCGGAAAAATTCAAAAAGATAAATTCTACAAGACTAGGATAATGCACCCAACCAGAGGATTCTTACGTCTACAAGAACAGACAAAGGAAAGTTTTTTTAAAAGGTTTTTTTTTTTTTTTTTGTTGAATTTTGTTTGTTTTTTGAAAATTCGGGTATAAAGTTTTTGCCCTGTCCGTCCGTCTAGCTGGCTGTCTGGCTAAAACTTAAACCTTGCCCATAACTTTTGATCGGGGAAGCTAAGATTTTCCTATTTCACAAGTTTATTACTTTTTAAAGACATTCCTTCAAGTAATTTTTAAGTACTCTTGACCTTGGATTTGACCCACTTTTGCCAAAAATTATCAAAAATTTAACCTTGATCATAACTTTTGAATAAATGGTTCTAGGTCTTTCATACTTCACTTTCTTATTCATTGTGTCAGGACCTTTTCATGGATTTGGATATTTTTGACCTATTGACCTTGACCTTAGATTTTGACCTTAGAGTTTTGAAAAACTTTTGTCATAATGTTTGATCAGTTAGCAGTAGAAGTTAAAATATCTCAGTTATATTCCTTTTTTACAAGACCATTCTTAATTTGTATACATTCTTTGTTTACCTGTTAACCTTCAGCTAGCTTTTGAAGAGTTGGTACCGAGGCTTTTGTTTTATTTTTCAAATCTGTATTTCTTATGACAATGTCTTTTTATTAATTTTGACCCTTTGGCCTTGACTTTGGAGGTTGACCCACTTTAAAAAAAAAAGACTTCAACTTTGGTCATAACTTTTGAATAGTTGGTATTTGGGCTTTCTTATTTCATAGGCATATAAACTGAGTGATTTTGTTTTTCTTTGTAACAACATTTTTGTTTTCTTGATCTTCGAATTTGACTCGCATCTGAGGAACTTTAAGGTACTCCGATCCTCAGCTAGGAAGGATAACTCTTTAATTTATGATTTAATTCAAAAAGTCTCAAAACGAAGCTTGAAATTTAAATTTTTTTCATGCAACAAATTTCATTTTATACCTCTCAATGTCCTTCTAGATTCTTTGAAGTTCTCGGAAATGTCTAATGAAAAGTGAAAATTTTTACCCCATAAAAGTATTTTAAAATTACATATTTAAAAAAATTGAGTTTTAAAACCATAGATACCAATGTTTATTAACATGAAATGAAATTAGAAGTGATTTATGGTGTTTTGCAAAGATAGGAAAATCTTTATTCACAATGCATTGTAAAATGATGCAAGTAAATAGAAGAATCTAAAATATCTTATAAGTATGAAAATGGTACATTTTCTTCAAAAGCCTGGAAACCTATGATTTTATTTTTAAAATGTGTTTGTTGATCAAAATTGAATAAAAAAATGCTTAGTAGGTATTTTAATTTGCATTTCCTGATAACTTATTTGAGATTTACTAATTTCCCCTCTATAATATGATTAAATTTAAAGACGAAGTTTGAAGAATTATCGTGGCCATTCGTGGGTAAAAACACATTACTCTGAGAATTCAGAGACATTTTTTGTGAGCAATTTCAATTAGTCAATGCCTGATTTTCAGAACCTGAGGATGGAGTACTTTAAACTTCGCCATAAGCTGACATACGGGTCATTACGGGAGAATCAGTGACTCACCACAAAAATTTGTAAAGCTCTACTGGTCAGAAACCAAAAGGCGATAGTAAAGTGTCTGTCTGTCTGTAAACAATTTTTTGGTCTGATTTCAATATTACTTGACACATAAGAAGACTAAATCAATATTCACAATTTTATGTATCAGTTTTTGATTTCGATGATCGTTGTTGTCATGGTTACTAAAAATAGAAAATTCTTTGAAATACTTTCAAAACGCTACTCCCTTTACATTTTTGGCCCGATTTCAATATAACTTGGCTCACAGACAGACTACACTTAGATGCATAATTCTGAATATTGGTTATTGATTTTGATGAACGGTGTTGTCATGGTTCCTAAAAATAGAAATTTCTTTGAAATACATATTACTCCTCCTACAGTTTTTGTCTGATTTCACTTTAACTTGGCACACAAGTAGACTACATTAAGATACATAATTCTATTTATTGGTTTTTGATTTTGATGAAAGGTCTTGCCATGGATATTAAACATAGATTTTTTGGGGAAATACTTTCAAAACGTTACTCCTCCTAAAGTTTCTGTCTGATTTCAAAATAACTTGGCACACATGTAGATTACCCTAAGATAAATAATTCTGTATATGAATATTTCCTCCTACAGTTTAAGTCTACTTGCAATCTTGTTCAAGGATCATTGTTCTATTTACTGATGTTGCAATTTTTTATGTCCAATTGCTTCTTTTCTCTTCTTTTGTTATAAATACAAACTATCCAGTAGAGTCACAGTCTCAACAGAGACTTCTGATTTGTTTGTCCCAAGAATTAATAAACATAGAAACATGAAACTATTATTCAAATACAATGTATTTAATGAACATTAATATATAGGTGGATGAAATAAAACCATTCAACATAAATCCAAGAAGAGTTGAGGAAATTCTGTATCCACCTTGTACTAGCATTCCTGACCTGTCTACAGAAAAGCTGATGTTGATGAAAATCCACACAAGACTTTCTATTAAGGGATATGTTCAAAAGGTAATCTTTTCTTTTCTTTCTAACCAGTGTGCTCAGGTGAGCAATGTGGCTTATGAGCCTCTCGATTTGTAAATAAGCATATCAAAAATTTTATTGTAAAATGGTACAGAATAGTATTAAATTACAATGGTACAGAAAAGTACTAAATTCGTATTTTAAAAATCAATGTGTCTCATGTAATCACACTGCTATTCAGGGAAAATGTTCCTGTACATGTTAAAATCACAGTCACTTGAAGTTTTTAACCTTTCTTTTCATAAATAAAAAATTCTCCATACTATAATACCCGGTAATAACGGTTATTTTTATAGTATGGGGAATTTTATTCATGAAAAGAAAGGTTAAAAACATCAAATTACTGTGGTTAAAGTGCTCTTTATTATTTAAACCTTGATCAGTGTGGTGATATGTATGATGTGAAACACCATCCAAAGAAGGATATCGTCTTGATGGAGAAAGTACCAGCAGATTGTGGAGCAACAGTACTGGTAAAACTATGGAACGAAAAGGCCACAACTTATCTGCAGAAAGGGACACTGGTTCAAATCTCGTCTGTAAAAGTCGTAAAATATAAAGAATCCAGGCAGATACACTCTACACCTTCAACTACCTTTACTGTCCTTTAAGGCAGAAAGACAGAAAACACATTTTAACATAATATATTTTAGTTTTGACATCGACCATGTATCGGAACAATATTTACATATATAATTTATCAATAGAATTTAGCAATTCTTGAATTTGATGTTTAGCAGATTAAAGTTAAAGGTTTTCTGTTCCATCTTTTTTAAAAAAAAAGGATATTACCTGTCAAATGATCTACATGCATTTATTAATTGCTACTAAAATGAACTGAAAGACTATTTAGAATTTTCTTGAATGTTGTATTTTCTTCAACAACTACAACATTTAAGGCCATAAATGAACAGTTTTTTAAGAGCTGACATGTATAAGCTTTATTCAAAACAGTGAAAAAAATTATAATTTAACAAAATACCATAGGCAGATTGAGTAAAAAAAAAAATACTGAAAGACAAAATAATTGCAAGGTGTACAAATTGAAATACCATGAGATTAAGGTTCACTGACTGTCAGTTAAGGGAGCTAATTCTCCCTGGGATTAATGACTATAATTCCTTGATAAAATTGTTAAGTTTGTTTATTTGTTAAAATTTGCAATACAGGAAATGTACTGTAAATCACTTCTTATTCAAAAGGACTTTATTTTTGTGAAACAATCTGCTCCTAATAATTTCATCCCCATGTTTATTTGTATTCCTAAAAGTTAAATAGAAAAAAAAGTCAAATGACTTGCCTAAAAATGGTAATGACCACTTATCTCACTAAAACAAGTTATTCAGAGAAAATTTAATGATTTACAGTACATGTATCTGAAAAAATATAAAAGACAAAAAATAGTGCTTTCTTTGAAACTCCATTTCAAAAAAATTATAAAAGCATTTTGTTTACATATTGTAAATGACTAAATTATATATTGTTCAAAAAGAAAATGGAATTACATGTAATACATGCCACAATACTATTCATCTGTAAGTGCTCTTAACTTTTCCCTTTTTAAAAACCTTCAAGAATCTTGTAAAATTATTTGTTGCCATTTTAACATTTTTGTTTGTTATATGTATAGAGTATGTTGCCATAACATTTTTGTTTGATATATGTATTGTATAGACATACAGGTTGTACGTAACATGATTTATTTCAATAAATTATACCACAACACTACAATATATATAAAAGTATAAAATGAGGTAAATTAAGGCATCACACACATATTTTTAAATATTTCTTATGGGTATTACATTAAATAATTCTAAATTATATTAAATAATCCCTACATGGGAATCCAATTCAGAGTTTGTCTACACTTAACTTCATTTTAACTCTACCCTTTCTACTAATATGTGAATATACACATTTAATACAATAAATGCTAAGTCTTTTTTTTTTATCCAAAATACCCCTATAAAAAAATATTCCAGTAAATCTAAACAATGTAAGTGTTTAAAGATATGTTCTAAAGCCCAGCACCATTTTTCCAAAATCAACTGCTTGGGGCTAGCTGTTACAAGTATATGAAAAAGAAATCCTTGTTAAAAATTTAAGCATAAATATAAGATATGGACTGAATTAATAAGCGATTCTTTATTTTTTCAAATTTCCACAAAAAATCTCAAACTTGGCAAGTGTTACATCACATATAGGATGATATCGATGAGAAAGGCAAGAAAAAGTGAGTTTTGGTTTCAGGGGAGTAGCAAGCACAACATACTGTATATCTGTTTCTGTTGAACTTCAGAGCCTTTGTTTATTGCACAAAACAGTTATTATTAGCCCTTACAAAAAAAAAACTGTTCACAACAGAGGAAGAGGCCTTTGTCCTCTTGGCGTACAACACCAATTAAGACAGACAATGAATTAAAAAGCCCCATTAAATTTAACGTCACACAATGTTTCACAAATAAAAGCAATTCCAACATGTCTGATGATTTAAGATATGCTTGACATCATATAGCACTGTAAGTAATCTACTAATTTACAGCAATCAAAGTCTTTCCATAATCCCTTCATTTATTTTTAATTCTTCAAACCATAACCCCAATTCTTGGTAAATAAACAATACCTAATCCAGAAAACAATCTATGCCATCCATGGTCAATGTAATACGTCCATGTTTCACCACAAGCATGAGGACACAGTCATCTACAGGGAGTCTGTCAACAGAACACATTTCAGTAGGCTTCTGACAAGAAAGTTTGAATCACTTTTGGGACTTTGGCATCAAACCCTGATACATCCAGCATGTTTTGGTCTCCCAGATTGGCAAACTTCATGTTGGAATTTGTTAAACCAATAGTTACCAGCCTGTAAAATAAAAACACATGAGCCTAATAAAAAGCATACCCCACTCCAACCATTTTCCTTTACACATTTATCATGTTTATTCTTTTTACCCAAATGACTGACTGTTTATATGTTGAACACATATTAACTTCTTGCACGATTATTTTGAAATATACAAAATAAACTAGAAATATGTCCATAGGACATGAATGCCCCGCCGAGGGTATATTAGTAATGCAACATGAAAATGTGTATAAGTGTAAGAAATTTGATCAGAATATCTTGAATATTGATGCAGTTGAATTGCTTACATCAGTATGTATCAGCATATGAAGTTTGACACTAATTTCATTAAAAAGAGGTCAAGGTCAAAGGAAATGCCAAGGTCAAAAACTGTTGATGCAGTTGAAAAGTTCTCATCAGTATGTATCAGCATATGAAGTTGAAAAAATATTATAAATGGTTTCTTTAAAACTGACTTAAACACAAATTGATAAAAGTGAGGTCAAGGTCAAATGAAAGGTCAAGGTCAAAAATGTTAATACAATTAAAATTGCTTACAACAATATGTATCAGCTTATGAAGTTTGACACTGATTTAGGAAAAGTGAGGTCAATGTCAAAGCAAAGGTCAAGGTCAAAAATGCTGATGCAGTTGCATATCTCTCGTCAATATGAATCAACTTGTGAAGTTTGATAAAAAAATCTACAGGTACTCTCGATATCTCGAAGTCCGCGGGACCAAGGAAAAACTTCGAGAGATCAAGAGTTCGAGTTTTCAAGAGTCTGGAATTTTCCGGGTTTGTTTGGCAGGTTTTAAAATTAGTCTTACCGGATATAATGATTTTCATGCAGTACTAACTTTTCACACATGGTTTTTATAAAACAGCGATAAGATTTCGTATTATAGATGAATATTTATTAATCTGAGTAAATTAAAGCTAACAAGAGATGTTTGTAAAACACTTATGCCCCCCTCCCCCAAAAATTGGAATTCTTCTAAGTCCAAAAGGGCATAACTCTGTCAAAAATGGCATGATTGTACCCAAAACAGAACTTGACCTAGATAGTCATCTGATAAATCTGTTTGTTATACCCTTATAAATATCATTCTATATATTTATTACCAATAAAAAGTCTAACAAAAGAAATGTTTAATACATCGGTCTAACAATTTCACTATTGACCGGTCCTACATAAGAATTGTTAGACCGCAACGTCACTGTTACGTCACAGGTATAATTTTCGTTCAATTTCGGCGTCACGGAAGTAACCGAAGTTTACTGCTGCAAAAGTTGTCGTTTATTATTTCTGTTATTTAATTATTACTTTCTCTGTTATTTTAATAACATAGTTGATATTTTTATTGTTTGTAAAGTTTTTTTTAATTGTTGAAGCCAAAAAGTGCAGATAAATTTATTGTGTAAAATATTTTTTGATTAAATCTGTTCATAAGTCTTCACTTTGTGTTTTAATATGTATATATCTTATGTGAAGGGTATAACAAAACAGTTATAGACTGGGTTTCGGGCAACATATAATTTGTTGGACCTGAAGGTGAAAATGTTGCCCTTGGCCTGCGGGCTCGGGCAACATTTTCACCTTCAGGTCCAACAAATCATATGTTGCCCTCATACCCAGTCAATAACTGTATAATACTAAATTTCATCTTAGTATGTGCAACAGTTGCAAAGAAAATGAATGGAAACTGCATATAATTGAAATTTTTCTAAGTCCAAGGGGCATAACTCTGTCAAAAATGGTGCAATCATATCCAAAACAGATCTTGACCTAGATATTAATGTGATATAACTGTATACCAAATTTCATTTCAGTATGTGCAACGGTTGCGAAGGAAATGAAGGGAAATGCTAATATAAATTAAAAAAAATTTGTAAGTCCAAGGGGCATAACTCTGTCAAAAATGGTGTAATCGTACCCAAAACAAAACTTGACCAAGATATTTATGTGATATATCTGTATACCAAATTTCATTTCAGTATGTGCAACGGTTGCAAAGAAAATGAACGGAAACAGCAAATAATTGAAATTTTTCTAAGTCCAAGGGGCATAACTCTGTCAAAAATGGTGCGATCGTAACAAAAACAGAACTTGACCTAGATATTCATGTGATATATCTGCATACCAAATTTCATTTCAGTATGTGCAACAGTTGCAAAGAAAATGAACGGAAACTAAGTGGACCGACAGACAGCAGCAAAGCAATATGCCCTCCCTTCTTCGAAGGGGGGCATAAAAATGTACATCGTCATTTTATGTTTATTTTTTATTCCCTATAATATGCACATCATACTATGCATTCGTTATATAAAAACGACATTTTACAGTGCCGCCTGGTATAAGCATTGTGATTTTTCCAAACACATGCATTGAACAAAGTTATGTAAGTATTTCTCCAACAAGTCGTCATATTGACACTGAGACTGTTTCTGGATTTTCATATTTCGTTAAACTTTGACACTGACTCGAAATAAAAACTAAATTTACTAAGTGTTTCGTCTTGTAATCTGCAATTTCAATTTCTCAGTGACACTGTGTTTCTAAATTATCGTAATACAGTCGATGATAATTATTTTAAAAGCGTATAGGCAACAAGAGATTAATTATAAATCAATTATCACCTTGCAGTATGTGTGTCACCTGAATAAACATCTCGTTTCACCAGACCTGCGTCTTCTGCCCGGGGCCATTAAATGTCCAGGTAAAGTTGCTAATTATGTAACTTGTATACACATAGCCACTTCGAGGTATCGAGGGTAAATTTCAATAGAATATGCATAGTGGGACTGCATTTTGACTTCGAGGGATCAAGGGTTTCGAGAGATCAAGAGTTCGAGAAATCAAGAGTAAATTTGCTTAGTTATATAGGGAAAAAAATCGGGACCGGAGACTCACTTCGAGCGATCAAGAACTTCGAGAGATCGAAGTTCGAGCCATCAAGAGTTACCTGTACAATGATTTCTTTAATTAAAACTGACTTAAACACAATTTGATAAAAGTGAGGTCAAGATAAAATAAAAGGTCAAGGTCAAAAATGTTGATGCAGATGAAATGCTTACATCAGTATGTATCAGCATATGAAGTTTGACATTGATTTAAGGAAAGTGAGGTCAACGTCAAAGGAAATGTCAAGGTCAAAAATGTTGATGCAGTTGCATATCTCACATCAATATGTATCAACAGTATGAAGTTTGATAAAAATATCTAGAATGATTTCTTTAATTAAAACTGACTTAAACACAATTTGATAAAAGTGAGGTCAAGGTCAAATATAAGGTCAAGGTCAGAAATGTTGATGCAGTTGAATTGCTTACATCAATATGTACCAGCATATGAAGTTTGACACTGATTTAGGAAAATTAAGGTCAAGGTCAAAGGAAAGGTCAAGGTCAAAAATGTTTGAATTGCTCTCATTAGTATGTAACAGCATACGAAGTTTGATAAAAATATCTTGATTGGTATCTTTAAATCTGAGCAAAACACTAATTAAAGATAAGTGAGGTCAAGGTCAAAGGAAAGGTCAAGGTCAAAAAAATGGGGATGCAGTTGAATAGCTCTCACAGTATGTATCAACATGTGATGTTTGATGACACCATCTTGAATGGTATGTTCAAAACTGATCTAAGTACTAATTTAAGACAAGAGGCCCATGGGCCTTATAGGTCACCTGAGTATCATGCGACAACTTTCCAACAATTGAATTTGATTCATGTTTTAAACCAGAGGCCATGAAATTCACAATTTTGAAAGAGGCACCATTGCTTATCATAATTATACACTCAGCATGCTTATTTTGGTAACTTAATACCCAGAGGTAGATCAGAGTAACAAAGAGAAAATGCATTTCCACTTTTAGTGAATTTCAGGGCCCCTGGGTCAGGGATTCTTGTGTTAGGGCGGGTCCACAGTTGAGCTCCCCATCCCACAGGAGCCACTAGCTCTGGGGCCATATCTTTCAAAATTTTGGATTTTTTAAAAAATTTTATTTCATCATGCTTTTGATTAATACCAAAGTGCAGATTTCAAAGCATTAAATTATTTCAGATTATGTTACCCCCCCCCCTCCCCCCCAAAGTAACTCTGTCCTAGGGGCCAGGTAATTAACTATTTTTGAAAGAAGCAGGTTTTTTGTCATAAATATATACCAAGATCATTGGCATTATACCCAACAAGAAAGGAAAAGATTTTCAAAGAATTCATGCATTTTCATTATATAAACATAAGAGCCCCGCCCTAACACAAGAAGCCCTAACCCAGGGACCCTGAAATTCAAAAATCTCAAAGAGACATCCTTCCTCCTCATACCTATGTACATAGTTCATTGGTTAAATACCCAGGTGAAGAAAAGAAGAGTTTTAAAGAATTTAGGCATTTTCACTACATAATCAATAAAAGCCCTGCCCTAACACCAGAACCCCCAACCCAGGGGCCATGAAATTCACAATTCTGGAAGAGGCAGCCTTATTCAACTTAACTATGCACTTGTTTAGTTTATTTAATGCCCATGAACAGAAAAGAAGAAATTCAAAGAATTGTTGCATTTTCACTATATAATCTATATAGTCCCATCCTACCACTAGAACCCCTGACCCTGGGGCCATGAAATTCCCAATTTTGGAAAAGGCAGTCACTTTCAACTTACCTATGCACTTGGTTAGTTTATTTAATGCCCAGGAGCAGAAAAGAAGAATTTCAAAGAAATAATGCATTTTCACTATATAACCTGTTTAGCCCCACCCTAGCTCTAGAACCCCTGACCCTGGAGCCATGAATTTCACAATTTTGGTAGAGGACTCAATGTTGATTACAATCATATCAATAGTTTGACTGCTTGATGTCTAGGAGTAAAGAAGAAGATTTTTAAAGATTCACTAATTTTAGTGGTTTTGGCCCAAGCTCTTAGGCCCCATGGGGAGCAGGGACTATGAAATTCATAGTTTTTGTTCCCCTTCACCCATAGATGCGTTATGCCAAATTTGGTTGAAATTGGTTCAGTGGTTTCAGAGAATAAGCTAAAAATGTTCAAATGTTAACGCACGACAACGGACGAAAACAGATAGCAATAGGTCACCTGAGTTTACTCAGGTGACCTAAAAAGTGAGGCCAATGTCAAAGGAAAGGTCAAGGTCAAAAAATGTTAATGCAGTTGCATAGCTCTCATCAATATCTATCAGCATATGAAGTTTGATGAAAATATCTTGGATAGTTTCTTTGAAACTGAGCTTTGAACAGAGCTAAACGCAAAGTGTGATGGAAGGACAGACGGAAAGACAGAAGGACGGAAGATGGACAAGACAAAAACTATATGCCCCGGCCATATTCATGGCGGGGCATAAATATATCAGATTTTTTTCAGTATTTCTCAGAAGCCTAAATTTATGGAGAATTATAGAGAGAAATTTTCATTATCATTATCATACTTCGTATTCGGTAGATTTCTTTCCTTTCTGTACTGTGCAATAGCTTCCCCTAAATTCTGGGAGCCAGTGCTTTTGTTGGCATCAGTCACTAGAATGAAGACATCCACATCTTTCTTCTGGCTGGTGGCCCACTGGATTGGAGCAACCAGGTCACATGGTTCTGGGGGCGCCTGCACAAAATCCAATTTGCATTATTTCATTTTTAAAATGATGAAAAAAAGGACACGAAAATAATCCTACTGCTTAGCTGAATTAAGAACAAACAGTTCTTACCCCTACAAAGATATCCAGTTCCTCGCCATCACTACCAAACTCTGGTTCTGGATCATCCTCCTGCAAGTACCAATAAAATAAAATGTCAAAGCAAATTATACCCCTACCTCACCTTGTACCAGTAAAGATTAACGCAATGTTATACAAGTCAGCATTTTGATCCCCCCCATTAAGGCCACAATTGAAATATTATTGGTTTGGCGTTGCCGACTCAGCCTTAATACGTTTGGGTCGGTAGGTAGGGGAAATAAATTTTTTTCAATTTCAGAAAAGTTTTTAGTTTTTGGGGCGTCATGGGTTTCCGATTGTTTAACAACAGCTGCATTCTGAATTCATTTCAAGCTATTATTTATTTTAAAACCCTATTAGTTTTAAACCTTTAATAAACATGGTACAAAAAATCGCCGATATTGAACGCGCGCGCGCGCGCGCTTGACTTGCTCTTTAATTTCATTTTTCATGTCAGTTAATTTGGTTTCCTTGGTAACAGTCAGTCGGGTGACAGTGTCTGTGAAGAAGACGACGTCAGATTTCTCCTCGCCTCTAGTGATCACCATGGCAACCCCAGCAGCTGCAGCAGTTGTGGACAGAGTCATCGTGCCTCGCACTGTGGACGCGCGCGCGCGCGCGCGCGCGCGCGCGCGCGCGCGCGCGCGCGCGCGCTGAAAAAAAAAAAAGTTGTATACACAGAGTCATCGTGGCTCGCACTGACACACACAAAAAAGCTGGTTTGCAGCGCGCGCGCGCGCGCGCGCGCGCAACGCGCACAACGTTTACCTGTGGACTTCAGGTTGTTCTGAAAAAAAAAAAATTGTATACACAAATTACATATAACGTTAATGGCTTCAATTCTGACACACACAAAAAAGCTGGTAATGCAGTGGTATGTACATGACCAAATGTTAGCTGGAAACTATTCTGAATTTAGCGCCCTTCAAAATTAGTGTGCTTTATAGACATAAGAGCTGTTTGTGACATTGCAAAGTTAAATAACGCAAAAGAACATTGCAAGGAAAAAAAGTGACAAATTACTTTTAAGTGCACAATTGTTGTATTTTTACGCTAATTTAACAGGGTATATTTTTTGTATTAAATTGTGGGAAAACAATGTAGATTTTGGTATTCATAGAGTATTGAAAATGCATCTAGTTCCTACTTTGTATTGTAACGCGCGGTGACAAGGTTTCGCATGTGTTATCGAGATTTGAACTTGGTGGAAAGTTTCACATGCACAAATCACGCGCGCGCGCGCGCGCGCGCGCGCGCGCGCGCGCGCGCGCGCGCGCGCGCGCGCGCGCGCGCGCGCGCGCGCGCGCGCGCGCGCGCGCGCGCGCGCGCGCGCGCGCGCGCGCGCGCGCGCGCGCGCGCGCGCGCGCGCGCGCGCGCGCGCGCGCGCGCGCGCGCGCGCGCGCGCGCGCGCGCGCGCGCGCGCGCGCGCGCGCGCGCGCGCGCGCGCGCGCGCGCGCGCGCGCGCGCGCGCGCGCGCGCGCGCGCGCGCGCGCGCGCGCGCGCGCGCGCGCGCGCGCGCGCGCGCGCGCGCGCGCGCGCGCGCGCGCGCGCGGCGCGGCTGGGCGCGCGCGCGCGCGCGCGCGCGCGCGCGCGGGCGCGCGCGCGCGCGCGCGCGCGCGCGCGCGCGCGCGCGCGCGCGCGCGCGCGCGCGCGCGCGCGCGCGCGCGCGCGCGCGCGCGCGCGCGCGCGCGCGCGCGCGCGCGCGCGCGCGCGCGCGCGCGCGCGCGCGCGCGCGCGCGCGCGCGCGCGCGCGCGCGCGCGCGCGCGCGCGCGCGCGCGCGCGCGCGCGCGCGCGCGCGCGCGCGCGCGCGCGCGCGCGCGCGCGCGCGCGCGCGCGCGCGCGCGCGCGCGCGCGCGCGCGCGCGCGCGCGCGCGCGCGCGCGCGCGCGCGCGCGCGCCGCGCGCGCGCGCGCGCGCGCGCGCGCGCGCGCGCGCGCGCGCGCGCGCGCGCGCGCGCGCGCGCGCGCGCGCGCGCGCGCGCGCGCGCGCGCGCGCGCGCGCGCGCGCGCGCGCGCGCGCGCGCGCGCGCGCGCGCGCGCGCGCGCGCGCGCGCGCGCGCGCGCGCGCGCGCGCGCGCGCGCGCGCGCGCGCGCGCGCGCGCGCGCGCGCGCGCGCGCGCGCGCGCGCGCGCGCGCGCGCGCGCGCGCGCGCGCGCGCGCGCGCGCGCGCGCGCGCGCGCGCGCGCGCGCGCGCGCGCGCGCGCGCGCGCGCGCGCGCGCGCGCGCGCGCGCGCGCGCGCGCGCGCGCGCGCGCGCGCGCGCGCGCGCGCGCGCGCGCGCGCGCGCGCGCGCGCGCGCGCGCGCGCGCGCGCGCGCGCGCGCGCGCGCGCGCGCGCGCGCGCGCGCGCGCGCGCGCGCGCGCGCGCGCGCGCGCGCGCGCGCGCGCGCGCGCGCGCGCGCGCGCGCGCGCGCGCGCGCGCGCGCGCGCGCGCGCGCGCGCGCGCGCGCGCGCGCGCGCGCGTCTAATAACATCCAAGCATGGCCGCTAGATTCATCTAGCAAACTGTACCTTGAAATTTCTAATTCAAATTGTTATAACTGATTTGTCAGTATATTTTTACCACTACACACATTACCGCGGAAAGTCATGCCATCAACTTCTGTTATACAGAGTTTACCGCTTTTGACAGCCATGCTTGGATTTGTGATACACATATTCAACAGCACATAGACGCTTTTAAACGAAAACTGTTCGATCAATCAAGCGTTTACATGATTCTTTCCCATTTTGTATATTACTCAAATGTACAGACACCTAAATCCGGATATACAGAATGAAAAAAAATTACGATTCGTATCAGCTGAAAAAAATTCTTCGGACCGCACCGATTTACCTGTGTCGGCCGGCAACTCCAAACAAAGCTAATTTTATTTTTTGCCTAATAAACATTTAATGATAATTTTGATTGTGTGATAGTTTATTTAATTTAGAAAATAAATGTATGAAATACCTCTTTCTCGTTAGCTTTCTTGACTTGCTCTTTAATTTCATTTTTCATGTCAGTTAATTTGGTTTCCTTGGTAACAGTCAGTGGGGTGACAGTGTCTGTGAAGAAGACAACGTCAGATTTCTCCTCGCCCCTAGTGATCACCATGGCAACCCCAGCAGCTGCAGCAGTTGTGGACAGAGTCATCGTGCCTCGCACTGTGGACTTGTTTCTGTTGATTCCAACTCGTATTGCAACAACACAACGTTTACCTGTGGACTTTAGGTTGTTCTGAAGAAGGAAGAAATTGTATAAACAAATACCTATGCAACATATATATATATATCTATTCTGCTTAGACATTTTGAAAATGGCCTGAAATCACCAAAAAAAAAAAAAATGCTGGTACAGCTTTAATAAACTGGTTGACGACAGATAGTTAACTGCCAACTACGGTATCCTGATAATAGATTGTTGTTCTCTAGACATCAAGAAAGATAAATGTTTTGATCGTGACATTTGAATGAGTTAAACTTAGTACATGTATTGTGAACTTATAAAGACCATGTTTACACAATATGGTCTACATGCACATTTCTGGTTTCATTCTCATAAAATTTTAACAAGTCTGTATTGTACAAAGACTATTGTGAATTGTTTTCCACATAGAATAATTTTCAAAATACTAGGCTGAAGATGATGACACAGCAGAGGCATAAAACAAACTGTATATAAAAGGTTAAAATACAAAGTACTTCATTACCTTCAAAGTGTAGTCAAGTGCAGAATCCAATGCTTTGATTACTTTGCTATTGTGTTGCCACGTAGCACCCTTTTTCCTTCCCTCTTTGTAGTAGTTGGAAGCAATAATAACATCAAATGGCTGGATGCTAAAATAAGCAAAGCTTTTGCTTTAAAGATAAAAAACATTTTACAATCAAAATACAGAGAAGTAGATTTCATTATATCTTATGCCATTAAGTCTAGTACATGTATATGCAACCTTTCCGGAGAAGTAAAACTTGTTCAATAAATCAACATTATGGGTATTTTTACTTCAATTATAACTTGACAACTGTTATGCAAAAAATCTTTTCTGAATAGAATCTAAAAATTCTTCAAAGTGAATGCAAAGTTAGTTCATTTCATTAAAAAAAATATTACTTGTAAAAATTTAACATACACAAAAAAACCCCAAACAAACCACAATTAGAATTTCTTGCAATTTGGCCAAGGACATAGTTACTCAACATACTTTTGTTCTTTTAGTAAGGATTCATTCATAAGCTTGTCCACCACTGTCTGGCTCCCGTCACAGGCCTCGTCTAGATATCCTATATTTGCCAGCTGTCCAATATTTTCCAGTATTTCTTGTACTGTCATCTCTTTCAACAGAGCTGTCCATATCTGAAATGACAGGAATTTATCACAGTACCTTCTCACATGAAAATCTGCATAAATAAAAAGAGATGTAAGAAACACCCATTCTCACAACATTAGGGTTCCTGTGTGAACACATTGCAATGGTCCGGACCCCTGACAAATTTCATTTGTTATACAGTGGGATGACTGCAGTGATGTCTTTTGGAAAAAATAAAAATCTTGATTATTTTCATCCAAGAATGACTTTTGATTGGAACATAATTTTATGTTTTTGTCAACATGCACAATATTTGAATGATAATACAAGCTGGTACAAATATTGAATCTTTGAGGCCTTTGTGTGAATTCTAATCATTGCATTTATAGAGCAAAAATTACCCGGTAAATGTAATACCAAAGTATAATTTTCAAAGGCAAATCTGAAATCTGTATTTTGACAATTAATTTGGAATAAATACTGTATTTTAGCAATAGTAAACATCCCTGGAAAGAGCTTAAAAGTTATCAGAATAAATTTCTTCAAAACAAGTGAACTCAGATAACATTGCCACACAGGTAGCTTAAGCCTGTCAAACAATCTAACTAGTAGGTATTTTTCTTGCATGACTTGACAAGTGGATTTGTATTGATCTAACACATTAGATGCTTTTTTTGGCTTTTTACATAAAAGAAGGGAATTGTGTAAATAATTCTGAAAACATCACATTATAGATTTAACAAGTTAGAGATGTTTTTGAAACACTTATCCCCCCCCCCTTCCGCCTGGGACTTACAGTCTTACTTGCAAAGAAAATGAACGGAAATTGCAAATAATTGAAATTTTTCTTAAGTCCAAGGGTCATAACTTTGTCAATAATTGCTCGATCGTACTGAAAACAGAACTTGACCTAGATATTCTTATGATAAATCTGGAAACCAAATTTCATTTCAGTATGTGCAACTTTTGCAAAGAAAATGAACGGAAACTGCAAATAATTGAAATTATTCTAAATCCAAGGGGCATAACTCTGTCAAAAATAGCTTGATCATACACAGAACAGAATCTGACCTACATATTCTTATGATGAATTTGTATACCAAATTTCATTACAGTATGTGCAACCTCTGCAAAAAATGAATGGAATCAGTTGGTGGACCGACAGACAGACAGCTAGACAGACTGACAGACAGCAGCAAAGCAATATGCCCTCTCATCTTCAAGGGGGGGGGGGAGCATAATAAATGATATTCTTAATCCCTTTTCTGGTCTGTTATTTGGAACATTTACATGATATATTAATAACTTTTAAAATTTAACAACCTCCTTTTCCTTCAGTAAAACTGTCCGTAGATGGTCCTTTTTCAGATGATGGAGTTCTACAAGCTTCGCGACTTGTGGAATGTCCTCCTTGTGTTTGGCAATGTCTACAGCTGAGAGAAATTCCAGGAGTTTCCGAACGCTCTCCTTGTCAGACTTCCCAAACGACTTCTTGGTCTCGGCCAGGCCTAGGACTAGATACTTAAAGATGAGGTCCATTTCTACAACATACCAATTTAAGGGAGATAACCTCAATGATATACATGAATACAAGCATCAAATTAGTCTAAAATATCAGTCATTGAATATATTCTCTTAAAAATATTCCTGCAGTTTTAAAATACCATGATCAAGATGATCACTAAAGTGTGGATCTATATAATTATATATATATTAATGCTGTTAGGCATGATTCATTATATTTTGATATGAACTGCAGTCTCAGTTTGTGCTATTCTATGTAAGCCTAATATTTACATTTCCAATGTCTTTGTTCGAGATAAAATTACAAACAGTCAATGTACTTTATGTCTTCATCAATGTACTAGTTCATCAATAGGCGCGGTTAAAAAAAATCATGTGCAGGGCGGGACAAATAGAGACAAGAAGCGGGGCTTCTAGCACATGGATTGGTGGAATCAATACCGTATAATCCCTATTAACCACCCCAGGTGCTTAGAAAATTGCAAAAAGGGGGCGGTTATTTTGGTATTCTCTTTATGATATATAATGTCGTATTTTAACTTCAAAAAAATCTTTAAAAAATGAATAAATACGAGGAACCACTAAAATAATGTAAAATTTTACTTCAAGTGAAGATAATACACCTAAATTATGCTAAAGTATTCTTTTTTCACTGAGAAATTGGATAATAGTCAATTCATTTTCACTTTCTTCATTTTTTTGGCTACGATTCTAGTTGATTTTAATCACTGTATAGGGGCCCTTATTTTCTGACAATTGAAAAAGACCTAAGGGGGCGCTTGTAGGGGCAGGGGGGGGTTAAAAGGGATTATACGGAACCATGTAAATATAAGGAATAACTGTCAGATTTTTCAGTTTCATGACGATGATCAATCAATTGGCTTGCATGATAATTTTAAGCATAAATGCCTTCGGCGTTTATGCAAATTATCACACAAGCCAATCGATTGATCACATCATGAAATCGAAAAATGAGACAGTTATTCCATAAATCACACCAACTTATGAATTTTTTTCTTGTGTTCAGTGAGTGTTGAACAATAATAAAAGACAGGCTCTTATACAAATTAACTTACCAGGTCTGTGGGTATGTTACAAATAATACTCATACACTCTGACAACTCAATACTTCAAAAGTCAGATTTACGGTATTCTGTCATGTGAAGTTTATCACTCTGAAATATGTCAGTTTGCAATTCATTGACATAAATTTGTGTCATCTATATAGAATTAACAAGGAGAATTTATCTCTTGATTGTTCTAACATAATAACTGTACATCTAATTCCTACAGATATCATTCTAAATGCATCAAATCAATTCACGTATTTGTCACCCCGTATTAATTGCTTTGTAAATGCAGCATGTTTATTATTCATTAACACTTCAAGATATCCTCTGATCACCGAGATTATCAACATTCAGTATAGGAGCCATCACCTCAGATATAATTGGCTTACACTAAAAGAAGCAGTGAGGGCATGTAACAGCACATGTATGTTGTAGTAATTACTGCCTCCACTGTTTGCACTTCTCACAAAAAAAGAGACACTGAGTGCTGGTGCAATCAGTTCATATGCCATCACTACAGCTTACAAATTTCTCATCCTGGCATTTGTGTTGTCTTGAGAAAATATTTGCTTTTTAATTGTTCTGACATATCTTCTTTTTATTATTCAACTTTAAGATATACTGAGCCATGAGTATAAGGCAAGTGTGACACAGACTGGAATCTTTGGACATGTGTATGTAATTCTACAATGATAACCTGAGAGAGGTGATTGGATTGTTGTGGGAATGGAGGAAGTATTTGAAGAATGTCTGCCTCCCTGCTGTTGTGTAACAGATGTGTTCTGGCTGCCATCGGCAGATTTACAGTCTAGCCACAACAAATCCCAACGCCAAAAGATCAGAAATATTGAATGTGTGTCTCAATGCCAAAAGATCACAAATATTAAATGCCCTGACCCTCTTCAAGGGCTTACAAGATAAAAGCCTAAATCTTATATTACAGTTTTTACTTCCAATTGCCATACACTATTGAACTTTGATAGTAAATGCTTATCAACAACACAATTTAATCCTAGAGAGTTTGTCATATTGCTTTTCATATTGTCATATAGATCAATCTTTGAAATGAACTACATTGTATATAAATTAAGGTCAACATCCCCAAGACTCCCTCTTTCAGCTTGTGTTAATGTTTTTGTTTGTTGAACCTTGTTAATTTTTATAACAGAAGAAAATATTGCTCAATAATTGTTAGGAATGTTAAGTGGTAAAAATGATGTATCCAAGTATCCTCAACAGATCACGGTAAATAGGTAGTTTTTTAAACATAACTTCTTCAGAACACTTCAGAGGTTTAGAATTACAATTTGGGAAACCTCAGCTTTAAAAAAAAACAGTATATATGTTTCATGTTTCTCTGTAATGTTACATTCTAACTGGTAATAATTTTAGCACTGTCAGCTACTGTCTGGTTAAATCAGCTTGTTTAAGTTGAATCAACAGCTGATCGAGATTTTCATATTTTACATTATCATCACCGATGCCCAGCTATAGTCAGTTTGATATGATCCAGTATATAGATCATCTAGATAAACATACAGATATCTCAAATTGAGATATAAAACATGTTCCATCTTTAAAAAAAATAAATTTAACCTGTTTATTATATCCAAACACTTGAATAAAATGTGTAAACTTAATTTGGAATATACGTTCATTAGCTTTTACAATGGAAAATCAAACGATACTATGACATTCAAATAACTGTTCGACATCCATTATTATTATGTTATTGTAGCAAGTGATGGCAGATGTAATGTTAACTAAAACTCAGACAAATTCATTATATCAAGCAGGGAAGAACAATGTTAATGTATCCATAGAAATAATTAGATGTGAGACATCAATTAGATTTATATTACATATGTATAGCTATGGTTTTAATTACTGGGTGTATGCACTGCACAGTAATTTACTAAATATGTTGTTGTTTGGATACAGAGATATCTGCCATTTCTTCCACTCTTTAATAAGTAAACCAAAGTCTCCGACTGTTCAGCTTTTTCAAATGCACTTTCTTCAAAATAAATTGACCTGCAGGTGAAGATCTTTCAGCAGGATTACCATTTTGGCACCTTTGCCCAGGTTTTCATCATGATAATTTAGAATACCATCAAAATAATATGGTTTCATATATGCATTAAAGAAAACTCATGTATGATCATCCCCATTACCTTTGACCTAAATTTTGAAAGTACAAGTATTACAAATATAGAGATACAGTACAAGTACATTAAATATAATCTTTTTTTTTAAAAAAAAAAACAAACAACAATATACTAACCATCTGTCTTGGGCTTGAGGTGTCCCATTCGAAGAGCATCCCTATGTGACCATCCCAAGAAGCTAACCTCTTTGCTGACATTGCGGGCCAGTTGATATGGATCTTGGTTGTGGTACCAGGTGCTAATCAATCTCTTGAAGTATCTTCCCCAGCTCTTTGTTGTGGACAGAGTTTTATGAAATTTGAACAACTGAAACAAGTCACAAGGAGTTTTACAAATTTTATCACATATCTGTTCTGCTTGTTTCTTTGTGTTTTTGTCTGTGGATTTACAGCAGAGAGCATATGCAAATAACAATGGTTCCCTGTCTATTAAGGCTGGGGATGAGCTGCAACTTTCTAACAGGGATAAAACCTCTTTCCCATGTCCATCTGCCAATAGCTGGGTCACACACAATGCCTTTTCTCGACTAAATGTTTTGGAGACCACTTTGTAGGCACCATCATCTCTATAGAGGAATAACCATTGTTTAAACTTTTCTATACTTTCTTCCTCGACTGAATTGGCCATTATTTGCTAAACCTTGAGTAAAAGAAAAAGAGATGTGAAATAATACATGTATAAAATGTGCACATTAATGATCGTAATTGTTTTCCTTATTCTAAATAAAAGTTCATTAATTATTTTAAAAGCAGTCAAAATATCAAATGAATGATGGAATAAAATGATAAAAAAAAAAACAACAAAAAAAACAAATAAATAAATCACAATAAAACAAAACATTACCATGGGTAAAAACCGAACTATTAAAGATTTGACAACTGAATATTAATGAAGATTTTTGCAATTTATACCCTATTGCATTGCTGTAGTTCAATTTAAAAGGCATGTACAAAAATGGTATGTTGACTTCTTTATTTTCCCCTTGGTTCAATAAATGCAAGGTAGGCAGTAAGCTAAAGTGGCTTTGTATGATGCTCGATTTATTACTTTTTGTGAATAAAATTATGCAAAAGTAAACAAAAAAATAAAGCATTAAAAAAATGCAATCACAACTGATCGTGCTTCTCATTCAATCATTCGCCCTTATATTTCATTTCAATCCAATTTTTATTAAAATTTCAATTAACTGGGACAGAATTAAATGTATGCATGTCAGCACTCCCTCAGTCCCTGGGCCATGTGCACACTGATCTTTACTTAATTTTCCACAAATGGGAAAATTAAACAACTTTTTATTTGAAAACACGACATAAATTTATACAAAATAATGTCTTTATTACCTGCAAAACCTCTGGAGTTTCAAAGGAAATCCAGAATTGCCGAAATGGAATGAATGAAATTATTTGTGGAATTTCTTTCTAGCCAGTTTCTACTTCCGATGTGTGTTTCGTCATCAGATTCTGTGTTCGGTGTTTCAAGCGCACCAGTGACTAAGAATCTAAGTGTAAATCACATGATCTGACAGCAAAAAAGATGGCAAGTCAGTCAACAGGGATTCAGCAGCTATTGAAGGCTGAAAAACAGGCTGCAGAGAAAGTAGCGGATGCAAGAAAACGTAATTAGGTTTCTGTATTATGATCCAAGGATCGGGTGTACGAATTTCCAAAGTAGTTGTAGATTATTAGTCTGACATTCCTCGGTTGATGGGTTTTTAACTCCTTGTATAGAAAGATTTTCCTTGACCCATTGGGACTGCAAAGTATTGTGCCTCATGTTGACAGTGTCGTATTAAATTATAATTCATGATTTAATGTGAAACGCATTTTGTATTTGATTTTAAAGTTAACAGGTGAATATTCTCAAAGGAGATTACCAGGTCCGGCACAATCTCTTGATTAAGCTATATAGCTTGATTTAGCTATATAGCTTTATTAAGCTATTCAGAATAGCTTGATTAAGCTATTTTCTCAGACTTTTTTCTCAAATGTGTTATTTTTTCAACATGTGCAAAAAGTCGCACCTTGGTGCAGTGGAAATATTAAACTTTGTACTCTCCTGAATACAATGCATGTAAAAATCACTCACCAAATTGCGTCTCCTTGAGAGACTTTGTACTCAAAGTTTTAAAAGTTTTGGGGCTATTGATGAGTGACCACACAGTTATTTCTTGAATGAAATTATAAAGGAGGCCAGTTATGGCCAACAGGATAATTGATTAGTAACAGTTCAGCACAATGAGAAGCAATCATACTTACCCACGCCTCACCACACACACAGTTAGTCAAACAATGGAAATTCATATTTTGCTTAAAAGTATTCAACAGCAGCAATGTAAGAACTTTGTATGATTTAGGTTGTATTTTTGATAGTTCATAGTACATATATGAATAGTCAAATATTTGCGACTTTTTGTTTATTTCTTTCAAAGAACGTTTTTGTGAAAAATTGCATATAAATAGCTTTATCAAGCTATTTTGAATAGCTTAATAAAGCTATATAGCTTTTTAAAGCTATATAGCTTAATCAAGAGATTGTGCTGGACCTGATTACCACAGACACTTGTACATTCACCTTTTGTTTTCCCTGACTTAGTTTCAGGCACCCTACTTCTAGCTAATGTTTAAAAATTTATCAATCATGAACATACTTCAAGTAGCCTGTCTGGCATAGTCATCATATTGTTTGCTTTAGAGTTGCGTAGTAAGGAGCTGATCCTTATGTCGCCGGGTTAACTCCTCTGTGGGTATTGAGACTATTCCTTTGCGGCGCGTCGATTTACCCAAATGGACCCAAATGGAACCCAAATGGAAACAAATGGACCCAAATGGAAACACAAATGGACCCAAATGGAAATCAAATGGAATATTAAATATGTATTATCGTATTTTAATACTTATTTAAAATGATTAAAATAAATGAACTTACAGTCACAAATGGATTTTTTTTAAATTATTAATCTCTAATATTGTATTTTGAAACATGAAGTTAGCATTCTATATAACGGCAAAATTATTTGGGGGTGCGGGGGTGGGGATGCCTCCTCCCCCCCCCCCCATCCGGAAACTATCAAATACTTCAGTTTTGTATTCAATTATGTTCAACAGTTATTACAAATAGAATTAAATCGCATTTTAAAAAATACATTGAAGAAAATAATGATATTAAAATATTCTCTTTTTGTTTTAATTTCATTATTTTCTATATTTTAAATAAGTAAAACTTGAGAATGATATAATATATATATTTTATATTCCATTTGGGTCCATTTGATTTCCATTTGGGTCCATTTGAGTTTCCATTTGGGTCCATTTGGGTTCCATTTGGGTAAATCGATGCACCCTTCCTTTGGAAAAAACTTTTAATTATAAATCAAGGTCCCATATTGCAGTGGGTGTTGACACGAAAAAGATCCTTCACTGCTCATTTGCCGTAAGTGTGGAGCCTAGGTAAATTTGCAGCCTTCCACCGACAAGTGGTGACCTTTCTATAAGAGTGAAAAATTCTTGAGAGGGACTTTAAACAACAGACAAACTAAAGTAAAACATACTTCAGCATTGAGAAAGACTTTCTTTTGAAATAAATTGTTCCAGACATCTTTGCTTGAGCTTCTTTAGTTATATCTCGCAACATTCAAAGACTTTACAGGGGAAATCTTCTGGTTAAGGTAGTCTAGAATAAAATCAGAGACTTCCAAACTATTCATAATGAAGTCTCTGGTTTTATCCTACACTATCACTACTTCCAAAAGTTAACAAATCCTCTGTAAGATCTAAACATTTTGAGGTAATTTTTTAGGAATAAATGAGTGGTTGATTTACAAAGGACATTAAAAAAATTCTTCAAGAAAGAAAAAGTAAAAACAAACCAAATCTTGTTAAAGTAGGTCAGTGATTTATAAATTGATAATACAAGTTTGAAGTAGGGTTGTCTGAAAGTTAGGTGTCTAGTGGAAAGGAAGTCAGGGGGTGTCCATATACTGTTGGACACAATTGCATGGGGAGATAACACAAGTCACCAGAGCTTAGCTGAAGATCCGTATTTTACCTGTCTGTTGCTTAGTCTTTTCCTGACAATGAAAAGTAAATTTATTAGTATCCCTCCAGGGTCAGATGCTGAGAACACAGAAAGCTCCTAGTATTTAGATTATTCTTAAGTGTTACCAGAGTAACACCAGTGGCTCCCATTAGCTACCAAGAAGTCCATTTTTAACATTGAAAATATTTTTGTAGGTAAAGCCAAACGATTAAAGCAAGCCAAAGAAGAAGCACAACAAGAGATAGAACAATACAGAGCCCAGAGGGAGGCCCAGTACAAGAAATATGAACAATCAGTAAGTCAGTGAGCATAATACAAAGAGAGAGAGAGAGAGAGAGAGAGAAAGAAAGAGAGAGAGAGGAGAGAGAGACAGGGGGGGGGGGGGGCAGTACAAGAAATATGAACAATCAATAATTCAGTGAGAATTATACACAGCAAGAAGGGGGGGGGGCACCAGTACAAGAAATATGAACAATCAGTAGGTCAGTGGGCATAATACAGACAGAGGAGAGAGAGAGAAGCCCAGTACAAGAAATATAAACAATCAATAAGTCTGAGTACAATACAAAGTCTGGAAAGAGAGAGAGAAACCCTTTGACTAACTTAATAAAAACCAGTCCCTATTAATTTTGATGATAAAGGTTTAGTAAAGGGGTCACAATATGGTATGAATCTGTTTCCAGATTCAATTCATTACAGAAAAGATCTGAATTTATATGTATATTAAAAATTAAGTGATATGTCTTTAATTGTCAGGTCCTTGGATCTCGCGGTGACATGGAGAGTAAGATAGAGGCCAGCACACGTCAGAAGCTGAAGGAGCTCGAGAGTAATATGGGCAAAAACAAGGAAGTGGCCATCAAAAGACTAATGGAAATCGTCTTAGACATCAAACCCGAAATCCACGGCAACTGGAAAAAATAGATGTGACATTCTTCTTAGGAAATTAATGGCTGATTCATACTGTGGTTTTATAATTTTTTTAGCAGGCTTTTAAAATTATTTGTTCTATTCATCAATTCCTGCCAGAATAAGTCCTTTACGTAGGAATTCACTGAAATGATATAAATTTTATGTATTCTAGATTTGACATTGGACTCTGCTTAAAGATTATAAAACCACAGTATGAAAAGTCAGCTAACAGCAATCCATGTACATTTAAATATTACGGGGTAGTCTTTTTCTATGAATTGTTTATCCATGATCATTTGTCTAGTGTTGATTTTGTGAGGTAGCTTGAATAGGCCATCTACTGATCATATTGTGATTGGTCGCTGTATACAGAGTTAATGTACTCGGAACTAGGTAGTCGTCCAATAAGTTCAATCATCAGTATGAATGAGGAAGGTTGTAATGTAAAACCTGAGTCTAGTCAAAATGAATCATTGTATGATGGGCTTATACATATTCCAACTTTTACAAAAAAAATCAAGTATGTGTATTTACTTGTACGAGTTTGTATCAAGTGTATAAATAAAACATTCCATTTGTAAGGAAGTGCTGGCACCATGTAAATTTAAAACTTTAATATAGGCAATTTTTCAGAAGTTCCATCCTAATTTACAATAATATAATTGTTAAAGTTGAGAGTGGATTAATTTATTATGATTTTTGAGAATAGTGTATTATGTATTACATGTATATTGTATTATTTCTTAAATATATATAAAGAAATCTGATATATTGTGTGCTTTATTCTTTTCATCAACAGTTTGGGATATTGTAGATGATTTCATGCTTGTAATGAAGCAAATGTTAAACCAGAGACATACCGGTATGTCTTTGGTTAAAGTACATATATATCTAACAGTATATACATACTTCTTTTTCAACTTTATACATTACTACTTGTACAGGATGGAGTAAGTTGTAGAATATGCCTGTAACACTAAGAGGAGAATGCTTACATGATGCAAGGAGAGACAATGTGATTCATTTTAAGTTGTAATTGCAAATTTGTGAGGGCCAAGCTAATTTTGATCCACCTTTGAGATGTGATGTCCACAATCCCCTCAGAGATATGTGGTACGCTAGAGATACAGATGCAAGCTTTTCTGGACTGGCTGTCTTTTGGAGTCTCTGATTTTCCAAACCCAATCTCTTGATGTAAGGCCTTGATGCACAGACTAATGCATGTTATGTTCTCAACATAATCATTTGTTAGCAAGATTATAGACAAGCAGAGTTCACTTGCTGCAAGTTTGTTCCATCAGTGTGTAATGGGTGTGTCCCTCTTCGAAAAAAGGAGAGCATATTCCTCTGCTGCTGCCTGTCGGTCGCTTTGTCAGTCAATCGGTTCAGAAACAAGTTCTGTTCACTTTCATAACAGAATTTGCACATACTGCAATGAAATTTGTTATAAGCTAACAGAATAACTTAGGTCAGATTCTGTTTTGGATACAAGTGAGGAATTTTTGACAGAGTTATTCCCCTTGGAAAATTGCAGTTTCCATTTATTTCCTTTGCAGAATTTGCACATACTGAAATGAAATTTGGAGTACAGATTTATCATTAAAATACTGATATCTAGGTCAAGATCTGTATTAGGTATGATCGAGCAATTTTTGACAGTTATGGCCATTGGACTTGGAAAAATTCATTATTTGCATTTCTGATCATTTTCATCACATGTCTGGGAAAGTGAGGGAGCTTATGTCTTTTGTTTCCTTAAATAATAAGTTGCAAAATAACATTAGCTTCTGGTGATCAAATACTGATAGCATTTACAGAAATACTGACTAAAATCTAATCAAAAGGATAGTTGTGGACAGACTTTTATGATGAAGTTATCTCTACCATCAGGTAGGATGGCATGAAACCGTAGTGTTCATGATCAAGTTGCATAGATAATGGATATTGATACTGGCCTGTACAGTACAATGGTTAGAGCACTGACAAGTGATTCAGGGGATCCAGGTTCAAATCACCACTAAGCCAAAAATTTACATTATATACATATTGTTTTAATTCCATAGCATATTTTTTCAATCCCCTCCTCCTACAACATAACTAAATGATATATATAGAATAAAGTAAACTCTTGATATTCTCCATTTATTAAGTTTTTACAACAATCACCAACATCCATCCATTCAGAACATCAATAACCCCATGTGTAGATGTCTGTTTAATAATCATGATAAAAATGGCAGAAAACTGGATTTGTTGCCTAGAGTGCCTGGAAAATGATCAAATGAATTTTGTTCCATGATGTCAATAATCCTTATTCACCACATAACGCCACATACACTCAATAAATAGCTTTAATATACACGTCGTAAACGCCCTTGTCCAAACAGGAAGGAGCAGATTCGATCAATGATAAAAGATCCACACACATCTGCGGCTAAAATTTGAAGTACTGTGTTACGGAACTGAAATTAAAAGAAAACAAAAATTATAATTAATGTTAAAAGCTGTGCATAATTACTGCTAATTTTTCTCTTTTTTGGGGGGAGGGGGATGCAACAGGCTTTAAAGATAATGCTATTTTTTGTTCATGTATTGAGATATACAGATTGGTCATGTCTGAAGCTTTCAACATACATCTGATCACATGCAAACCAATATCTACATTCCCATTGATGTTCGAACATTTTCAAAGAGTAAATGTTAAGACGTGCATGTTTTATTTTTCAGTTGAACCAGTAATAATGTAATATTGTGTAGACCTTTTCTGACTTTACAATCAAATTCTGGTCATGTTATGAACTGCAGGTTTTGAAAGAAATTTGATATAAAAGTAATAAAATAGTTTTATACCATGGAAAACATTAAATTCAAATGAAAATTGATCATTTGAATATGCACAATTCATTAAGACACATTTACATTTAAAATTAAAGAAAAGCTAATAACAACAAATCAAAATGCTTTACTATACCTCTTGTGGTAATGGAACTATTTCAAACTGTTCTGCCATTTCAGGGACTACACCACTAGCTAGAGCTGTAATGGCCGTCCCAGAGAAGGCAAGGCTATACAGCAGGGGTTTGTTATTGAACAAACTCTCCATAAACGGCTCACCCTGTTTGAAAAAATGAAAGTATTAATATACTGGGAAAAATAAAAATCATGCATGAAGTACCTGTACTTTAGGTAATGAAAATTTTCATTGAGTTCGAAAAAAGGATGTACATGTAATTCAAATATGGACAATAGTAAAAGACAAACATACCTTGTAATTTACAGCAAATGTTGAGACTTGTAGAGCCATTGATATAATATAAACTGTAGTATTTAATATATTTGGAGAAAATTTTGCTTCTAAATCTACAAATTCTTCCTCCCTGCAACAAAAAAAATACACAAAACTTTCAAAGTTGAATAATTAACATCAATGAGTTACTGTGAGTAATAAGCATACAGTTTTATGGCAATTACAGGTATCTTGATCAAATAATCATTTTTTTTAAAGGTTACAAATATGTTTGACGTCCTTTGGTTACTGCAAAAGGAGTAATTTACAAGTTGTCACAGCCAAACTCTGCATCAAGTTTGATGACTATCAAGCAAAGGATTCATAATATATTATGGAATATTGGCTGAGATTTGACTTTAAAATAGAAAATTACAGTTTTATCAACTTAAGCATTCTTGGGACATTAATCAGGCATTCCATTTGGGTGGATCAGAAAACTACCCGGTAGTTGAACTTTGACCTCTTGAGTCATCTATTTTCATGGCCAACACATATAAAATCTGATGACTACTGTAGATTAGCAAATAATCACAATGGTTTTAATTTCGCCATGTTGAAGTATGTTAGCGATTTATCATTTTTCTGCGAAATCAAAACCATTTAGAATGTTATTATTAGTTTTTAAAAATGAATAAATGCTTATTTGAAATTTTTAAATATATTTCTTGCAGCATGAAATTAAAACCATCGAAATTGGTACTTTTTGAGATATCATGAAATTTTAACACTGTGGAATTAAAATGACTAACAGTATCTAGCATTTGATTCCCAAGATATTATTCACAAACTGTTGGTAAACAAGACAAACTACAGACTGGATTGAAAGGCACAGAGCAAAATGCACAACATGTATTCTTCAAAAAGGGCATAGAAAATGTAGAATTACTTGATACAAATGCAGTTAAACCTATGTCAATAACTTACACTGCCACTACAGACATTGTAAGGAGGCTTACCTAGGAGGAATTAAGGCTTTAGCACCTTGTACTAAATAGACTAGACAACAGAAGTGGACAGCAAACTGAAGCACCACTGTCAGTAGAGTGTACACATTGAAAATGTTAGGTAGAGGCCTAGCTTTTGATAGAGTCTTCAAAGGCTGCAAAGATAACATCAGTACAGGTATGAACAAATCAGTAAACTTTGTGTTAGAGTGATGTGCTTCGAACCCCCAAAACAAAATGGACCTTATATGACTTGAAGCAGTCTTAGACTTTAGTCAAAATTCAGTCCTCTATATATTTTTTTTATATGAGTTGACACTTGAAAATTAACATGTCAGACTTTATAAATTTTTTTTTCTAAAATAGGAATCAAAACAAATTTCAAATTTGACTTATCTAAAACTGTTTCATGATCTTTGGGTCTGATTGTTATCTTCTGATCATTGTCAATTAAAAACTAAATTATTTAAAGTCTAGAAAAGCTCTTTAACCTCTACATTTGTCATGTATATAAACAAACATGCATTATACTGTATTTATCTTTTAAAAAAAGCAATGAATCCATACCTTTGACCTAGAAATAAACAAGAAACAGCCCGCTAGTAGCAGGCCCTGCATGGTGGCCTGGCTGTCACTGAATTTGATTCCATCTAAGTACAGCACACTCTGACTGTAAGCCAGGATTAGGGCATTCAGGGCCAGGATTTTAAACATCTGTAAGGTAGTCACCAGGGTACACCTACCCTGCTTAATGATGTGACATACTGCCAAAAAAAAAAAAACAGTCACAAATACTGTATCATATTACTATACCTTAATTTGTTATATACAACTCAATCAATTTATTTATAAGACTCTGTACTTGTGTTGAATTCAAGTATGGATATCTAAGACAATTCTCTATCTTTCTTTAATTTTCTGATTTTAGAATTTTATCTAATTGTAGAATGTATGAAAGACTTTAATATAGACCTATTCTCTTGTTTGCATTTTATATCAAATTTCTTAAGATAGTAACTCTTACCACACACTGTAGTGGAAAGCTTGGAGGTGAATGGTGAAGCAATACTGGCATCCCCTAACTTCACAATCTGAGCTTTCTCCTCTTCTTCTATTTCCTTCATCATATTGGCCAACCTTTTCTATAAAGATTAATAAATATAATAAACATACCGATACATATTACAAGATTATGAAGCTCATCTCAATTAACATTACCTAGAAGTAAGTAAGTCTCATAATTATAATACATGTTCTGGTAATTTGTGTTTGTAGATGCATTCTCTATTCAAGTTCTAATGCCATTATCAGGCGTAAGTTCATCTCAACTTTGTCAAGGTGAGGTAAAAGTATTGGTAAGAGATTTGGTTAAAAATAATATCCAAAACTTTTACTGATCAAGCTCTTTAGTTTGATTAAGCTTCTTTTACCTGTGCTGGAGCTAAGTTGTCTCCCCTTGCCACAGCCCTGGCCTTGGCAGCACGACCAGCCATTTTACCTTTCATTCCAGGGGGCATAACTCTGTCATTTGAGGTATTTGCTTCTCCATCCACTGAGGTTCCCTGTCAAAAATACATACCCTACAGGTATTCAATGGACTGATGAAGTATTTTCATTAAAGAACAATGACAAAACTGCCATTTTTTAAGCACTGAATTGAGATATAAATTACCCTGGTATATGAAGATGTTTATATTCAACAGTTTGTGAAACAAGTTTACCTCATCAGATTTTTCTTTCCTTTTCTTTCTCTCCATTGGCCTTTCAGGGGCATTTGCCAGCAAAGCTACACCTAAAATTATCCCAGAATTGTTTAAATATTGATTGAAGGACTGCCAAATACTCTTTGGCTTAATTTAATTTTTTTTTTCAATTGGATAAGGATTCAAATAAGATAATTATTATTCACTGTAGTTAAAAAAAAATCGAGTTATAATAATTTTTATCTAAACCTTGAAATACAAAGTACTGAAAAATGAACCTTCTCTCAGTGTAACCACATTTCCATATTTGATATATGTTTAATTCCCTTCTCAAAATACAAGGAATATGCAATAAATGAAATATCTTACCGACATCAGCATGTTTGAGAGCTCCTACATCATTGGTTCCATCCCCACACATAAGTGTGGTAAAACCCAAGTCCTTAAGTGTTATGATCACAAATTCCTAAAACAGAATACAAATATATAAGGGGTTTATCAAAGAGTTAAAATTCTATCATGTTATCAATGATCTTCTGATGTAGGGCCTCGACCTTGTAAACATGACTTGGAATATATACCTTTTGTTTGGGAGACACTCGGGCGAAGACTCTGGCTGCTGGGAGCACAGCTTGTAGTAATTTCTTATCCTCAGACTGGAGGTAGGCTATGCCCTAAAACATACAAGATACAATTGTAATAATTATTATTTTACCTAGAATTGATGAATATTTCTGTCAAGCACAAAGTTACTGGAGGCAAAGCTAAATAACCCAACTACAAAGTGTAAGAGAATCAGTTCATATAGTGATACAGAGGTCATACTTGGGGAGGATCTAAGATTTTAATTTCTATTGTACTTACATCTCCAGTGATACAGAGGTCATACTTGGGGAGGATCTCAGATTTCAGTTTTGTTTTGTTCAGAGGGAGGACAATTTTGTCATCTATAGACTGCCAGTGCCAAGAGTCATCTGTTATTACAAAAAATATACAAATAAATGTACCCAAACTACAAAAAATGTATTTAAATATATGTCTTAAATATGGTTTGTAAAAATAAGTCATTATATAACTTCTTTAATAATTACAGAAGGACAAAGGAAGCTTGAATCAAAGTATCTAAGTTGAAACATTTCCAAGTATAACTCCATGTGTACACCTGTCACATTATCTATCTGATTAATTTACATGTACTTCGCAGCACAGTTAAGGTTACAAAAAGGAGGCGGAGCCTAATTTGTACGGGAAAACTTGACTATGACATCATACACAATATACGTCATACAACATTTCTTTAAAATACCACAAAATGTGTTTGTCTGCTTATCTAACCAGTAAGAAATCATCAAACTACATAAAAACTTACTACAGCGTGTTATTTTGTCGTTAGTTAAATCCCATATAACAAGTTATAAACAAGTCACGGATCGCAATACACTTGTCAATATGACGTCATTTCTTACAACGTGACGTAGTTTGAATGCAGTGAGAGACAAATCAAGTAATATTTTCGCAACAAAATATATTTATTATAATTAAATAAAATATTATTTACAGATATTTTTTGGGCCAATAACTTGAATTTAATGTCTTCTTCACTATTTTATTATCATATTTTCTGTACATTACGTATTTAATTGACACTGCCGTATATTTGTATGCAAGTACATCGGAGGGTAACATGGGGGGTCTTAATAAATCGATCTAGTGTAAGGGCATACACTCTATGGATCAAAGTAAGCTTTTACATTTTAACTATAGAACTATTAAGGTATCTGAAAAGTGCTGCGATCCTGATGAAATCGTAAAAACAATTTAATTATATCAATATTTCTTGCCGCTGACCAGCAAAAAATATAGCATTCTGTCTTACAAGTATAATTTTAACAATAAAATTGCAGAATTTAGACAGGATCGCAGCACTTTTTAGAAACTACAATGCGAGTTGAAAATATTTATATACTAAACTTGGAAATTTAACTTGGTTATGCCCTTGCACTAGTGATATTCATATGGAACATCAATACTTCAAGTCAATGTGCTAAAATCGCGTGACTGCCGCATCACGTGACTAGTCTAAATATAAAATATAATCGTCCTCGATATATAGTTATTAATCATAATTACAATTATCCGATATAAATAATGTACTAAAAATAATCGCTATTTCGATTCCGAATACATTTTTAAATACAAAATTTAGTGAATATTTCCATTGCGCACCTTAACTGTACTGCGTTTTTGGAATGAGAAAAACAATGGAAGACATCAAAATAAGTGATGTACCAAAATGATTTGGATCCTCCAGGATTAACATTTCTTTTCTGGTCATTCTGAGTTCTTTGGCCACATGACATGCTGTTAATGGATTATCTCCTGTGATCATCACAACCTGTACCAACAAAAAGTACAAATTCATATAAACAACCCTTTAGATTTAAATTTACTTACAGAATGTTCTTCATTTAATAAACAGTTTATATTAAAGTGTTCATCTAGTGTCATTCTGTATAAAAACATACAAGTGTATCACTAGATGAATAAATCATTCTTTAGAGCAGAATTTTGTTGTTTAGCTACATGTAGCTTAGATTTGGAGTATAAGGTGATAAATATTACAGAAATTATTTTCCCTGGGGAAAAAAAAAATGTCCTTACATGGTGAGAAGCCTGGCTAATTTCCTTGATGACAGATTTAGAGTCGGACTTGAGAGGACAGGAGATGATGACAAAGCCACAAAACTGTAGGTCTTTTTCCACGTCTTCCCGCAACATTTCCCTCACCTACAAGGAAATAGAATAAGTAATAATCCACAGTACCCTTGGGGGTATGTTACAGGATCAAAGAATGGAATTATTTTATCAACAGATCTTTTATAGAATCAAACATTTTAAAAGCTTCAGAAACATTTCTAAATCTGTTTATATATACCGTACACTATAAATTTCTGAGAAACAAAGTTTATAATGTGTAACCTGTTGATGGGACAGATTTCCCAGTTTTCTACTCCCAAGGGCCAGAACTCTTGCCCCTCTGCGAGACATTTCCATGTAGACCTCATCATAGTCGGATGGCATTTCTTTAAACTGAAAAGATTGAGGACTGAGAGAAATACTGTATATTTGGCAAAAAATGTATTTAACAAGTTTGCATAGATATTATTAAGTGCATTTACGAATGTGATATTATAAATATATAGTCAAACCTTATCTCAAACATGAGAATCCTCAAGTTACCCAATGACTCAAGATTACCTAATTATGTATGATTTATGAATCTCACCATAGGTTTAAGTGTCTCTGGTGCTCCTTTGACGGTGGCTATATATTCCGTCTCCACAGACCCTGGGGCTGTGTGCCCAGCAATGACAGACATCCTTTTTAGAGCACTGGCAAAGTGAAAGCGGTGGTAGATCTTCAGACCATGGGTCCGCCTCTTCTGAGGTACCACTGACTCTCCTAAAATCAATCAATTTTACTCTTTATGTAAGTCTGGCATAGAAAACAGTCAATAAGAATATTGCTATTGTAGATCACTTAATTTTCGCGACACCTTATTTTCACGAGATAGTCATTGACTCTTTATTAGCAAGACAAAATTTTCACGAATTGTGGTCATTGCTCTACATAATCTTAAGGAATTCTATAATACGCGAGAATGAAATTTTCGCGAGCATTCCGTCTCGAGTAATTATGCAAAAATAAAGTTCTCGCGAATAAAAAGTTTTTGCAACCAAACAGAACTTGGCATAAATATTGTGAAGTACAGTTACATGCAGGTATAGCTGTAGCTTCAAATGAAAATGATCTTCAAACCTGTTATGAAATTTACAAAATACACATGCTTTCTTTGATTTTATTGGGTAGTTCCTCTGAGTACCCCTCTCCCCCTCCTGTTTTATCTTCCTAACCTTTTGTAAGGTTCCACTCCACTGCTTTGAGTGTCGCCTTCTCCAGTGGATCCCCTACCAACTCATCATCTAGGTGCACCAGAGCGTGACAAGTGGCCAATACCTGGGCTGTCTCAGTAGGAGACTCGGCGGCAGATATCATCTCCTTACCACTAAAAACAGATGTAAAATTACAATACCCTATATCCATTAATAATTTCATTAATTTCTATTACAAGGAATTTGGACAAGGATTTGTTGCAAGAACTGTTTCACTCTGATACATATATCCTTACTTGAGTCCTGTGATGCCCTCTACTACTAAATCATCCGCAGTTAGCGTCCCTGTTTTATCAAAGCAGCAGATGTCCACTTTGCCAGCAAAGGGGATCCTGAATGGCTCTGTACAGTATACATCTGAATGGCAAAAACAGTGTGACACATAATTGTAATTGTTCATTTTTTTAAAACTAATATTTAACTGTGGAATACTTGTCCAATTGAAAAGTGATTTTCTACCTCTTTGATAGAAAGACAAATCATGCAACTCTACTAATTAATTTATGAATGAATTTCATTGAGGATTAATATCTCTTATAGATTTATCTCTAAATTAAGTGAAAGAAAATTTCACCGAGGGTTAAAATGGATCAGTTACATGTACTTATACAATGTAGACTTACATAGTTTGGTGAGAGCCAGTAGACTGGTGTTGACAGCTAGTGACAATTCTATAGGGAGCTCTGGGGGCACTACCGATGTCAGGATCAATGTACACTCCAAAAACAACTTGTAACGATTCCTCTTGGGATCTTTTGTACCTGATAAAGCAAACATTATTCTAACTTAAATACTGTATGTAAACATATGGCTTGAAAAGGAATATTTGAAACTATTTTCAAACAAAATGACACATAAACCCTTTTTTCTGAAAGGATGTTGAAAATTCAACGTGGCCTAAAGATCTAAAAGCAAAAAGCTTTCTGAAGTACAAATGTATAAGGTTATGTTCATGTTAGCAATATAGCTGCTAGACAATTATATATTCTAGAATTAAGAAATAATGAACACAAACCCTCAATCCACACATAAGATGACGCTGTGATGGCAAACACTAGAAGGAAGAGGATAAAACAAAATGTCTCCAGATTGTTGGCAGTCACCCTCTTCACTCCAAATAGGATCGTCTTCAACAGCTTGCCTTGTGATGTACCAAAACTGTGTCTCAGTACATAGGCAACACACCCATTGTCTGTAGCTAAAATAAAAAAAAAAACATTATCCTTTATTTGTCCCTTTTTGAAGGATGGTACAGGGGAAGAATTATTTCGCTTTTAATTTAATATCCACGTTAACCTTGATATTGTTTTCCTGGATGGCAATTTAGTTTTTTTTTCTTTTCTTTTCTACATTTTAATTTTATCTTGAGACTGAAACTATTTTACTGTGATCTGTTGTAGGACAAACATGTTTGATTACCTTTTAACCCTGGGCCTGTTTTACTGGGTGGTGTGTGCTGTACTACTTTGGTCCCTCCAAACAACACATGAAGCTTGCCATCTGCTTCCATGTCAAGAACATGGTGACTTTCTAAGTTCTCCACGGCTTCCTGTAAAAAGAAAAAAATCAAGGTATTCATTTCTTTAAAAATAAATTTAATTTCAGACTGTTAAATATTGTTTGTACATTCAATAAGCTAAAACACTTGTTGATATAATTATAAGTAACATAATTTGGAGATTAAGTTATTCTCTGCTACAAAGGTAAAAAAAATACATGCCTTCATGACAGGTACAGACTCTCCTGTCAACATTGATTCATCAACAATACATGGTCCCCTCAACAGCAGCAGGTCACACGGCACTAGACGATCATCCTGAGATCGGCCAATCGACACTATGTCTCCAGGAATTAGCTCATTACTCAAAATGGGTCTCCACTTTCTGTTTCTATAAACCTAAAAGAGAAAGTTAGTTACAGTATTAATGACACACATAATCGTACATTGCTGTTTAAAATGCATGAAAGTACATGTATTGGATAATTGGTACAAAATCCAGGTAAATGTATACATATTTTTTTTTGTGAAAAGAGTCAGTATTTATTATTCTGATTTGGAGGTTGAATAGCATAAATGTGAATCAGCTACACAAAATTATCTCACCAACCTATAAAAATTATGATGATGGTTGTGCATTAATTATATATGGGTTTTCGAGATATTTCATTATTTTCCTTCAGTTTTGGAATTTGAGATAAATGTTCACTGTTTTATACACAACATAAACAAGAATAACATTTCAACACTAGTTTAATATAAACACTTTGCTCATTGACATAAATATTTACATTCAAATGTATATTACAACACTTTTTGGCTTCTTGGGGCTACTCGACTATCTACTAACGCTGGGGGCCCAGTAGGGTGTACAGGTACCTGAATGTGCCCAGCAGGTAACTGCAAATCTAACAGTCAAGACCCTGGGGTAGATCCCGGCAGGGTGAGCAGGTACCCGGGGGGAGCCCAGCAGGTATCTGAAGTCTAAATAGGGATGATTCTAACATTTACTATAGTCAAGACCCTGGGGTAGATCCCAGCAGGGTGAGTAGGTACCCGGGGGAGCCCGGCAGGTAGCTGCAGTCTAAATAGGGATGATTCTAACATTTACTATAGTCAAGACCCTGGGGTAGATCCCAGCAGGGTGAGCAGGTACCCGGGGGGAGCCCGGCAGGTAGCTGCAGTCTACTAGGGAGTCTAAGGGAGGATTCCTAACTTTTACTGACTCTGGGGGAGCCCAGCAGAGTCGACAGGTACCTGGGGGAAGCCCGGCAGGTAGCTGTAACCAAAAAACAGAATGATACAGTGAAATTTACATGATCAAATTCCGTCATTTATATCAAGTTAAATAGAATAAACAAATATGACAAATTACTTAAGTCATTAAATAAAAATAATAGAATTTGTTGGGGCTTTAAAGGCCTTAACCATGTGGCACAAATTCTTATGCAGATGGAATGGGGTCTCCTTTTTCTTGGATGAAAATATTGTATCATCAGCTGACTTGCATTTATTTACAGATGCCACAAACACTGCATTTGGAGGGATCTTTGGCAAAAGATGGTTTCAAGGGGAAATTCCACAAGATATACTTGCGCTATCTCAAACCAACTCAATGGCATTCTGTGAATTATATCCAATTGTGATGGCCTGTGTTTTGTGGGGTAGTGAATGGCCCCGTAAACGTATTTTGTTTCATTGTGATAATATGTCTACTGTGAACATCATTAACAAAGGTAGATCTAAAGTGCCACGAATTATGTCCCTTGTAAGACAATTAACATGGTGCTCAGCTCTGAATAATTTCACAGTCCATGCTAAACATATCCCTGGTGTTAAAAATAACATAGCGGATGCGCTTTCTCGTTTTCAGATGACAAAGTTTCGGCAACTAGCACCAGAGGCTTATGTGAAACCAACGCCTTGTGTTCCGCCGCACCAGCTTATGATGGACTGAAAGAAGATGTCGAACATCTATGGGACGCAGCCATAAGTCCACAAACAGCAAAGACTTATAAAACTGCTATTGATCATTTTTTATGTTTTGTTGCTTTAAGTAATATTGTTATCGAAGATACATTACCACGTATCTCAGAAGACTTATAAGGCACTTTTTCTGAGTTACAGTACAATCCGGTTATACTTAGCAGGTATAAGATATCATTATCTTCGGGCAGGATATAAAAATCCTTTGATGAATATGCAACGTTTAGAATGCATTCTTAGGGGAGTCAAAAGATCACAAAGTTTGTCAACCTGTAATATTAATGTACATAAACGCTTCCCCATTACTTTTGCCATTTTGTACAAAATCACAAAATTGTTAGAAGCAGGTGTTTTTTCACGTTACACTGACAAAATGATGCTTGCTGTATGTCAAATGGCTTTTTTTGCTTTTTTACGGTGTGGTGAGTTTACTGCTAGAAATAAGACAGACACAAATGATTGTATTTTGTTTAATGATGTAAGTTTTGCTCAGGATCATTCTAGTTATACTCTGAATCTTAGAAAGTCGAAAACAGATCCTTTCAGATCAGGTGTGCAGATACAAGTCTTCAATGTCCCACCTTTGTACCCTGTCACATCTATGATTCAATTTAGGCAGATGAGGTCTAGTAATGTATTATTACCAGAGTCACCAATGTTTGTAGATTTTAATGGTGAAATTTTGTACAGAGAAAACTTTATAGGTATGTTACGACACATGTTACGACTTTTGAACTTAGATGATCAGAAGTACTGCGGACATTCTTTTAGAATTGGTGCAGCAACATCTGCAGCTGCAGCGGGTATAGAGGATCACCTCATACAAACATTAGGTAGATGGTCATCTAACTGTTACAGTAGATACATAAGAACATCCTCAAATGTGCTACAAGAAGCTCAAGGAAAACTCAGCTCTTGTTTTAAGTAGATGGTGTATATATCAGTTGATAAATGCTACAAGTTGAATATTTAACTCGTGTCTCATGCAATCTCTCAATTGTCATTTCATCACTCGTTTGGCCCTTAAAGCCCCAACAAATTCTATTATTTTTATTTAATGACTTAAGTAATTTGTCATATTTGTTTATTCTATTTAACTTGATATAAATGACGGAATTTGATCATGTAAATTTCACTGTATCATTCTGTTTTTTGGTTACAGCTACCTGCCGGGCTTCCCCCAGGTACCTGTCGACTCTGCTGGGCTCCCCCAGAGTCAGTGAAAGTTAGGAATCCTCCCTAGTAGACTGCAGCTACCTGCCGGGCTCCCCCCGGGTACCTGCTCACCCTGCTGGGATCTACCCCAGGGTCTTGACTATAGTAAATGTTAGAATCATCCCTATTTAGACTGCAGCTACCTGCCGGGCTCCCCCTGGGTACCTGCTCACCCTGCTGGGATCTACCCCAGGGTCTTGACTATAGTAAATGTTAGAATCATCCCTATTTAGACTTCAGATACCTGCCGGGCTCCCCCCGGGTACCTGCTCACCCTGCCGGGATCTACCCCAGGGTCTTGACTGTTAGATTTGCAGTTACCTGCTGGGCACACCCAGGTACCTGTACACCCTACTGGGCCCCCAGCGTTAGTAGATAGTCGAGTAGCCCCAAGAAGCCAAAAAGTGTTGTAATATACATTTGAATGTAAATATTTATGTCAATGAGCAAAGTGTTTATATTAAACTAGTGTTGAAATGTTATTCTTGTTTATGTTGTGTATAAAATGTTTATTTATGTAATATTAGTTTATACACAATATATGTACTGTGCTACTGTGTGGAGACTCAGTTATGCGTATCTAAGTATAGAATGTTTACATAATATGCAAATGAAAATGTGTCACGTGATCTGTTTCTGACCAGCCATTGGAAAATTACTGACCAGATGCAGCAGCAGTGTTGTGATATTATGCGATAAATTTTACCTATTCCTTCCAATGGCTGGTCAGAAACGGATCACGTGACACATTTTCATTTGCATATGTAAACATTCTATACTTAGATACGCATAACTGAGTCTCTACACAGTAGCACAGTACATATATTGTGTATAAACTAATATTACATAAATAAACATATTAGCTTTTTAGATCTAAAAAGCTGCAGGATAAACTTATTTTCTGCAGACTCTACATTGAATTTGTACAGAAGTAACATTTTCAATATTATTACATGAAAACATGTTTGGCTGAAATTATTAAGCATGCAATTAATGCAACTACACATATATGTGTTTGCAATGACAGTCTATATTTAAATACCTGTATTAAATATGGTTTATTTCCCATTTTTCTAATTTCTGCCATATTCCTGAGTTGCTGTTGCACAAGTGTGGCTTCAAATGCAACCAGCATGAATAATGTGAACACACTGTAATACCAATACTCATCCAGGCACCACAGTCCAACACAGAACACTTGGAACACAAAGAAAGGTGCTGTTGCCCTCTCTTTAAACAGTTCCATAAACTGAGGAATGTCCATCTCCATACTAAAGACATAAAAAAAATTGAACCTCACCATCAACAAATTAACAGTAAAGATTAAATAAAATAGCACAGTACTTTCTTTCAAATTTGAAAATATGTTTAAAAAGCCATTGAAAAAAAGGTAGTATGCATCATTTTAACTTCAGTCATCAACATGTAGTTACATTTATTAAGAATTCCATTTATAAGTAGCACGAAAACCAAAGCTAAGAGTTTAAAATAACTACAAAACTATATGTTCCCAAATGATTATTTAATGCTATGATAAAGAAGTAAAGCACTTTGTGATGTTATCGTACATATTTTTTCCGAATTTCTTCTCGCTCTGCTTGAGCTCCTCCTCCTCTTGGTACCCCTTCCAGTCCATGTAGTGACTGACGGGGAGATCCACGGGGAACTGGGCAGAAACAAACTGCTTCTTCTCCTCCCTGTCATACATGTAACGAGTCTTTTGGAAAACAAACCAAAGATCAGGAGGTCTTCCATCAACCTGTACAAAAAAAAAATAACATTTAGAGAGTGACGTGCCATTGAAGCTAAATAGAAAGTAATTATCATTATTTATTTATGATGCATCATACTTAAAGAATTCATATAAGGCCAAAAAAAATAATAGTCTTGTTTCCTGCTACCAGCCTGAAAAAAATAGGGTAGGTAAGTAAGGAAATAATTTTCTTTTTTCTTTTTTCCGATGGTGTGTCTTTGGATATGAACTAATACAAGATCACATTAAACATGCCATAGGTTAATATTGCCTTTTAAAATTAAATTTCATGTCTTTTGATGCAAAACTCTCGTGGTATTTTATGAAAGTCCATATTTAAAACATAGAATTTATGAAATACCATTTGAATATATATTTTTTTCAGTTTTGGAACATGAAATTCCAAAAATTTCTGATTTTTTCCCCCAAAACTAAAAAAAACTTTAGGGTCCGGTGCAAAAAAAATAAGGTAGGTCGGGTAGCAGGAAACAAGACTATTTTTATTTTTGGCCTAAACACTATATAGAGACAGAGAAACACTGCATGTTTGTATGTATATCTTTTGACATTTACTTTAGAGTTTACAAGGATCAGTTGGGAGTAATGAAATGAATTCCAAATAACCATAAAAAAACATACCTTTTCTCTGTGTAACTTGACAAATTCAGTTGATCCACTATTTGGGGTTGGTGTTACTTTCAGCCATTCTGCATCATCAGGATTCTTCACCTGTATTAATATTGATGTTCAGTAATGTTCACGATACAGTGAGATTTGCTTGAATATTTCTAACACTCTTATAATGCTTTGGAATGATCAACAAAGTTCCTCTTTTAAAAAGACATGCAAACAAAAAAAATTTGCCTTTTGCCTGTGGAAGTCATCTTCACTAACCAAGGATTTTTAATCAGCTCTGCGTCCACTAAATGGGAAGCAGAGAGGATTGAAAACCCTTGACAAAGATGGTGAAAGCATGTAAAGCACTCTCTTTGAGATTGGTGAAACTATCTTTCAACAATTTACTTTTTCTGTTACATTTTAGCATTACAAATGAGCACTTCCTTCTTTAAAATAAAATTTATTTCTAAGCTTTCAATTTACAAGGGAAACAACTTTAAAGTTTTATTAAGCATGGATGGGCTATATATGTATGTAACATGGGACATACAGATTACATAAACTCTTAATTGTACTTCAATTATTTACAACTATTGAACTAATACTATTCAAGATAATGAAATGTTCATCATTATGGCTCTTTCTACAATGCTGGACACACCATATGACAAAACATAATTAACTAACACAGCTGTCTGCATTTTGAGGCACAATGTGCAAATTCGGGCTACCAGCTGTTAAAACTGAAATGTCATCTATGATGACAACACTTCCATACTTCATCTGAAACAAATTACTTCTTTTCATGTTGTTATTATCATTACCTTTGAACATGTCATCAAACATCGCAAATCTACGGACCACACACAACATAACAAAGCTAATATCTGTAAAATGGCTATGCCAGCAAGAGCAATTAGACCAGCTTCAAAATAGTTTTCTACGCCATAAACCACTGTCCAGAAGTAGAACCAGATTAAATAGAGTATGCAGAATGGCCCTATTGTTCCATGTAGAAAAAGAGGGCGTAGATTATGAAAAGTAATCGTTTGAATATCATCATTTAACGCCGGACCAGCCATGGCTTTTGCCTGCTGAAAACAAATCTATGTCAATTTGACGCTTACGTGTACATTTAGAAAGGATCCCGAACCCGACACTAAATCTTGTTTTCGGAAAAAGTTCGGCTCTACAATCTGAAATGTACTTTGTACAAGTTCATGTCTGCATTTAGCATTTTAAATAAACCCTGCTTAAAAAAATAATACACACTTTTCAGCTCACCTAAGCCAAAGGCTCACAGAAATTAATTTGCCATTGGTGAAAACTTTTATTATTTTCACTATTTCATCTTCTTCTCCATAAGCACTGGACTATTATCAATTATCAACAAAATATGATTGAAAATATCCCTTGGTAAATGTTCCCATGTTCTCTTTCAAATGTTGATAAGTAAAAATTGTGTGAAATAAATTCTAAAATATCCTACCACTGCATGGTCCAGAAAAGCTGAATTAAACTAAGTAATTATTTAAAGCTGCAATTAATATACAGGGATACTTGATTCAATTTTCAATTGTTCGAGTCATCACCAATGGAGTCTGAGTGGTACTACAAAAGGGGATAAATTATTTTACATAGGGATATAATTTCATAAGAAATTCTATGATGCATTTATCTTTAAATATTAGCTGTAATTGTATAGCCCCCTTTTTTTTGGGGGGGGGGGATCCGATTGAAAAAATTATTGCAGCTACTTTAAATATATATATATTTTCCTTTAAAGAATCATCTTCTAGTGTAAAAATGCTGCACAGCAAGAGACAGGATGTTCACATGACTGTATCAGGATAATGATATGGTATCCTCCAGTTTAAAACCATTGCACACAGTTTTCTACGAATCATCAGGAAGGGGGGGGGTGTTTTTTTCAACATTGATTGTGATGTACCAGTAATGTGATATAATTAAGAGAGGGAAAATAGTTGAAAGTAAGGATTTATTGAAAAATTTATTGAGCAAGTCTATAAAATATAAATTTATATATATAATTATATGTACATATACATCAGACTACTTAATAATTATATATTAACAGAAAAATCATTCACACATTCTGTAAATTTAGTCAATTTGCAAATCCATCAATTTACAAGTCCTTTCAAAATAAATCAATGAAATCTCTTTTTTCTTTGTTCTTTGACATATAAAATTAAGGTTACAATAACAGAGCACAATAACGTATAGGCATATTCCCTGATACCTGGATAACTTCTACTACAATATCTGTATAAATGTGGAGTCTTTTTCATTTTACTCTCTCAGCTGTTTCAAAAACACATTTTGTATCATACCTATACTTTAATCACATGGATAAATATAGCCTTTAATATAACTACATATACTAACATTAAAATATTATCTGTGCTTGCTATAAGCATATTTTACTTGTTCTGTACATTTGTTCATTTTGCTCACAACTTATTATGATTCATAAATTAACAAGACTACTTAATATCAAGAATTTATTATATAGTTAATAAATAGTCTCTAATAAAATACTACCTAAAATCTAAAGAATTTTAGCGTTCAATATCTTGACGTTTTACTGAACGCTGAGTTTGTATTACGTATACGAGTATGCCCGAAACATTCCGAATATGAGCGTTCAATATCGAACGCCCCGTTGTAAACAAAAAAAGTCGTCTGGTCAAATTCTCAGACCTAAATTAAAGAAAGGAAGTGGTATCCAGGTAAGGTGTGTTTATTTTTCACACAAAAATGAAATTATTTTTTGAAAAATTTAGTACATATTAAACCCATTAAACTTAAATAAGCAAATCATATCGCTCGTATGGTCATCGGAATGATGCGACATTGAATGCTTACAGGACAGCCGTTAATTTGAATACCGAGGCCAAAAAAATCATTAATTTGAGTTTTTTAGTTGGAATAATTATTATAAATTATGTGGAAATGTTTTAGCTATATAATAAAGGAGTTCAATAGCGATTTTACGTAGAGTCCCAGAAAACTACCAGGTAATTTTATTCTTTTTGTGATCTTGTTACATGATATTCCTCTTAATTGTCAAATGCAACCTTTTGAAGCAATCTGACCTGTGCATCACTAAATACATATAACAAAATAATACATGTATGCTCCCAGACAATTCCAAACCCTGATGTCCCAGATATCTGCCCTTACATTTATATATTTAGTGCTTTAAAAATGTCATGGACAACATTTGTAAAAATCCCATTAATATATATAGAGGAGGATTTCTGCCATGGTGATGCATTGCAGCTAAAACTCAGTTTGTGAGTTCACTGTTAAATCAGCATTAACAGTCACAAATAACAAACAAGAATACAGATATTCCCTAATTAAATATCACAAAATATTGTAAACACATGTAATGAAGCATATATAAAGAGTCTTTCACACATACAATCATTTCTTGGCAACCATTTCTCTCATAAATCACAATAACACATATTCAGGTAGATATTAATCCTAGACTAGCACCGTCATCAGCTGACGTCCATTTCCACGTACTGTGAGGCCTGGGCTTTTCTGTAGTCTCGCTTTAGTACAAACATAGACACGAAATACACAGGTATACAGAACACAAAAGGTCCAGCATACATAGCATACAGGGTAGCTGTCAAAGAGAACAATAATTTATTGTTATTTTTATTATTTATTCTAAAAAGAACATGGAATGTCATTGATAATTTTGTCAAAATTATGTCTTACAATATTTTTCATGTCGTGACTTTCATATATTACATTTTATAGATAAGACGTGCAAAAAAAAACCCCCACTAAAATCTATTATTTTTCATTTCTCAGAAAATGTGCAATGCCGTACAAAAAAACTGTGATGGCTCTTTTGATAATGTGCATGTACAAATCAATGAAAAGATATGTCTATCTTGTTCTTTATGTCCTAGGAGAAAAATAGGCAAAATTTGTTTTTATTTATAATTCCAAGTTGCAACTTAATTGTAGAATTCACTATGTAATTGAAAGGCTGATTCAGAAAAACGAAATTATCAGAGTTGACTCCCTTGAATTAGAATTACTATGGTTGAAAAGTAGGAAACAGATACAATTTATACCCCCTAATGACAGCCTCAAATATATACTAGAAATTTTTTAGCATCCTCAGAAAGAAATATTTATTTTCTTCAACACAAAATTACATCTACTGGCAACAAGACTTACTACATATTAGAAGTCATAGAAATCAATGCATAAGGAATCACTGTCTAGTTAGTAGAGTATTCCAGGCATATCAATGATAGTTGGAAAAGTGGGCTAATTTACGCATAATGGGCGTTTCCAACTATGATCATTGATGTCCCAGGCATACTTTGCTAACTAGAATAATTTATGCATAAAGGGCAAAGCCTGTTATGCAGAAATTATCCAATGTTTCCAACTATCATTGATGTCCCTGGCATACTCTACTAACTAGACAGTGATTCCTTATATTTCCATTTCATTGTGAAATAAACTGTAGATTCAGATTTTAAAAATGTAGACTTATAGATTTAAATTACATGAGGCCTCCCATGCCAAACTGAATAGTCCCTGCCCCACTGACATAGAACACAAAGACAGCCCCACAAGAATTACATGCATAGTAGGCCTCCTTAGCATCAGACACAAAGACAGACTCATGAGATTTACATGCATATTAGGCCTCCTTAACTCCAGCCCTATCGCTTGGCAAAATTTACATTCCAACAGAATGATCAAGAAATCAACTCAACTAATTTTCAAAGAGTTATCAACCAACTATTATTCATGTCATATTTTATTAGCAATTTGTCTGTTTGAAATAAAGCAACCAAGGAATCATTATCTACAAAAACTGAAAAAAATTATTGGTTCGTGGTGTTAATATTTGGTGCCAGTTAAAGTCAGTCTCGGAACTCGCAAATACTGTATACAGAGTTATTTTCGCCCTTTCACACTTGCAAACAATTTTTCCCCGTTTTAAATTCGCCCAGTCATATTTTTGTTTAAGAAATTATTATATTGTATTCTTTTAATACGCTCTGTTTTAAATTCGCCCTAATGAGGGTAAGGGGAAAGGGGCGAAAATAAAACAGGTCGAAAATTTCCCTCTATACAGTATTTCTCGCACACGAATAAAAGTTGGTTTACAGTATAACAGAGAAAAAACAGAAAGAAATGGAAATATTTGCATAACTATATCTTCTTAATACGAAAACTTGGACATTGTGTACTTCTTACTCTCTAATCATCAGCTTTGTACACCACTTCCTTTTCTGCCTTCTTTTTATCTCTTCTGATGACACACAATGAACTAAGATACACAACAGCACCATACACATAGGGACCTGGGTACATGATATATAGGGCAGCTGAAAGAGAGGAAAGGTCAAGTGTCAGCTAGGGGTCAGCGTGCATATCATTAACAATCGTACATTTACATGTATTATAGTATGTCTTTTGAAAAAGTAATAGTTTAATTCAAACCAAACACTTTATTTACCCCCAAATATACCCGGTATATGCATGTACCCCCTGGTTTTAGAACATGATTACACATTTTCTCTATCAAAGTTTGATTTGGAGGACAGATATTGGTCATTACAAAATTAAGTCCTTTGCATGCATATATAAATATTAAATATATACAAGTAAATTTCTCCAAGCACAAGCATAAAGTACACATGACTTTACTTTGGGTGCAAAAACAATCCAAAACCTGATAACAAGAGGCCCAGGGGCCACATTGCTCACCTGAGCAACCAGCTAGGTAAAAGTGAAATTCAGTTCAGTATTGAAAAGTTTAAATATAATAAAAGTGGGTTCAAGGGGAGAGGGGAGTATTTGAACAAACTTAAATATACATTTTTTTTTTAACGCTTTTATATTAATGATCAATAATGATTGTGCTGTTCTTGCAAAGAATATTAATGATTTTTCCCATGTATTACTACATAAAACCTTGATTATCCATTGTGGCCCCACTCTACCCCCGGGGGTGATTTGAACAAACTTGAATCTACACTACCGCTGTTCTCGAGAAAAAGAATAGTAAAGATTTATTCTATATCATCCTTCTTAATACTTTGATCATCCATTATGGCCCCACCTTTGCTCCAGGGGTCATGATTTGAAGAACTCGAATCTACACTACCTGAGGATGCTTTCATATAACTATAGCTTTGCTGTTCTTGTCTGAGAATATTTTCAATGATTTTTTCTATGTATTGCTATGTTAAACTTTGATACCCCATTGTGGTCCCACCAAAAACCCTTGGGTCATAATTTAAAGAAACTTGAATCTACACTACCAGAGGATGCTTCCATATAACTACGATCAATCATGGCTTTGCTGTTCTTGAGAAGAAGATTTTTAAAAAATTTTCTATGTATTCCTATGTTTAACTTTGATACCCCAATTTGGCCCAATCCTACCCATGGGGGTCACGATTTCAACAAACTTGAGTCTACACTACCAGAGGATGCTTCCACATGGAAAGAAAATTTTTAAAGATTTTTCCTATGTATTCCTATGTTGAACTTTAATCCTCCATTGTGGTCCCACCCTACCCCTAGGGGTCATGATTTGAACAAACTTGAATCTGCACTACCTGAGGATGCTTCCACATGAGTTTCATCTTTCCTGATCCTAGCTGTTCCTTGAGAAGAAGATTTTTAAAAGATGCCATCAATTTTTCACTAATTCATAATTATCTTCCCTTGGAAGAGGGTGTTGCCCTCCATTTGAACAAACTTGAATCCCTGTTACCCAAAGATACTTTGTGGCAAGTTTGGTTGAAATGAGCCCAGTGGTTCTTGAGAAGAAGATGAAAATGTGAAAAGTTTATGACGCCGACAACGACAGACAACTGACAAATTTTGATCAGAAAAGCTCACTTGAGCCTTCGGCTCAGGTGAGCTAAATAGTATTCTCACTGGCCAAGTTAAAGCTATTGTCCCTTGAAACATGAAGAATTTAGTTTTAAACATAAGAATGTTAATCCTTGAAAGAAGCAGCCAGTGGTTTGTGGAAAAACATGCATGGACACAAAAGCATGTGGCTTGCAGTTACGTAGAAGCATGTGAATTTTTCATTAGTAAATGGGTGAACAGTTGAGGTCCAATGCATTTCTAGACAAAATTAAACCACATATGTGTATGGAGGACAGAATATTTTACCTCTTAAAGCCTCAGACTTGGAGTAATCCTTATCTTCGAAGTATTTTGTGAGTGGGGGAACCAGTGTGTTAGCGTTTCCTCCGATGTTACTGATGATAAAGAGGTAGGCAGCAACGGCAGTTGTCTTGATCTCTGCGGGGACCAACTCCACCACCACAGCTAATGTGATCCCCACCCACATCTCACCTACACGTTAAAATCAAACCTCACAAAGTTACAGTGGTCAGTCCTGAAGTGTTTAATAAATTCTGTATACTGAGTATCAACAAGGTATCTTCAGAAAAAATTGCTTTTTTTATGTAGAATTTTTATTTTCTTTCTGCTATACACATGTATATATTTCAATAAATTCTCACAAAGTATAACAAATAGTATACTTTGTAATTCAAGCCTTCCACTGCTCTTATAAGAAATTCTAATAAATTCTATATATCTTGACAGAGAAATACATTTTTTGCCCTTTTTTTGTCAAATGCAGATATTGCATGTTATTCACGTATTTCGATCATGAAAATGATAAACTCATAAACAAATTACCAAATATATATGTAGGTATTTGGAAGAAATATGCCCCTGGAGGATCAAAGTACAAAGTTCCTGCTGCAAATGGAGCTGCTATTAACTAAAAAAAACAAGGATAATGAGTCAAATAGGAAAACAAAGACTAGGAAAATCTTTTCCACAAATGTACGTCTTTTAAAACTTCAGTCATGATGTGAACACAGCAGATGCCAGAGGTATTGCATATAAGCTCATCTCAATCTCATCTATATGAGCATCTATAAATATGATTAAATCAATTTCTGGGACAATAGGATTTACGATAAATTTTTTTAATAACCTTTCAAAATTAAACATTAATTCGAGGTACAAATACACTCATTTAAAATAAATATATTTTCAACCAAAAAAAAAAAACACAGCTTTTTAAGAGAGCTAAGAAGTGAAATTGGAAGAATATAACTAATGGAGTTTTTCAGATTGTTGACAAAAGCAGAGCTTACCAAACTGATCCCAATGACAAGGATTCTGGAGTAGAGCCCCAACCTCCTGACCAGTCGATCAGAGATAAAACCTCCCAGCAGGACACTGACACTCCCCCCAACCAGGGGGACCCAGGACAGGTACTTCCCAATTTCCTCCCGACTCCGACCAATACTAGTAAAGTATGGCTGGGTGTTATAGGCAAACACATATCCTGCTAATGAAGGAAATAAAACGATATTAATTAAGATAAATTTCTAAATGGAATTTTACATGGTGTTCACTGTTGTATATTCATAGCACCTATAATTGTGCTAGTCAATCGATAAAACACAGAATAAATCTACTTTCAAAAAAAAAAAAAAAATAAATAACAAAAGCCACACATCAGAATTAAGATTCTGATCAAAATTAAATTTACATTTACATATAAATATATTTATTTTATTTCCAAAAAAAAAAAAAAAATTACAAGTGATAAATACTTACAAGAATTTCTAATGGATCCAGCTAAACAAATGAGTATTAAGGAGGGACTACAGAATTGCTTAAGTGTCATTCCAAGGCGACTACACGCTGAGCCAGAGAGTTCCACTTTCTCCCCTTTTCTCTCTGGTTCCTTCAGAGTGAGCAACATCAGTATTCCTACAGCAATACCAGGTATACCAGACAGAATAAAGGTCCATCTCCATCCCTGAAACAGTGAAGTTTTTAAATTATAATTTTTAAAATTAGAAAAGAAACCTGAAATCATCAAGAGATATTCAACAAGATCAAGCCACTCTCTGGCTCATGCAAATACATTAAAATCTTTTGAGAGGAAAATCGTAACATTATTAAATTAAAATTACAGCAGAATTAGATATATGTCATCTAAAAGTCCATTTACTTGACCATTGATGTCTGCTAAAGAAATGAAATTTCCAAAAGCATAAGCCATGCTGTATCCAAAGTAGATTCCCCAGTTATAAATCCCCAGAGCGAATCCTCTTGTTTCTGGGGTGAAGTAATCTGTTAGAATGGACACAGCAAAGGGGCCACAACCAGCCTCTCTGCAATAGTAAAAAGTCCAGACTTAAAATTAGGAGACTGATCTAGAGACAAATACATGTACCCGGTACATTTAATTTTGAGAGTATTCATGTCACTACAGAAAAATGCAGTTATAGCAAAGTGCCATTGGGACTGATGATTTTGCTTTTTTTATAAGCGTAATTCGATGATTTTGCTTTTTTTATAAGCGTAATTCGTTTTATATGTAAAGTTTACAGTATACTTCAAAGCCACGAAGAATGAGAATCACTTTGCTGTAAGCATCAATTCTTTTTAAGCATATTCGCTATAAGCATGTTTCACCATATATATCTTCGGCCAATCGATTGATCACTCAATTTACCAATTGGTTATTTAAGTGAATTTATCAAAATGTATTTAGTACATTTAATAACAAGTTGTTTAAAATTTTGAGAGGAACATATATTACATTTCCAATGTCAAATTTGTCATCACTGACCAGAACATGAGACACACCGCCAACAAAATTACAAATTGTAAATGTGACTATGAACTTTATTCCCTTGTCCCATATCAAACATGCTGTGTTTGGTTATTTGTTGTATTTCGACACCTAAAAAAGAATCATTTTGTATTACTTAGTGCAAGATAACAATGATCAAAAAAAACAACAAAAAAAACAACAACAAAAAACACACGTTTGCTACATGTATGGCGGAGGCAAACAGCCTCCGGGTATAGGGATTGTCTTGCCCATGGAATGTAAACAGGAAAGATTTCCCAAGCACCATCTATTGGAAGTTTTCATTAGTGGATTTTTAGAGCGACTCTGAGTAACAAAAAAGCATAGTAAAACAAAATACATACAAGTATAAACAAACAGTTCTACTTTTTCTAAATAAACAGGATTTGTCTAATATTTTTAAAATGACGTGTATATAAATACATTTTCATGTAAAAAAGAATGTGATTTACTGTTAATTTTTTATCAGACAGAATATTAGGAGATTTTGTTCCAACAGACGATGATAAAGCGTGTTTTACAATATGCCGAGCCTTTTCCCACCGATTCTCATACCAAAACAAGAACGAGAAGAAATGAAGTGGCGGATCTAGAGGGAGTTTGGGGGGGGGGGGGGTAACAACCGCGGAGGGTGATCGAGGAACCCCACTTATCAATTGCTTATTTTATTAAAGTAAAAACAATCTCTAGTTACATATAAGTTTAAACACACAATTCGCCTGTATCAAACTAAGTGTGGATACGCAGATGACTATGCAATGTACGTATTATGTATTGAAGAAAATCCTGCAATGCCGCATGCAAATGTTTTATGTCGCAGGTATAAATATAAGATATTTTAATAATAGATCAAGCATTTCAGTTTTAATGGAATTGTTTGTGCTTGATTGCTGTTTGTAATCTCATTTTCACTCCTTTTCTAATTTCTTCTTGAAAGGGCCGATAAATTGGTTTGCGACCGATTTTTGATCACAATAGGTTTCATGACAAATCGATGAATAAACAAATGCATAGTATTTTTATCTGTAGGAATATTAACAGTCTAGTTTTGAATTCTTTATTTGTAATTATGTATAATTTTAGGAAACACATGAAAATAGTTACACTTTCTACAAGCGGTTTGAGTGTTTGGGGTACCCTCACATTAGATAAGAGAGAAACAAATTCTGATATTGAGATCAAAATGCATTTGTAGCTTTTGATCTACAAAATGTTCATAGGATTTACATGATTTATCACATTATATCCTAATTAATAATTAAAAATATACTGAAATAATTAAGTTGTTTAAAATTTTGCATTTGATACTTGTGAATTTCACATCCAAACTTTAATTATTTTTTATATATCATGTACTGATCATTGGTATTCATGTCAACTTTTTTTAACCTATATCAAATCCAAGTTACTGAAAAGCAGAAATCATAGTTATATATTTATTATTTTTCTCTAGTAATTTGTAATCATGTCTCATTGTTAATGATTGTTTTAAACAGATCCTGAAAAGGACAAATTTCCATCCAGTTAAAACAGATATGATAAAATCATTTAATAATTCCAGAAATATTGGTTGTCAAATTTGTCAAGATATACACACCAGTTCTCCAAAAACAATTAAACTTGTGAAATAGCAAGTATTATGAACTTTATTGTTCTGTTTACTCTAAGTAAGAAAGTATATTTTATTCCACTCAAAAAACTGGCACGAACATTTATGCAAATGACTTTATATTACTTAAAGAAAATTCTGTGTTGCATCAAGCTAGGTCACTCCAACGTAAGACAAACTGTACTATATTATGTCCAAAGGCAGGCCCATGTTAGCTCATATCATAACATTATTACAATAAGGCCGAGAAATTTTGATTTTGGTAGCTGTTACATGTCATAATTATGTTAACAGTAGGTCTCTGTCCTATTGTGAAAGTCATAGTAACAAACATGCTGTGTTTGGTTATTTGTTGTATTTCGACACCTAAAAAAGAATCATTTTGTATTACTTAGTGCAAGATAACAATTGATGCTGTAAGATTTAATTCTATGGAGCTATAATGTATGAAGATTCGAATTCATTACAGACAAAACTTACTCAAAGTTAAAAATCCATATTTTTTTCTCTCAAAGTATGAGTTTGCTACATGTATGCTTTCTTAAATAATTTGTTAAGTTTAAGAAATGCAGAACTCACACAGCTTCTGTGGAAATGTCTCCACACTTGATGCCTTTAAAAGCACTGTCCGAGAAAGATGTGTTCTTCATGCAGGCTCTGTCCCCAAAGTGAATCTCCTGAGCCATGGACTTGGAGGTGATGGCCAGCATGTACCTGTCCAGCTGATTCAGTAAGTAGGTCAGGAGCAGCAGGAACAGGACGTACAGCTTGTATGGGGTCAAAGTTCGGTACCATGGTAACCCCTCCTGCTCCTTAGTCTCTGTGAGAATAATTCATCATAAATAAATGTAGCAAATGAAGGGAATTTTAACAAATCTGAGGAAAATTCATATTTTGACCTTCTGCAATCTTAGTAAATTGACAAGCTTTCATATTTAATGTACTCTTTCTTATTTATAGCTATTTTGAGTATATATTCAATAGCAAAGTCAGCTTTTAACCTATTGGTTTATACAGAACACTTCTATAATTTTAGTTAAAAATATTTTTTAATCAAATGCTAAAAATCGACACATATATTCAACTAGACTTAGAGATTCTAAGTGGACAAACTTTGTAATTGCAGACTTACTATATTACATAATATACATGTAATTCTGTATTAATTCATGCAAACAATACGCTTTTCAGAGAAAAATATTTAATTTGAACTTATATTTTTCTAAGAAATGATAAAAAATCATCACAGTCCTACCTGACAATTCCTCCAAATTATAGAATTTTTTAACCATTTTTCATCCAGTTTACAAAAACATGGGCTTGTTTACACAGTTATAAAAAACCTTGTTTCATAAACATACCGGTCAAAACAAATTGACCTGCAGGTCCTCTACACCTAGGAACAATTAATCTCTTGTAGTTGTCAAATTAATGTTCAGTAGAAAAACAGAGGCCTGTAACCTTTCATGCTGAACAAACTGATGAACTAACATTGTTACACAACCTTTATAAATTTTATAAATATATTATCTTTTAAAATAAATTAAAAAAAAAAACAAAACATACCTGGCTCTTTTTCCATTGTTGTGTCAGATTCTGAAGAAAAAAAAATGTTTCACATTTATTGATGAGTTAAGAATGTACCTGGCATTTAATTTAATATAATTTACAGTACAAAAAAAACTATTTTGAATGAACTATTCTAATATAAATTATCTGTGGTAAACATATTGCTATAAAAAGGGAGAGGGTTGGTCTGAAAAAGTTACTACCCCCCACCCTCACCTTTCCTGGAGAGAAAGACATATTAAGTATATTTGTTGCACAGCATTTATTCAGACTGGCAATTTAAATGAATAACCAAATTTTTAAAAGTTTAAACATTCTAAGAGATTTCAAAGCTCCTATGATTCTTTTCATATCACTTGTGACTTGCAAGACAAATTACGGAAAGTTCAAAATTATTTTCCACAAGGGAGAAGCAAATATTGATCTCCATCCAATTTTCTCACTTTATATGATCCAAAAGTTGATATATTTCACACTTAAACAGTTTTGCAATCATGAAAATTGTTAAACTTAAAGTTTTTTTTGTTTTGCGAGAAAGTTATGTGGAGGACAGTCTGGTTTGATTGCCAGTGGCCAGAATTAGCTCAGTCAGTAGAGCACCTGACCAGAAATTCAGGGGGCTTGGGTTTAAATCCCGGTATGGTCCACTGCATTTTTCTTCTCTCCCTTTACATTTTGATAACATTGGCTAGATAAAAATGTCGACTTTACTAGGTGTGAGCTAGGCTAAAATTGTGAGGATCAAGAGTTATACATGATCTATGAAATCAAGTTATCAAATTTTATTTAAATGAAAAAATCAATTCATGCATTTTTTCCCCAAATCAAATCACTATGTTTGACATGTGTACTCCCTCCCTTCATGGAAACCCATAGTCGTAACACACCACCCCTCCCCCACCCGGGCCCCTCCCTAACTGTGTTATAAATGGTACATGTACTAACATTCTTTTTCATCTCAGAAATCATTCAATTAGGTGACCTTTCATGACAATGTGGACACATGGATTACTTTTGCAGATTAGCTCAATGGGTAAATATATTATCTGGGAGTCAACAATGTGTAAACCAAGTCATAGTTTTATCTCTAGACAAAAATTCACTTCTTTAACTGTACTTCAAACAAAACCCAATTTTGACTGGACAATTTATCCTTATCCAAACACTCAAAACTGCCATTGTCCGATATCATGAAAAAGAGCTCCAAGAACTTAATGATTTTTTTTCAGAAATTCTTCAAGAAGACGACCATGATAGTATCTTTCATTGATTCTCTCAAGTTTACTGTTTTCCAACACCTGGCTATATTTTAGGACATACATCGTTTTGCACACTGAAAAATGCTCTAAAAATACATCCCAAAAATTTGAAGTGAATTAAGTCAGGCACTTATCAGAACATGCAAAGTTCAGCACAGTACAAGAATGTCTTTACTGTCACCCAAAGTTCAATAGGAGCACTAATCCTGTTACCCAAGGCCAATAAAATTGATGGAGAGCATCATGGAATTTGAATGTCAATTCCAGATAGTGGACTATTTAATAAAGATATGATCAAACATGTACTGTAACCAATTACCATGTCCCTTCTAAAAATGCAATTGGTAATAAAAAATGGTTCAATCGATCTCAAAAAAGTTAAAAAACTGAAAATTTTACAGATAGATAGTTACTTGTAGACGTTGCTGGAATGGAAAATGCCGAGAGAGATGGACAGACAGAAGCTGGAAAACAGATGATCGGAAAAGCTCACTTAAACTTTGAACTCAAGTGAGCTTTTCTGCTTAGGGAAGGGGGATCAGTCTTGGATGTTCCAAGCTCATAAGAAATGAATGAATAAAAGGACTTGAGGCCCACACATTGAACCGGGCATAGGAAAATAATTTCTCATAAATGGTTGTGCCAACCCTTTCTGATATTTTTCCCATGCATTACAAATCTGTCACAATTACAAGATAGCTGCAGAACTGTAGCTCTCTGCTTGAGAAAATTCGGACAGATAAAGCAGAGAACTACAGATCCAAGCGTTGTAAAAACCTTCAATTTACGTCTAGATATCTATTTGGTGTAGATTAAGCTTTCTCTGGCTTTTAGAATGGTATCCTGTAATTACCGGTAATCATATATCTAACTCTTATTTTTGATACTTTATTAAACTTTTAATGGTCCAAAACAGTCATGTGAATAGTTTCATAATGTCGATTTAAAAGAGTTCCATTTCGACGTCCGTAACCACAAACAACCATTTGTTAGCATTGAAAGGTAAGTAAATTATCAGGAATTGAAGTTAAATATATGATAAATTATTATCACCATGTTTAAAGCTGAGGAAAGTATAAAATACGAGAAAAAATACCCGAAGTGAGCGACAAAAAATTGTCAGCGTAAATCGAAGGTTTTTACAACACTTGGATCTGTAGCTCTCTGCTTTATCTGTCCGAATTTTCTCAAGCAGAGAGCTACAGTTCTGCAGCTACTCTTTAGAAAGCCTTTCCACTTCTCTAAAGAGAATAAAATAAATTCATCCGCAAGTATAAACATATTTTAATACTTTGCTAAATGTACATTCTTTCTATTGAAAAATGCACTTAAAATTAGGTTTGTCGTTAGGTAAGCTCAATGGTACAGCAACTTAAAGCACATTTAGTGGAAACTAGACCCCAAACTCATGCAAGTCCCAACCTGCCATGCTTTTCCCCCATTTGTTACATTTGGCTCCCAACTACATGTCACATGTACAATGAATCTCAGATTGTTACATCCAGGGCTTGGGTACCTCATTGGTGAACAGACAGGCACCTGCATTGTGAAGGGTCTGAGTCTAAATCCCAGTTTAGGGTTACATACAGTCAGACCTAAAGTTTAACTCAATCGTACCAAGAAAAAACTTTAAGATGTTTAAGGATTCAGGATGAGGGTAGCAATACCAATACTTTTATAGAATTAGGGGGTGGGACTTCCAAATCACCTCAAGATTTCTACAGTATTTGAGATATTGGTGTTTGAAAAAAATCAATTCAACTGTAGTTTATTTTATGAAACCCTTTCAACAATGAGATATTACTAATAAAGTAAAAGATGACAGGAAAACAAGTGTTTAAATGACATGCTGGAAAATTAGTACAAGGCTAGCAGCATTCAAACCATATTTTAGCTGTATAATTCGATCAGATGGCTTCACATGTACAGTTCACTGGCGGATTTAGAGGGGGGAGCCCCCCCCCCTCCTTGTGTCAAAAAAATACACAAGATAAATCTTGTGATAAATCAATGGGTTTTTTGTGTGGCTGTGGACCCCAACCCTGACCCTAACTGGTCTGGTCCCCCTTTTCAAGATTTATGGATCCGCCACTGCAGTTGCAACTAAGTAGTTTAGTAGGTTAATCGCTAAGGTGGAATCTATGGAACCCAGATGGAGCCATGCAGTTCACTATCTCACTAATCGAGCGTCAACTAAAAGGTTGATGGCAAGATAAGGATAAAGCCATGGTGCGATGATGATAGAGCTATGGTGCAATAGCGCATAGGACAATTGTGATTATCACTTCATCCTCATCTTACCGTCGTGCCTTCGTCATCGCACCATCGTGTCATCGCTATCGCATTATATATCACTCCATTGTAGTATCACACCGTCATCATTGCATTGTTGCACATTGCTTCTTTGAAGCATTATGCTATAATTACACCATAGCTTTATCGTTATTGCTCCATTGCTTCATCGTCATTGCATTATTGCACTATCGACCCAAACCTCAATATATAGTGAATTACATGGCCCTATCTGGATTCCATAGGAATCAATATCTTAGACTAGCATGAATATATTGTAAAACATATCTTAAAAAGACAGATATTAGTTTAACCCTTTCTTTGGTGTTGTATGGTTTTAATTTTAACTCAAAACATGAACTTTTTAACAAATGTACACATGACAATGACATTGTATAATCATGCATAAATGATCGTGTAAATGTCAAACCTTCATCATTTTCTCCTGGAATAAGTGGTCTTTCATCTTCCATATTTGTGTTTACAAAGTAAAACTTATTTCAACTTCTTTTTGCAAAAACACAGTACAGAAATATTCAAAGCTCAAAACGTTGCATAACCAGTCACAGGATCAAATATGTACGCCTAATATTTCCGATCATTTCGTAATCTTCTGTTATGCAGACTTTCTCTATATCCGACGAATGCGCGTTTTATATACATAAAAACAAGATTTAACTCTTCGAGCACCAAACAGGCTGAAAATAGCTAATCTTGTTTAGAAATAATCATAGGAACGACTTGTTCGATCAGCCCGCGTGGTGAAAGTGAAAGTAGAGTCAGCTGACGACGGAGCTTGGAGTGAGGATAAATAAATAGACCTAATTTTAATTCGGTGGAATACTTATATAGTATCGTTGAATATTTCAGAAAATGTGTGCATATTTCTACTGTTTATTTAGCTAATTTCCACAGCTAAGAACTGCCATGCGATTATTCGAGCTGATCGACCACGTTTTCCGCTGCATGAGTCAATGTGTCATACTTCGGCTAAGTCCGTATTTTAATTAACGGAGAGTACCGAGTTTAACCGAAGTTCCAGTGGACAATATTCCACACTCATTTCTCATAGTATTTCTTTTATTTTGATGTGTTTAATTTATTTAAAGGGGAACCAGTAAGTACATTTTCATCCGACGAATTAACCTGAACACGAAAAGCAGACCAACCTCTGAAAAAAGGTTGCAAAAAATGGGGAAGGGGGGGATGCTGTAAGGTGTTGCACAAAGCATATCTTTCAGCATTTGTCTTGTTTGTAAGAATCTTACATAGCTATTTTTGCACCCCCTCAAAAAATATAACTGGTAATATTTTAAGGGTCAGGGATGTGAAGCTCAGAATATATAATTTATTACATGATTTTTTTTATGACTCCATTTCATATAAAAAATCAAGAAAAGGCATATTTTTGGCTCTTTTGGTCACATAGCAAAAATGGCATTACAATGTATTTCTTATGTCATTTATAGCCTGTGAGTGAATATAAATGTGAAAAATTTATTGCAAATATTTTTAGCATGTATACCCCCGGAAAAAATACCTTACTATACATATAAAAGAGATTTTTGTATGGAGCAATCATTTTGGTTTTTCTAAAAAAAAAAATCCAGGGATTCATACATGATAGATAAGGACCATAAATATTTGTAAAGAATTATCCAACAAGCCCCGGGGTTGATATTTTATCGGGGTGGGGGTGGGGGTGGGGGTTCCTGTCCACGAGTACCTATCCGAATACCATCTAAAAGTTGATTTTAAGGGGGGCAAAATTGGCTCTTACATTGTCTCATATAAAGTGCTATGATTGTATATATATCAATATTTTGTAAATTTTTCTATCATATCTTAATCTAAAACCCATGGATCCACTTTTGAATTTCAGTTTCACTGGCGGATTAATATTTGTAAAGAGGATCCTCCCTTTTTGTAAAACATGAAAGTCAGTTTTAAGTTATAAATAATAATAGAGTATGGGTTTTAAGACGACCCCCCCCCCCAAAAAAAAAGTCTAGACCCCCCTCCCTAAAAATAATAATAATCACAACCTAAATTGTCTAAACCCTTAAATTCTTTTTCATATGGTAGGTACCAGGGGTATATTTAAAACTTTTCAGCACATTTTTTCTTGTTTTCTATTAGAATATATAGCGTATTGGCTAAAATTTGTCATCTTTCATCGTACATCAACAAAATATGGTGAAGGGAGCGAGCAACGTTCAATTTAACATTTCATTTACCATTTGAAATATGTAATTGTATCAAACGATATCCTCAGAAAAATAGGAGGACCCCCCTGTCTCGCACACAACGAACTTAAAAATTAACTAGATATTATTTACACCATAACCCCCCCCCCCCCCAACCCAAAGCCCCCGGCATATTACCCGTTTTCTAGTCTTGTCTTCACCTAATAAAGATATCAATAACTTACACAATGAACATTTTCAATTAACATCTTTAATTAAATTTCGATTATAATTTTTGAATCACAACCAGAAGCAAAAAGGAAAAGTGAATCTTTTGCATTTTACCCTTTTGATAACAATATATGCATTTTGTGATCTAGTTTAGAACATGCAATGGATATTCAAAAGCATAATCAATACAAACCCCCCCCCCCTTTTTTTTTAAATTTTCAAATTCATAAAATGGTTAAATTCATGCACAGAAAATTCGTAATTTGTAAGCATGACCAAAAACACGTGAATGGAGTCCTGTTACATATAACGGCTTTAGTAGAACACATGAGAAAAATGCGCTAAGATAAATTAATGCAAGACATGGCAATGCCGGTAAAAACTTTTACAAGAAATTACTTACCTTGTTCAATCCAGAACTGGATTAGTTGCAGAAACCAGAGCTTGGTCAGTCGACGAAATTAATTGTCCTCACGTTAAGAATGAGAGAGTGACACTGCTTACGGACTTTGATAAGATTATATAAATTAGAACATAAATATAGGGAGGGTAGATACGATAGGCATATACCTCGGGAGATAGATAAGAGGAGGGGGTCTGTTTGCCCTACATTTCATTTTTTAATGGTTTATAGATTTTATTCAAATTTTATTATATGCATGCATCATCTTTTAATTTGATTGAATCATTCGTCAGCAAACAGAGAGGCACGTGGTAAGCATTGCCATATAAAGGGGGACCCCCCCTCCACTCCAACCCCCCCCCCCCAAAGTATACTAGCTACAGAAAACATTCGCTAAGTTCTGAGTGTTCCCTCCTTGTGAAGTAATATAATGTCTACATGATTTTTTTCTTCTGCATGTGTACGGAATTTTTTCTTAATCCACTAAATTGAAAATGTTTGCCCGTCGACTGAAATTGCTTCCAAAAGGCCTTTAATGTTATAAGTTGTTTTAAAGCTTCATGTATCATGTGTATGGTAGGGTAGATAGGACTGGAATGGGGAATATCAAAACAATGAAATTCATGAAAATTTAAAAATCAGAATAACATTGGTGTATAGTTTAAAATAAGTTATGAATTCAGTTTATCATTTTAGGGAAAATATCAATTTACATTTATTTTAGTAGTAAAACTCTCTCTCTCTCTCTCTCTTCGAAGCAAGTCCAGCCTGTGATATCCAATTAGCAACTGATTAGTGCTATTCTCTGCTACCCGAGGCTGAAGAAGACTCGGGGTGCAGTAGAACTTGTTTGCGGTACATTAGGCAATAAATCAGCACTAATGTATTAAATAATTTGGTGACACAACATGACATATGAACAAAAGATTTTAAAAGACAAAGGCTATCTTTATTACAATCTTGTACGGTAAAATGCGCGGACATTCACTGAAAGCGTAACTGCACTGCACGTGAAAATGTTAGGACGAGAAGGCGCCTGCGGTCATCCGTTTTATGTGCGCATATGTAAATGATCTAAATACACAAAACGCACACATTTAGTCATTGGACCTTTTATTACATATACTGTATAGAAACGGGTTGTGTTCTTATTGTCAACGCTCCACAACAACCAATTCCCTAATAATTCTCTTTGTTCATTCATTTGTCACACCCCCTTCCGACAATGCCATAAAAAATAATACCACATTTGGTTAATTATCTTTTTTTTAGATATAAAGTATATCTTTGTATTTGATTATATTTTTCCTATCAATTTATTTATTTTCAGTTGTTGTCCTTGTTGATATTACCTGGAAATTCTATGCGCAATTAGTTAAAATATAATAACTTTCCTCCAAAAGCAAAGTGTTGCACATCATTTAAAAAACCGTACAAACAGATAAAATTGTGCGGAGAATCTAGCTGCAATTCGGGGGGAAAAGTTTTTTTCATATACCTTTCCGTACCCCTGGCAGAGGTTGTCCGTCAAATTTCTTTTCCGAGCTGTCAATCTTCGTCAAGGGCGTGTGGAGTTCGACTGCTAATCCTGTATGCCCATTGGCTACTAATTTTAGTCTAATTACATATTGCTGACGGAAAATGCCGAAGGAGCCGATGTGAGATTTTGATTGGCTAATCCAACATCTACGAAAAAGAATCTGGTTAGTTTCACGCTTGTGTAGCCGCCATTTCTATTTAGAGGCATTTTGACTGGCATTGATGTACCACCCCAATAATCCTCCGATGTAGCGGAATTTGTGTAATCAGTGTATGTGTATTGTGCAAACTTGCTAATGAGGATCTTTAACATTAGGTGATCAGTTTTATTTTATATGCAGAGAGCATACTCTTAGTGTGAATATACGTTCAGAACAACAGTGAAAAATATGGAAGACGGACAAAGAATGTATTCACAACAAGGGGGACTGACTAACATGTCTGGGAACGTGCTGCCCCAGTACAATATGGGACAGGACGAACCGTCCGATCAGAGAAAACAGGAGATTGGGGATATCCTCCAACAAATTATGACAATTACAGACCAAAGTTTGGACGAAGCCCAAGCAAGGTGCCGGTACAGGCCTATCTTATTATTCTCTCCGACTCCCTTCCCCTTAGTTTCCTATTTCATGCAAAATAATTTGATTCCCCTCTGCTGTTGTGTCGATTCTCCTGTCTCTGTTTGATTTTTTTTTCTATGAGGTATTTGTTTTTTTCAGGAAGCACACATTGAATTGTCATCGAATGAAACCAGCATTATTTAGTGTATTGTGTGAAATCAAAGAAAAGACGGGTAAGTCGTTAAAAGTTGTCAGTACTGACACTGTGCTTTTACTTTCACTTTACATAGAGGTACTATGGAGAGTAAAGCAATATGGCTGAGATGGGTGATTAGATTACTATAATCAATAACAAATCATATGGAACTAATCAAAGATAGAAGGCACATAAAAGGTTCATGAATTATCATTGGATTTAATGATGTGCAAGAAGACATACTGTATGCTTGGCCCTAATAAAGACAAAATAAGAGCATATCTACATGATCTTAATCCTTACATAGTTGTTAAGGGGGCTTAGAATATTTTTTTTTTCTAAGACTGTATGACAATATGGATGGATACTGCTGCATACAGTAGATTTGGGATCCCAATTTTTTTTAATGTTTCCACTTTTAAAATTGTTAAATGTGCAAACATCTGTTCATTTGTAGCCCAGAGTTAAACCTGAATTTCTGAGCAATTCTGCATCAATCCTTGTGTTTTGATACTTGTACAAAAAAGATCACATTTGAAAACTAAAATGAAAAGCAACTACTAATAATCATAATAATGGTAATCAAGAATACTAGAATTAATTTAGACTTTTATGAATGTTTAAATATTAAAAAGTAGGTAAAAAAAATTGGAATACCCTCAATTTACAGGCACTACAAGTGTTAATCTTCGAAAAATAAAAGGATTGCTGACTATGCCTCCTCCGTTTTAATGTTGGATAAGAAAAGAAGAGTACAGTCTTTATCAAACAAGAAACATAATGGTCCAGTTGCATCTGTGTTATCTGTCTAATTTTTGTCCTGGTTTAGACTAAGAAATTCAGTAATTACCTCAAAAGCATAAAAACACATACATTATATATATATTGAGATGAAACACTTATTTACCCTTTACACATATACTGATAGAAAATAAGACTTTTATCAAGAAATTTTGTACATCTATTTTCTATCATTGGGCAGTGGGCATATATTAGCCAATAAATTTCTATTCACAAAAATAAGGATAATTCTGAATAGTTTGATTACAAGATATGTTACACATAAGTAAGTAAAACTAAGAAAATATATGAGATTTTATCTCATTTGCTAATAAATTAAGAAAACTTATAACTCAGACTCCTATCCGAATTATGATATAATACCCAGAATTTTTATATCTTGATTTATTGCAATGGTATCGGCCTTCAGCCTTTTTACCAAGATATGGCATGGAACATGTAGGTGTATTCACCAACACAGTTTAATAGCCTTAATCTCTTTTGATAATTAAAATATTTCTATATCAGGAAAAATATAAATATGATTTTTGAAAATAAACCATGGAAAATCATATTCTTACTAAAATACAAAATGTTATTACTTTGAAAGTCTACATTTGTACAGAAAATTTGTTCATCACTACTGAATTGACTTTCTTGGACACCAGGATTTGATTGTGAATCACTGATGCTCAGGGCAAAGGTTAAACTTTTTCAAATGTAGGTCAAAGTTTAAGGTCATGCATTCTACAATTTAAACCAGGGCTCCCACTGGACCGAAAATATTTTTCGCCACTTTTCGCGACAAAAGGAAAGGCATACTTACATCTGATTTCTCGACAATGCAATGCACTTTATGTTAGTCATTTTTTCAATTATGTTTATCTGACACAGACATTGTTTTAATTGTTATGTTTAAAGCTTTAATTATGGTAGTATCCATTTAAAAAAAACTTATGTTGGAATTATACAATAAATTTGAAATTGAATTGATATCAGTCAACTTGATCTTGACAGAAAATGTCCTCTTGTTTATTTTTTTTTGCCTGTGAGGGAGGGAGGGGGGGGGCAAAGACCTAGTAAAAATATGACATTTTTTAAAAATGGAAATTTCATCATTTCATTAATCAATTGTGAAAAGAAGTAATTAAAAAGTAATGAAAATTAGGTTTGAAAGTTGACTTTATTTTAACAACTTGGAGACTCCAGGGTTTAATATGCAAGCTCATGTTATTGTAAATAATTCAGTGTAATTTACCAATTAAAGATAATTCTGTTTCCAAACCAATTTCTTTTTCACTCTTTGTCAGTTTATGGTTATTTAATGTACACATTTTTCAATTTTAATCAGGTAAAATTTGAAGCCATTCTTTACTATTTTCGTCATGTTTCCGTACTTTCGGTTTTAAAAAAACGATCTACATAGATCCAGATTTTGTTGATAAAAATCTTTATTTTCTAACTTCATATCTTAATAACACTTTATACCCCCTTGTTTAATCCAAATTATATTATTTCAAGCAATTTTGTAACCCTTTATTGCTCCAGGCCAGTTACCTAATCAGCTGTGTTCGTTCAAGCGAGACGTGATTTCCTACATGTAGGTTTCAGTTTTCACACCTCTGCTGCATTAAATAAACATAGGGACTTATCTGTGTACATTGAATAAACAAAGGAACTAACCAGGACTACTCAAATTTTGTACATGGTACATAAAAAAAAATCATTTTCGCCACTTATGAATTTCTTTTCGCCACTTTTGAAAAAAATTCGCAATTGGCGACAATGGCGAATCACAGCTCGAGCCCTGATTTAAACAGATATCGAAGGATTCCAATATGTCCAGGGTAAAATTATTCAGGAATAGGTGAGCAAGTACTTGAAAATCACTTTGACATTTCGCCTTGATATTTGAGAAAAACTTGTTTTCTAGACACCATAGTTCAACTGTTTTACAAAATTTATAATATTTTAAAGAGTTCAAAATCTGTTGGGATTAAGTTTTAAGAAAAAAAAAAAGTAAAAGTAAGTCTTGTTGACTAGATGGTTATTTTATTTAGCCAATGTAAAAATAGCCCCTATAAAGACATAGATGTCATTTTCAATCAATTGTAAGGAGAATGTTTTTAAAAAAAATGCTTTTTTGTACCTGCACTCAAGTTCATATATATGAATCACTTTAAAACTAATGAAGTAATATAAATTTTGTTTAACTATATCCAAAAATAATGCTTTTTGAGTTACTAGCTATAACTATTGTTCAGTGTACCTTATATTTATCTTTAGAGAATAATAGAGATAGTGTTGCCATTCTTGTTAAAAATGCTTAACCCCCTTCCATTTTCGAAAGTTTACCACATCAAATTTTGATGAATAAGTAGACATTTTGTTTTATAGAGTAAAGATTTATATATAAGGCTTTTGAACTCACTCACATATTCCTAACTTGTTCATAGCCGTTTACTTATACATGTAAGAAAAAAAAAACTCTGAATTTGAAGGATGCAAAAAACGTATAGCTAAATGTCTGATGGTCTATAAATGACAATGTTCTGTCATTAATGGGTCTTTTCTGGTTCGGCTTACAAGGACAAAGTAATTGGTTACGTCATTTGATATTTAGATTTGCCACTTTCTATAGATATATCATTATATTTGATTAAATGTGATAAGATCTCATTGAAAAATGATCCTTACATTTTAATGCAGTGGCAATGTCTGTGTTTGAGAGTTGATAAAGAGAAGGTGGGGGTATGCAGTTTTGTCTGAATCAGCCAGAGGAACACAAAGCACAACTGCAATTAAAGATACAAGACCAAATTATTTGACGCAAGAGAAAATGTTGTATATAACACATCTTTATCAGTTTGAGATGTTCTATTGATTTTTGACAATGACTTTGCGAGGCCCTTCCGCTAGTGTGCAATTTTTTTTAAGGTCGGCTGTCTTAAATTGATTTATGGGTATTTAGATAGAGAACTGCATTTAGCTGGAGGGATTTTATTTCTTTGCACATGCTGTCCAATTTTTTTCCCTCCAGTCTTCAACAATTTTTGCTATGAAAGGTCATTGAACCTCAATTATTTTTGTTGAAAAATTGATAAACAAAGAAAGTACAAACAGATCATTTCCTTAACTTTTAGATGCAATGCTCTTTGTTTTGGAAAGGTTTTAACCAAAAATTTTAATTTTTGAAGTATCATTAAGAAATATTTGTATCATCCATGGTCATTGATGAAATTACAGTTTGAATAATTATGAAGCATCTTTGTTTATCATGTTTATTTAGACATTCATTTATTTCTTCATAGTGCTTAGTATAAGAAATTCACAAGAAGAAGAGCCTCCAGACCCTCAGCTGATGCGATTGGACAACATGTTAATCGCTGAAGGTGTGGCAGGCCCAGAGAAAGGCGGAGGGTCGTCTGCCGCCGCGAACGCCACAGCTGCCGCTTCTGGGGGTCAGCCCGACAGTGCCATAGAACACTCCGACTACCGTGCCAAACTGGCCCAGATCAGACAAATTTATCACACAGAACTAGAGAAATATGAACAGGTTAGTGGCATGGGTGTGTTCGAAGAGGAGTTCTTGTGTTCCCTGTCAGTATCAGTGATAATAATGAAACGAGATCCAAAATGGGTGTTAGACATGCATATTTTATGATTTCTGCACATTGTTTAATGAATTTCAAACCAAATCCTGTTTGTTATTGAAGTTCGAAAGCAATTATGATAATTTGCTTTTGAAAAAAATATTGAATAGAAAGCTTGTAACGGATCAATTTAATTTTGATGTGGTTAAACGCTGTACTCTGTGAACCAAGTCCTCCTCTATAACTGCTGTTTATTCATTCTATATTCATTCATCAGTTCTTTTAGAGCAGTGGAACACATGCATCCTAAGCAACAATGACACATTCACTATCATACAGATATGTGCCGCTTTGATGAATTTATTTTTCACCGATTTGAAAGCTACTTGGCACAAAATCTTCTTCACAGTCTACTTTGCCTACATACGAAAAAATCACCAAAAAAACTTCTTCCACAATTTTTTTTTTCTACAAAATTGTATATATATCTACATTCAGCATTTATACCAATAACTTCTCTTGACATTCTCTTTAATTAATACCAAGCATTTTGTTCCCATAACTTAAGAATGCATATTTATAATGTTGATATAATTTATATAGATTTCCAGCAACATTCTTGTAATATTATAACTCTAAATGCAACACTTTGTATCCAAATTGTAGGACCTTGATCTAGTAAGCTTCATGTTATTTTCCCTTGTTGTTTTGGTTTGGGTTGCTATGCTAACCACAGAAACTCACAAGCTTCACTTTTTTTAACCCAAAATTTGAATACCAAATTCTTATCATGTTCTGTAAAATTTATCTAATCCCACCTCTGGCTTAGAAATTTGCCAGAACAGACCTTAAAAACAACTGATTTGCTTAAATTAAAAATTTTTGTCACAATAGGCAAGATTTTGGAATACACAACATCTTAGTTAGACAATTTTTACTGTACAATATTCCTAATCAATCAGATTTTGCAGTTTAATTTACGGATGTGATTGCAATCCTGTTGAATAGTGATAAAATACATGTGAAATCCAAATTTTTAGTACCTGCATATTTGTTTTTTCTTTTTCTGTGGTTGGCATAGTGAGACTAACATTTTGTGGTTATTTTTTCACATGGCAGACACTTTTACTTGATCACTTGGATATAACATCTACAGCATAGAGTTCTCTTTACTAACAATGTAACAAATGTTGTTTATAATGAAAGAAGTTAGCAATTCATTGGCAGTAAGGTTAGGTATCTCAGATAAAATAAAATGTAGAAATATATATAATTTTTTGTTAAAAGAATGTAAGTTGGTGTGTAGCAACAAAATTATTCTCAAAACAAAAGTATTGTGAATTTTTAAAAAAGAAAACAGCACAGTGAAAGAAAAATGATAACTGACATCGTTGTAATAGAGTATTTTACTTCTTCATGTATTTCCTTAAAACATGGAGTGAACTTGGATCTTTAACAAGTTTAATCCAAAATCAATTTTCCATTGATCATACTGTCTTTAGAAAAGCTTATCATGTATTTCAGGCAAAAAAATATTCTTGTTGCTAGTATTTCAAAAATTATTAGGATCACTTAAACCTTACATATTTAGACTGAGTAAAAATTTTAAAATGATATCAACAAAAAATTATCTTTTTTTTACAATGATGTAGATTTAAGAAAAAATTAGATACTGAAAGTGTTGCTTTCAACACTGTTAACTAGCAGTTAGCAGAAAAAGAAATTTGAGTAAGCTTATCAAATATAAGAACCTAAAATTTATTCACAGAGAAGGAAAAAGCTCCCATTGTTGTGTATATATATATTACACACTGCATATGCCGGTGTACAGAGCTTAGGGCGATAAATATGAGTAGGAAATCTAACTTGTCAATCCTTTAATTGCGTTTCATGTGTCTTTTAATTGATGACATTTTTTTGAAGTGAAGAGAAATCATTGATGCATGAAAAGGTATCAGCCGGAACCGAATCGTTACAGAATGATGTATCTCTCCCTAACATTTTGTTTCTTTCTGCATATATTTTCTGTTTTTCTTACTAATGTTCACAATTTTGCCATTTCCATGTAAATTGACTTCTATTTAATGTACCTGATGTTATAATATCTGGATTTTGGTGTGATGGTAAAGAAAAATTGCGAAATTGGGAATATAAATGTTTAATTAACATGTATTTTAAAAATAATGTACTGATAAAACAAAATCTTGACTCGCAGGCCTGTATATAAATTGCACATTTGTATCATTTACTTACTAGCATTAAACCCTTTTGTTTTGAATTTCATGATCATTTTAAGAATCACATTTAATTGCATTATTTAGAATTTAGAAAAGAAGGAGTAGGTATTTCAATGTCTATTTTATGTGGTAACTGGCTAATTAATCTGTGAAGTCTTTGATGAATTAAAAAAGAAAAGTACAGGTATAATTTATGTATTTTGATTTGGCATCTATTATCAGAGGTGAAGGCAGTTTCCTTTTAATTAGCTGGCATGTTAAATTGAATGCTCTAAATATGAATTAGATGCTTTAAAACTTGTTGTAATTGAATGATTTATGCTTCAGTTTGCCTGAATATTTATTATTAGTAGATTGACTTTTATATAAATGGTATGAAATCTACAAATTCTGGTTTACAGATGCACATATATATTGGTTTTCATTCAAGGTGCTACGTCACATAAATTTCATCCAATTATGTTGTTTGGTTAAAAATACAAACCAGAAAAAAAAGTTTGCCTAAAGCAGAATTGTAGACTTCCTACCAGTTCAGTAATTTGATTGAAAGATATTCGATTATTGTCTTCTAGAGCGATGGTTCAGAAATCAAAAACTCGGACTATGAAGCTAAACTGGCCCAGATTCGACAAGTCTACCAAACGGAATATGGGAAATATGAACAGGTAGCTAGCCAATTCATATCACATAATGGAAACAATTAGGTGTCAGTGTGTCTCCATCGGCCATTCATCCAAAAGTCCATTGGCTGGTGCTGTGACTGCGGAGAGGAAATTGGAATGACCAGTGGTCATATAATTAATGGCTATTCTGGACATTAGATTTCCTCCCCCTGTCATGAGCTTGACAAAAAAGTTTGATGGACACTTGTCTTTTGTGAAACTCTGTTGAAGCTTCTTGTCTCTTGGTGAAAATGAAGTATTTCTGTAACCATTAATAAAACTTGTCTGTTTTTGTGGTCTCTGTGAAATTCTCTTGCTATTGTACTAACTCTCAAAATCACTGCACAGGTATTTTCTTGCTTTCAGACACAGAAATTTCTATTTGAAGTCTTTCATTTTACACTTTCAATATTCTTTCCTTTCTTGCTTTCATGTTTTTATTTTATGTATGGGACTTTGTTGTCAACAGGACCCATTGTGGTATCGATTAAGTCCGTGTTACTTGTTTGATACACAGGTGTGTTTAGTTTTGCTTTTTAGAATGATGTGTTCTGAGATGTTTTATGTGCCATATTTTTCTCTTTCTATAAACAATGGGGAAAAAATATTTTGTCCATGTCTATTCAAGTACAAGACAGTTTTCTTTTTGTGGGTGGCAAAGTGAAAAAAAATGTTTTGTTGTACATGTATATTTGGAAAAAGGAAATCATTTACAGTGTTACTTGGAATGAGTTTGCTTCTTAGAACTGTTATGTTGTGAATGTGACACGTACCTGCATGGTGATAATAATATGTTGAATGCTGAGTAGCATGTCTTCTTTTCGTCCTCAGCCAGTTGCATGGACACTCATTGGTTTGTTAAACATGTATGTTACTTTTAATGTATTCAAAGCTTGTAACATCATCTCACAAGAACATAATTTTAAATTCATAATCCAATATTCCTTATTGCTGGAGTTCCAAGCCAGTTAGAAAAGTTCTCTTCTTTTTCCCTATTTACAAAATGGGGGAACGAAATATTTTTTGACATGAATTGTGATTTTCTTTTTAACAGGCATGTAGTGAGTTCACAACTCATGTTGTTAACCTACTGAGAGAGCAGAGCCGCACTCGTCCCATAGCCCCCAAAGAAATAGAGAGAATGGTCACTATTATACGCAAGAAGTTTGCAGCCATCGAGATGCAGCTTAAACAAAGCACATGCGAAGCAGTCATGATTTTGAGATCTAGATTCCTTGATGCAAGGTGACCTATTTATAAATATGTTTTCCAATAAGTAATGATAAAGAATCAGCATATTTGAACATTTTTTTTTTCATATTTATTAAAAACAATCACATAGTTTGATAAAGACTTAAAAACATATTCTAGAAGTTTGCAAGTTGTTATTATGCAGGGAGATAACTTTGTCCATACTTTTGTAGGAGGAAGAGGCGAAACTTCAGCAAACAAGCCACAGAACTGCTGAACGAGTACTTCTACTCCCACCTCAGTAACCCCTACCCCAGCGAGGAGGCCAAGGAGGAGCTGGCCCGTAAATGTGGAATCACAGTCTCACAGGTCAGTACAAAAATCTGTAAACTAGTACAGGTCAGTACAAAATCAGCCTCCCTTGATATCTGTAAACTAATACAGGTCAGTACAAAATTAAGGTCTCTTAAAATTATAGATATATCCAAATACAGATCAGTACAAAATGACTTGAATCAAAATCAGGGTTCCTCCATATAAGTAAAATTGTACATATACTTATATATATAGGTTAGTACAAAATCAGGGTCTGACATGGGTCAAAATTAGAATGGTATGATATCGGTAAAAATTGTACATATTATACTGAACATGGGTCAGTACAAAATCTTGATCCCTTCATATCAATTAAAATTATTTATAGACTTCCTAAATCTGTTCAATACAAAGAGTCCCTTGAATTATACATGCATCCTAATATTGGACAGTAAAAAAAAAATAATGGTCCTTGATATTGTTAAAAAATTGTTAATACATCTTAAACACAGTGTCAGTACAAAATCCAAGCACCTTGATATTTGCAAAATGTACACATTTTCCCTGTTACAGGTCATTTAAATGTTTGAACTTGATAAACCCATTCTGGACTAAAAATTGACTTTCTTCTAGTGAGTGGTAAATGTTAACTGTAGAAAAGGGGGAAATAAGAATTTATGGCATTGATTCTTCTTTTATTTTATCAGTAAAAGACTGGCACATTATCATGGAAAATAAACATTGCACAGTAACATATGACGGAACTGACCCATACCTCTGCTCTTTATATTTTTAAGTTTATGAAATAATCCCATTTACATAAAACTGATAGAAACAAAATGCCTAACTGAAATCAATTATACCTTCATTTCCTTGTGTCCAATATCAGAGGAAGAATAAAGATAAATTTGAAGAATCTCACCAGCTGTTTCAGCAGGTTTATTGTTGTGCATTAGGTAATAGTGAAGATAAATTTTTACATCCTGTTATGACCTTATTAGAAAACATTAAGTGAAAATTACGTACATGCATTTTGTATGTAGACTATGAAATAAATGAGCACATGCAATACATTTCTCAAGTTATGGTCATTTACTGTGCAGTCATGTTTCCTGCAAGATAAAATTTTGTTCTTAAATGTATTTCCTTTGCATATAAATATATTTGAATTCCAAAATTTATAAAAACCGAAACTAACATCTTTGAATGTGATTATAAAACAAATGTCTACTTGATTGTATACATCATTTTGCGAGCTTTGATCCCTAGAGTGACCAGTGAAAATTTATATATTCCATGTTTAAATTATGTTTTTTGTAAATAAATGAAGAATAATGAATAAGTTACTAAACAACATGCAGCATTCATTTATTGTTGTAAAATGACATTTTTATAAAGAAAAAAAATAGAAAAAAGGCTGAAATGAGATTCTGTTGTCTATTTGTCTGTCTGTCTATTAACTTTCTATATTTCACCTTCTCTAGAATCACTAAATAAATTTCTTACTAAACTTTGCACAAGGAATCTTAGTTTACAAGAAGAGTCACATAACCTTTCCACCTAGAGATACTTGATAAATGGTCAGTAGAACAATGGTAAAAAAAAAATCAAAACCATTTGGGCAAAAGATGGATTTATATGAAAACCCTGTCAAATCTAATAGATTCAAGTTTTTTTTCTTTAAGAAGGCTAAGATGGGGCCCATTAGAGGGGATAAGAGTTTTATATAGGCTAATTTTGAAGTTTAGGACTTTGTGTCAGGATTCTAATTTTGACAGCTCATGTGAGCATTATGGCCTTTGAGCCTCATTGTCTTTAATATCAAAGGACAATTAGTATTACATGCCATATTCTGCTGCTGCAGCTGTGCTTTGTTGTTTTTGTGCAAAATGAGTATCATGTTGAACATTATTCTCTCTTTCTTCTTTTAATTTTTATAATCAATGGAAATGCTGATTGATTTTGGGTTGAGATATGCAAATTGAGTTGCATATTTCATGTCTATTCATTCATGGGGACTAATATATTATTGACTTTTTTTGCCACTCGTTAGGAAGTCAATAAATATTTCAAATGAATTGTGCATGAAGATAGAAAAATTTACACTGATGAGATAACAACTGAAAAAAATTAAATAATTTTAATCAATTCACAATTGTATAAAATAGAAGCAGTTGACTATTTATTCCCTTTTTTTTCCATTTTACATTCTACCCCTTTTAGAGGTGACTGGTCATTTTGAAATTTTAAAAAGGAGTCCATGTAATGCTTGGAGGAGTGATAAAGAAAATTTTGAATTCATCTGTCACTTCAGATGACATGATCACATCTGTTTATCATAAGGTCCATGATAAAATTTACTCATCTGTCAAGTTAAAACATGATTTAGCCTTACCTTCCCCTTTGATGTCTTTATCCCGCCTTAGTTTATATATCATAGGGGGGTCATTGTCTTCATAATCAACAATGTTTTCTTAAGAACAGGTCAAGATGCTTCTCTGAAAATTTTTAAAATTAATTTCTTTAAGGTTAATCATTTAATGCCTAAAATATTTTGTTCTTAATTGGTACAATTTTGCAATGAAAGTTTCTTAACATAAGGAAAAAAAGATTTTCAATATTTCTAAGAAAAGGATAATCATAAATGATGATATTTTTGCTATAAAGAATATCAACAAAAATGAGAGTCTAAGCTTGCATTTAGTAATAGCTTTCCGGGAAACAGAGAATCAAGAAATTCGGAGGAAAAGGATAGGTTTTTGGTTTGACGTGTGGTTCAAGATGCCAAATTAAGGTCATATTATTAAGGACATAAATAAAAATGAGTTTCCAACAGTTTTACAGGTGTTCATTTTTCTAGCATCTTATAAGAAAGACACCTGAGGTGTGATCGCTGCTAATGGAAAGAAAACTAGGATACATGATATAAATGGACAAGTGTCAAAAATATGAGTTTATAACCATGTTTTATGACTCAAATTATATTATGATGGAAATGATAAGAAGACCTCTTTTATTTCACTATATCAACTCAACTCTGATGAACTATATTTTATGTATTAACAACAAGGTTCATTAAATCTGGATCCCCTATTTTGGAATATGAAGGCACTATTGACTACATCATAATGAAATAGGAACAGGGTGAAATTGTGCAAAAAGAGCATTGTTGGTTTTTTGACAGAATGTCTGATCAGCTGATAAGATTGTTAATGATTTGTTGTTATAGCGGTAGTTCATCTTAAGGAACTCTGAATTGTTCTGTAGGCCTGGTGTAACAAGAGTTCATTTTAAACATGTTAATTAAGAGGTAGATCTGATCACAAATTCAGATAAGTCTTCTTGATAATGTTTAATATTTTTTTTTTTCAATACCAAGCTGCTATCTCCTTGAATTTATTAGTATGAAAGATTTTCTTTATTTTTTTTTATTACTTTTTTTATGGCCTATAGTTATGAATACTAACAAAGTTTATTATATTTATGATGCATGACTAATCTTCTGTTAGATATGGAAGCTTACTTCTTTTATGATTCCCTCTTTAGAAATGTTTTCCTCTGACTTTCAAATTTAGAAAAAATAAAAATATTTGTTTGAAGGGAGAAAAATGAACTTTAGAGAAAAAAAAAACATCCAGATAAATCACACCTATGAGATCACATTCTGTTATCTTTGGAAGAGCGGGAAAAAAAGTGAGAACAATGAAAAATTTCTAAAATTTTTTGCATGAATCATTATCTTCAGTTGTTAAACCGGTAAACCACAAAATGAAAAAAAGAGTTGCTAAGAGAGCTAGTATCGGAGAATATGATACCAGTGATTATGGAATGGTGATGTTCTCCTATAAACCCCCAGGCTGTTCTTAGGCCATAAAAATAGATTCAAGAACTTAAAATGTGACACACCATCCATCAACGGCCTGACATTTGGTCACATGACCTAGGATTAAGTTACCGTTCAGTGGATAGGTGTTGAGGGCTTCGAAGGGAAATTGTTGTGAAGTTTTGCTCAAACGTCTCTAAGAAAATAAATATTTATATTTTGATAATGATCTCTTTTAACTTTTGAAGTTCTTTTTTCTCAGCTTTTGAAACTGGGGAAAAAAATCAAATTATATTTTCTAGGTGAAAGTTGCATAATTGTTGGAAGACATCATCATGAATATGCCATTACTTTAAGTGACACATGAATAATCATATCTTAATTAAGGGGTGTAATGATGTGTCACTGCAACTGGAGGACAGAATTGACAAGCAGAAAATGAGACATCTGATATTTTGTGATGTGGTAAAAGATACATATATCAGGGAGCCCCATTATATAATGTCCCATGAGGACCCTCTGTGTCTATTCTTCTGTAGATTTACTCTGGGGCTTCTTGTTTCTGTCTAGGTGCAAAAACGTGTTTATAAATTGTCAAGTGTGCATTCTGGTGTAAGAACTACCAGTGTGTGGTAAAACTGCAACTTTAATTATCAGTAGATTGTGTAACATTAAATCTTCCAGAGGAACAATGAGAGATTATTGCTTTTCCCAAAAAACACGAAATCCTTGTCTTAATTTAGAAGACCTCTTGCATTTAGACTGACATCAGGGTGTTATAATTGAAGTCCTGATATCTTTTAAGGGAGGACTGGGAAATATTTTGAAAGAGAGTTGCCATTATGCTTTAATTCATGAATTAGTAAGAAACCTCTACATGAATGTACAGAGTGTTCAAAGATTGACTTAAGAATTGACTTTTATTGTACATTGCTGAATTCTTTATTGCAGGCAATTAAAGCTCTGAATCTGCAGCCCCATGTGTTTTTATTCCAAGATCATTATCCTGTATTTTTCAGGTTTCAAATTGGTTTGGAAACAAAAGAATTAGATACAAGAAAAATATTACGAAGGCTCAAGAAGAAGCTAATGTTTACGCCGCCAAATCAGCTGCTGCGCACGAGGGACAAGGTACGATTACTTTACGCAGGGGTTGATGGAGATTTTTATTTGTCATTTGCAGGTTTCTAATTGGTTTGGTAACAAAAGAATTCGATACAAGAAGAACATAAATAAGGCACAAGAGGAAGCCAACATGTACGCGGCCAAAACGGCAGCCGCGGCTGCTGCTAACATTGGCCCTGAGGGAGGTATACCTTGGACATAACGTATAATCTTGGCTTGACTCTAGTTTAGTTTGACCCATCTATTTTTATGCCATCATCTCTTCCAAGCAGGCAAATTTTATTATTTTTTTTTACATTTATTTATAATGTCCTGGTGCCTCTTGCTGTAGTCTTTTTCCATACTTGCTGGTTGATCAGTGTTTTGCAGCCATGAAGTTCTATTTCAGATATTTTTACGTATAAAGAGTTTTTTCTTGTCTTCTGTGACATTTTATTTGCTCTCTCTCAACTTGTATTGCTTATGGTCTTTTTCAAGTATCATTTGTGTTGAGGTACATCCTATATAGTTATATATGAGTACATTACATTTAAAAATGGAGATTCATATTGCACAACTAATAGATATGGTATATATTTTATTGTCAGGGGTCAGTTTTACACATATCAGTATTTCCTTGGTTTCTTATCTTATGAAGGCAGAAGAAAGTTAAATGATTTGAAATCTTTGAAAACTAGTAATTTAAGGGAATAGAAATGTTAAAGCTGACCCCTTTGAAATATAAACTATGCAAATGTATGTGTAATGGGAGTACATGCATTTATGATATTAAGGTATATATATGACATTATATGGTACTGGTACATTAATTGGTAGGTGCTAATTGATGTCATTTTATAATATGTATATTCAATTCTAGAAGAAATAATGCACTTTATTTACATGTTAATATTATTGCTTTAATAAGAACAAATGGATGATTTTGACTTAATTTGGTATTAGTTAGATACAAGATTAATTCTACAAGATTATTAATCCTTATGTATTATTTTGACAGGAGCGGCCGGTTACAATGTGGGCGGGGGACAGGCAGGGATGTACATGAACCTTAACGGCGGTGACAACTACCAGAGTAGTGATAATTCGGTAGGAGACAATGTCCAAAATCAGGTCTGTGCTTGAGAGGGCACATTCCTCAACCCACGTAGCAACTTTGGTTTTCGTACCTGGAACTATATTCTTTCTTTGCTGTGTTTTAAAACTTGTTTTGGATATTGGCATCCCCATCTTCGCTAGCCAAGTGTCCGATTCGTTTCCCTCATCTCCCCATGGAGGTGACCATTTTTTATTAAGAAAATCTTTGTCATTGTTAAGAAACTACATTTAGTTTCACTTTTGGTGTACAAAGGGAAAGTAAGGAAAGCAAAGTTGCTACTTTCAGTTTGCTCCTTGTATACTGCATTAACATTATAGATGTATCATATAGCATGCCCTTTGGATTATAGTCCTATGCTGCATTCAAGTTGTTTGTACCTGATTATTATATACATAAATGTTATTTTGTTGTCAAAATATTCAACAGTTGTTGTAGCATTAACTTAAATTTTAAATTTAGTCCAAATACTGATTCAGTGAAAAGATAAAAGGAAATCTTTAAAGAAATAAATATAACTTGGAAGAATTTCATTTCATTTCAAATTATTTAAGAGCATATACAATTGTATATCTAAAGATTCTCATCAAGATACTACATGTAGCAAATTATGATTAAATTTTTTTATATACAAAAAAAAAGAAAAAAAAAACTGGTTACAGCATAAAATATTTTAAAAAGCAAGTAAGATGCATGGCCCTGTGATATTTCCAAAACCAAAACAAACCAAATAAGTTAAATTTTGTCTTGGTTTGTTTATAAGAAGTTGAGCCTTTTAAGCATGTGATTGTTGTCATAGCATGGTAAATCTAAGCTGTTTTGTATTTAGGTGAATGCATTGAGGCATGTCATTTCACAGTCTGGTGGTTATAGTAGCGACAGCATGCACAGTACGCCAGCCTCCATGTATGAACAACATATGAACCAACAGGTACTGCACTCCCCTAGAAGTTGATTGTCATGGTGATGACACCATGACCTTTGACCTTATGGTTGCTATGTAACTGATACGCAATGTTTTTCTCATAGTTTTAAAAATATTAGTTATGTAATGTCTCTCTATAAATTACAAAGAAATCTTCAGAGGTTATTATGGAAGTCTAAATTTCCCCAAACAACTTCGGTTTCGAAGACGTATATATTTCACTACCTTGAGGTTTGTGTGTTGCTGCCAGCTATTAAACAAAAGTGATGATTTTTAATGGGTCTTAATGCTTGTTTATATTGTGAATGTGTACATAAATTGTCGATTGTATTTTTTTGTTATGTATATTTTTTGTTATATACTGATTTTACAAATATTGCATGACTTTTTTAATGATACAATTCTTGACAATGTTTTAATCAGATAATTTAGATAGTGATTTAGATGGTGTAACCATAGCGTGAGCTTTTAGCTTTGGGCTTTATTGACTTTTATTTAGGTTTTTAGTATGCTAGTCAAAGTGAAAAAAATGCATTAAAAATATAATTCTGAATTGTTTAAAATTATTAAAATACAATTTTTTGTATTCTTAATTATTATGCTGCAGTTAGAATTGAAAATAGATTAATGTTTTTGATTTTCATCCAATATTACTTTGTTCAAGCAGAAAAAATTCAACTATCATTCAAAGAAAGATAAACAATATTATATATACTGATGTCGTGCTAAACAATACATATTTACAGCTACAGTGAAGCCCAAGGCTCTTGTTCTAGGAGATGCCGGCCATGAAATCTCATCATAAATTTGTAGTTGCCTTGATTACAGTGTTAAAAGTCGAATCTCACTGGAATTTTGTGTGCCATGGAAACGAGCTTCTTAAAAAAAGCTCATTATATCCAAATCAATATACTTTCCCCAAGAAGAATCTTGTTCTATCTCCAAAGAAAAAAAAAATGAAAATAATTAAAAACACAGAATGAGAACCCCAAACCAGGGTAAACTTTCTGTTTAGATTGAAAGAGACGAGAATAGATTTTAGGGAAATAGTGGTATTTCACTTTCATACATTGATCAGCAGGGACTTTTATTAAATGCTGAAATTATTTGTCATATCAATCTTAGTGCTCTATTAAATAAAAACAAAATTAAGACAAATTTTGTAAATTATTCTTATCACTGAACATTGTATGTACCATTTTATATTTAATTGTCATTGTTATCTTAAAGTTACAGTTCAACAAGATGTTAATCTCTCCATTGTTGTTGTATACTAGAAATCATTTAAATGTGTGGTTGTAAAAAATATTTTTGATTTAGAAAGACATTTTTATTTTGCGTTCCGCATATTTTTTTCTTTTTTTTTTTTGCTGTGAGGAAGTGCTATGTTTTAAGTGTCAATATCAAAACACTTATTAGATCAATTATTATTTTGTTGATAATCCCCATTTTAAGCATAATTTTTAAGGCAATCCTTTTTAAAAGGTTTGATAGAATCAAACTATGAAAAATATTAATCAAATGTTGTCCATATCATGATGGAAATCATATGAAATAGATTTTAGTCTTTGTCATTGTAAAGGTACCATGATATATATAAAAAATTATATATGTACAATATGCATTAAATAAATGCTGACATCCAAATCCTGAAGTTATCTTTTTCTTTTATATAAAGCCATTTATCATGTATAAAATTTATATATAAATAGGTATAATTAATGCTTTTCACATTTAGATTAGTATTGTCTTGTGTGAGAATTTAACCATTCTTAATTTATGTGAAATTCATTCTGTTGTGTATACATATCTTATATCATGTACTGAGTATATATTTAGATATTTTTTTTAATATCATACTAACCATCACATAATTTATATTACTCAACAGATCTGCACATAACTTGGCACACCTAACCATTTTTACTTTTCTGTCACTTGCATAATTTGCATATCTATATTTATACTCCCACTAACTTGAATCTGCATGACATAATCACAAATAATTGAATTGGTTTGACACATGTTGGGTCCTGTCGCACACACAATTAAAAGTGATGTGATGAAAGAATCTTCTATCCCCTCTTTTGCATGCCAAAAAAAAGTTCTGATCCTGAACAGATAACTGCATGAACCTCTTTCTTTCTGCATGGGAATTTAAAAAAACAACAAACCCAAGTTGGGCAGATCTGTTTCAAATCCATCCTCATTCTTTTTTGGGGGGTATAATCAGAACTATTAAAAGAAAAAAAAAGAACCTGAAATCACATCACTTTTCATTGTAGATTACGCCACACACTCGTAGTCAAAATGGTTCCCCTCACGACCAAAAACCAGAAGACAGTACTGATAGTTGGTGCGCAGGTGCTTTTATGCAGGGCTTGGATGGAGAGGGAGAGAATTATGATGGCGCTGGGGATGAACCAGGATTAAAACGCCCGAAAATTTAGTTACTTTATGATTGTATCGTGACAATTCCAAGTTCTTGCCAGAATCAAATAGTAAACTTTCTTTTGTGTGTGGTGTTTTTGGGTGTAAAGTCTTAACTGTGTTTTTAAAAAAGTCTGGTGTCTTTGTAAAGTTAAATTTTCCAGTGGTCAAAATAGAAAACATTGTTCAAGTAGATAGTTATCTGCAGTGGTGTTTATAAAAAAAATCAAGTGCTTAGTACATGTATCTTGAATCGGTAGTATTATTACATTCAAAGACCAAAGACAGGACTTCTTTAAATTCATTTTGATGCCTAATTTTATTTAAGCCTTTTACATGTATACCAAATGATGATTTGATTTTAGTTTAATTGTTTTTTTAAATGTAGATGCTTTATAAAGATGTTGTGCATGAAGTGTTGTGCTGAGAAGACTATACTATAGAAACACAATCGGTTGTGAAAATTTGATTCTTTTTATTTTGTAAGTTGTTTTCAAAGGTATTAATTAACCGTAGGTTACAGAAAAATTACAAAATCTAATTGATTGTAACTGTGACATCCCAAGAAAAGAGCATGTATTCAGCTTATATTAACATGATTGCATATATGCTGCGTAGATATGTTTATTTTGTTTGTGCATATCAAGTGTTAAGTAAATAAAAGTTGACCAACAGTTATCCTGATATAGTAAATATCGTATCAAAAAAATGTTCCAAAATTCGCTGTATGAAAATAAATGATTAAAACTTCTTTCAATCTTTGAGTTGAAGTTTGAGGGTAAGGGAACCATTCTGATACTTTTTGATTTATAGATTACAGATTTGACCATAGGGACTCGAGTATCATATTTTACATAAATAGTTAAGTTTGTATTACCTAACACTTAAAACAAATAAAGTGTAAAAAGCTCTACTTATTAAAAGGCTGGAGGAAGTTGTGCTTTCTGCAAAAACAAAACAAAAAAATCATGTTTACTTTACTATCCTTGTTTTCAATTAAGAACTACCTATAAGGTTTGATATATATATAGTTTTCATCAGTACATTGCATATAAATCTATAAACTGGTTCAAGTTAGTCATTAAAGGCTTCATATGAACCACAGGCCTTTGGATCGCTTACTGATAAATCTGATTTTAAAAATTCAGGGCGTAAATTTTTTGTAAGTCGCATTAAAGCGATTTAAAGGATTGTGATATGAACATACAAAACGATAGCAATGTGCAGACTTAGGGTATGTAGAACCCTTCTTGGCTATATCAGACCTAAAACTGCTGGATTCTCTAGGTCATTTAATAGAAATTCATGCAATGGTGTAAAACAAAAGGTCATTTAAATATGAAGAATTCACAATATTATTTCTCCACCAGTTTGGGTCTTGGTTTAGTCCAATTTTGTTTCACATGATTTCATTGGAAAAAAAGGTTGAAAACACTACAAACTATTCAGTTTAAAATCTTTTTTTAAGTTTTGAAAGACTAGATGTTTCCTTTTTAATGAACTTCAATGAAAATGCATTAGAACATGCATGGCAAAGGACTTTTCAACAGTGATTTCTGTCAAACGACTAGGTTGAGTATATGAAAAATTGAAAAAAAGAATGAGATCAGATCTTGTGTTTGACTGATGAGTGATAATTTTGAGGAGTGATGCAGATAATCACCAGGAAGGATAAAGGGAATTTATTCTAATTAGGGCTCAGTTTTCATCAAACAATAGTTATTTTTACTGAATATTTTTTTTTTACTGAAGGACTAATTTGGGTATAAGCAAAACATCCAGAGGAAACTTAGATTGTAGAGTGAAGTTCTTTCAATTGTAAACTAATTCTGTTTTTAAAGGGGCATAGCCACAGTTTCAACTTAAATTTCAAAATTTATTTTTCCATTTTTACAAATATTTAACTAGGGGCTTTCTAATGATCATAAAAAATTTGAACGCCAGTTGTCCAGATACAAGACAGATTTAGAGCTCCAAACCTTTGTTATGTAAACAAGGCTAGTGTCTTGTTTTTGTTTACACAGGTTAATATACTAATATATGTTCATTCAAAGTAGATAATTTCAAATAAAATTTGATGTTCTGAACGATATGACATGCTATACAGATATAATATGACATTAAAATTGGCTTTCTCTCATAATTGAATCTTTAATGAATTTATAACAATTCATGTGACCACTTTTCATCACGTAGTTTCATTGTGAGAAGCTGGGAAACAAGGGCTATTCGAGACACTGCATTGTAAATGAATGATAAAGAATCGGTAAACTAGAGTGAAAATAAAAGCTTAAACAAAGCTGCTGTAAAACTTGTTAAAAATTCCAAAGAAATATTTACTGAAATAAGTGACATTTACAGCAACTTATACCTGTTTCATAGACAAATGAGCAGGTGGATTTCAATGATAAAAAATTATATAATGGGCATCAAAAATGGGTACCGTCCTTGCCAACAAAAAATTATAAAACTTATGTACTGTTTGCCAAATTTCAACAAAAAATACTTGATGATGTAGGATTGACTTTAAGACAAATAACAAATTTGAAAGACATCACATCGGGGGTAGTTTACATTATTTTAAAGAAACGTTTGACGGTTATAAAGCTTAGTACTCAAAGGTCACCCTATATTTTGAAAAATGAGTGAAAAAGACAGCGTGTACGAATGTCTTAACAATTACTTTAAAATATCAGTAATTCGAGTTATCCACGTTTTTTTGATATTCAAACAGATAATGGAACTTGAATCTATTGCTTAAAATCCTCAAAACAAAATTTACCATAAGATGTACTTGACAAAAACAGGGAAGGTCTGGCGAGAGCAAAGAATTGCAAGAGCACAAAGACAGATTTATTTGCAATGTTCTTAAATATTAGTGGTATTGTTGTTCAAATTCGTATTCGGGGAGACAGTTTAATTTCTGGATGAGGCTAGAAAACAAATTTTTTGCAAAAAAATCGAAAGGTTTATTAGAGGAAGGACCCAGAATCAGGAATCCACTACATTAAATTTCTTCATGACAGCGTCCAAACCCGCACGCCCTGAAGAGTAAAGGGGTTTTCGGGATACACAGATAGTTAATATTTTTTCACATTAACAATATTCGCCAGATCTTTGACCTTTTGACTTATTTCTATTTCCAAACTTGAAAAAAACTCCTTTGATAAGGAAGAAAAAAGTCCAGGAAATCATTGGATCTACTATTTTCCAGTATACCAAGGGTCATACCCAAAAATGAGTTCTAAAATCAATCAGAAATTGGATAAAGAAGGTTACGGACATGTTTTGTAATTAAAAGAGATTAGTAAGTAAAATAATGAAGACAAAATCATTGAAAAGCGTCTTTTGCTTCTTTCCGAGCACCGAGGACATTATTTATTGAACAGCCCTCGTATGATTTGACAGTTACTGTTGATTCGCTGAACTTCATTTTGTTATAAATATATTTTCTATATGTAAACAAAAACAAGGCACAAGCCTTGTTTACATTATGAAGTTCTGTATCTTGTTTGTTAATCATTAAATGATGTTCAAATTTTTGCTAATCAATAGATGATGGCTTAGGTAGGAATTGTAAACATTAAAATTGGTTTTTAAAAAATCAGTTGAAACTGTGTCTAGGCCCCTTTAAATAAAGATATAACTATATGTCATTGCATTGCATAGTAATGCTTGAGAATATGTCTAATTTTTTAAACATATGTGGTCAACATATATAAATAGTCTATAAGTTGGGGGAGGGGTGATGGACTTTAGTGTTTGAAAGATGAGTGAACAATTTGAGACTCAATCAAACAAAGTGCCACATAACACTATGGAAGAATATAGAGGGCTTTTCATTAATGCTGAGCAGTATTTGGAAAGTGAGATGAACTCACAATATGAGCAAACTTGACATGTATCTTGACCGGCTCAAATTATGACTTTTCCATTTGATCAATTGTGAATGACTCTCTAAAGCCTTATATAGTACAGAATCATGTTATTCATAGGCATTTCCTAAGCATTTGCATAATATAAAGCAGACGTTTTTGCTACGTTGTTCAAAGGGACATAATTTGAGTCATCAAACTTTGTTCAAACTTGCCTTATGCAAATTTCCCAACATACAATCAACAGCAAGTGAAAATTGTATATATGAGATGTCTTTGGAGAGTCAATGGGGGATATTTGTAATACACTTATGGTAATAATGAAATACAAACACAAATGCG